CAAGCGAACGGGAGGTAGGGAGGGGAAATGCGTTCCTATTTTGGCACCGTTTGACGGGCGAATGAGGGGACACATTCGAGGGCCACTAGGCTGGGGCCCCGGTTATTGCATTCCCATTTGAGGGGCCAGCGGTCAGGTTGGTGGGCCCTCGAATGTTGTTGGCATTAATGGGGCCCAATATTGGAATAACGGGAGCGAGGTCCCTAGCTTGGAAATTTAGAGGGCAGTTATGGAAAAGCAAAAAATGGAAATTCGCGTCAAAAACCCATCCGTCCGAGCGCCTTTAAGTTAGGGAGGTATCTAGCGGAAAATTGAGGCTAAATCGTAGACTTTTCATAGTTCATATTTTTGTAGCTTCTCATGAGGTCGACCCATAAAATGCTTGAATCTTTCTCGTACCTTCAGAAATGCACCTGAAATTTTTTTTGATGATTTTAAGCTTCATTCTACTTTGAATTTCAATTTACCACAAAACCCGTCGCCTTGGACGACCCTCCCAGTTTCGTTAAATTGCCGACCTCTTCATCAACCCTAGTCAACCACCCTGAATCGTGTCCCTTACATAACCCGACAATTCCCATAAATCCCGGATGTTCATTAGGGCGCTCTGTAACAGCTGGCCCCCTCCGGTAAGAAAGACCCCCGCATTCCCGCATTTGGGTCTTTAGCCTGGACCATGTGCTCTCTTTCTCTCTTTCTCTCGCTCGGGTTATGATGTCCGCCCTATGATGCGCGCGCACAAGGGGCGGCTGGTCTTTGTATCGCCGCGTATCTGCTGCCGGGGTAATGGGCCCCTTTAGGGCGACGATGAATAGGGTGGTTATTTGGAGCTGTGCGCGACGATTTTCGGGTCGTTCGCCTCGGGCAGATGGCGCCTGTAACTGGCCACGGGATGAGGAGGGAAGGGTGTATTTTGGAAAAATGAGGCTTTGATGTTGGGAAATAATTCTGGGGTTTTGGGAAGGCTTCGTTGCCGCGTCATGTTGGAAATATTTAGAAACAGAGTTCCAAACCTAAGCTGGAGCTTAAGCCTAAGCCCAAGCCTAAGCCCAAGCTGAAGCCTAGGCCTAAGCCTAAGTCCGCGCTCATGCCTAAGCCCAAGCCTAAGCCAAGCGAAGCCTAACCCAAGCCTAGTCCGCGCCCCTAAGCCCAAGTTTAAGGTTTACAAGCCGTCAAAGCTAAGGGGCCCGCAACCAGCCAGCAGCCAAGGCAGCCCTAACCCTACGCCTATGCCTAAGCTTAAAAAACCATTGACGGTAATCGCCCCCATTTTCCCATACCCACCCAACCGCCCTTTTCCCACCCCATCAAATATGCATAATGCATCTATCCCTATATATGCAAAAATAGCCTCCGGAACACTGTGGCGCCACCTCGAAAATTTATGACCGTTAGCTTGTCTCGAGCTCCCGAGCGAGAGCCGTGAATTGAGAGGCGCCAAGGCAAAAATCAGGTGGTTCCCATACCCATGGCTCGGCGGGGGGAGGGCCAAAACATGGCCGGGAAATGCATAAGAAATTAGCTGGGCTTTGCGAGGCTGGGAATTTGAATTTGCGGGCATAAAGCTGCTGCAAAACTAAATGCGAAAAATAACCAGGTTTTGGAAAGATGGGAAAATTGTTAAAGTGCATGGCAAAAGCCTTACCACAAGCCTCGCTTCACGTAGTTTTGTTTGAGCTTTGAGCCCCATCTTTTTACAAACCCCAGCTGCTGTTAGTTGACCCAAAAACCCACAGCAATCAATCTCGGCGAGGATCGGCGAGTTGGGCCTGACAAATTGGTTGTCACCCCCGGGGTGGGCCGAAAGCCTTTAGGGCCCGATGGAGGAGACCCGGACACGATCGTAACTCATCGCTTATGTTACACTCGGTTTGCTGATCGCGGTGCGTCGTTGGGGAGCAGGAACTGCCGATGATCAGGGTTCCGTTCGAAAAGTAGTTAGGAACAGATTGGATTGAGGTTGCCGAAGCCTAAGCCCAAGCCGAAGTCTAAGCCTAAGCCTAAGCCTAAGCCTAAGCCTAAGCCTAGGCCTAAGCTTGAGCCGAAGTCCGTACAACAGCTGATTCCCGTAGAATCTTCGCTAGCTACCCTGTTCCCCGTCAAATTCCGTTGTTATACAACAAAAACCACGTTCCGCTTGCTAGTCCAGGCTTCAACATGCTTCTCGCTGTTCGCCATCAATCATGCCAATGTTCGGCCCACCCTGGCCGGGCCATATATCCGAAAAGATTCGTGTGCGGGCCGGCCCATCTCTCACTTGGTTAACGCCCTTTCTTGTTTCCTTTAGCGGGGAGGAGAAAAAATTCTACGACGTTCTCGTTCAAGACTGCCCTCTGGAATTCCCCAGGACCACCCGTCGGCAAAAGATACGCCGGAATACAAATGGGGGGACGTCCAAAAATTTCTGACAAGCCGGGGCAGGGAGATGTTGGGGCGGGGGGGGGCTGCCCTTTTGTTATGTTTTGGGGATGGGAACGGAATTCGGGAAATGTATACGAAAACGACGTTTTCGAGCTAATTAAAAGGTTTGTGCCGTCAAGTTTGGTGTGAATTTTGAAGGCTGTAATCTTTACGACAGATTGGAGATACTGTACTGCTTATCGGATACCTGAAAATTTAAAAAAACCGTTCAAAGGAGTTACAAAAATTCGCATAATTTAAATGGATGGTGACAGCTGTCGAGGCGCCAAAACTCCTTAAATTGAAAGCGGAAAACCTCTAGAAATGTCGATTTTTGCTATTAGCTGCGTATATTGATTGATTCGCAATCGCGGGCATTTCCGGAACTCTCTTCTACTTCAGAAAAATCGTGCAATCTTGCCCCCAAGTCCATACTCCTTCTAGTAGCCGTTTTTAGCCGCGCGCATCCCCATAAATCGTCACTCCCGCTCCCCAGGGGGTCACCAAGGCGCTGCACAGCTTTTACCCCCCACGCGGCCTTTGAAGGGTGTAATGGGCCCTGAGGAGGCGAAAATAGCAAATAGTCGGGAAGGGGGGTAGCTGGAAGTGCAAAAATAAAGTAAGCCAAAGTCGAAGGCTAAGCTCAGGTCGAAGCATAAGTCCAAGCCCAAGGCTAAGCCTACACCTAATCCTAAGCCGAAGCCTAAGTCTAAGGCATTGGCTATGCCTAAGCTGAAGCCTACGCCTAAGCCTAAGTCTGAGCCAAAGCCTAAGCCTACGCCAAGGCCTAAGCCTAAGCCTAAGCTTAAACGTAAACCTAAGCCTACGCCTAGGCCTAGGCCTAAGCACACTTTATCTACCAAGCCACCTCAACTTCAAAGATTCCATTCCACACCCATCGACGCTCCCCGATCTTCCCTAGCCAGAACAAATTGCAATTAGTGCGTGCTTTCATGGGGCGAATGGCCCACATGTGGCCCCCAGTTCGGTCTTCCTTCGGCGCAGCTCCTTCTCAATCCAAATCGAGGATTCACCCCCTATAAAGGAACGATCTGGGGGGCTAGGGAAGGGGCCAGATGCCCGGCCAATTCACCAATTCATCCCTGCTGCACGGGTCTTCCAGGGGGACATTCCACATTTTATGACCAAAGACAGGGGGTTGGGTGATGAGGGCATGGGGGTCATGGCGGATTAGTACCATCCTGGGAGGAGTCGAATTTGAATTTAGAGAGGTCTTAGGGAAATAGGATATGTTGAAATTGTTTGGTAGGCAAAAACTTAAAACATGGAAATCATCACTTCCGGGTATTATTAAAGGGGCCGGGACAGCATCGATACGTTAGTTTGATTGAGTGTAGATACGCGTGTAGTGTAGTGATAAGCCTAAGACGAAGCCTAAACTTAAGCTTAAGCCTAATTCTAAGCCAAGCCTAGCCTAATCGTAAACCGAAGCCAAAGCCTAAGCCGCAGCCTAAGCTTCAGCATACGCCTAAGCCTTTTGTTACTTTAAAGGAGCTTGCAAGCCATTTACACATTGGGTCTCGACAGTTCCGTGGCTGGTTGCAGCTTGAGCGCAAATTTTTTTAAAAGTACCTACGACGTACCTGACGACGTCAATTCCGTGGCACGCACTGTCGAGACCTAGTCGAACTCGAGGTCGGTTCTGGCGCCTTCTAAAGGCCTTTAAAGTGTCAATTCTTCAGTATTTTCGTACATTTCTGCATTTTATTGTGGTACCCTTATCATAATAGATATCATCACCGATTATTTATGACTTTCTTAGTTTTTCATACGCTCGTATCATTATAGAGATCTAGGCCGCTGATAATCACTAGCCATCAGTAGTATTTTCACGGCTGTCGCGTTTATGCAGCCAGTGTATGCGGGGGCCGAGACGAGATGATTATCGAGGCAATCTGGGGCCAAAAAGACAAATATGACTCGGGGAGATATGGAGGGGGATGGGATGAGGACAAGGGGGTTCTGAATGGGACCGAATAACAGAAAAGGAGGCACCAAAAACCACATAAAATTGGCATTAGAAAAAGACTAAAAACTTGGAAAAATAGAAACATAACGAAACACACATAAACTTGGGCACAAAAATGTGAAATAAATCCTGAAAATACACCACGAAGATGGTAAATTCCAATTAAAAAAAAAGACCCAGATCGTACCGCACCTTAAAAATTACATTTTTGTAATTCTACTTACTCAAGGATTACTGCTAGCCCACCTTGGCCAAAAACGGTGACAACTGACCTACCCGCCTCATCTTCCTGAATTATCTCTGCTCAAATCAACGCCGCCAGCTCGCCTTTATTCAAAAAAGCTTCTTTAGCTTAGAAATCGTTTCCATTTCCCCAAAAATCATTGCTAGTTTGCCACAGCTAAATTTGTAAGGTCCGTAATGAACCGCTTTCACGCCTAATGATAAAAAATGTTTCCTAAAACGTCACTGCTAGTTCGCCGGATGAATTTTCTAAGCTTCAGCGAAAGACTTTGCTTGATACGGGGACTTTTTAGTTACACGCCGATTTTTTTGAGGATTTTTTATTGACAACTTTATTTCAGACCGATGCCACCCGCAACCACTGGGGATGGAATCCGGAGCCATCACCGATGCCCAAATCACAGCCTCATCAAGCTTCGATGAGCAATCCGTCGGCCCACAGAATGCTAGGTAATTTTTTAGTTTTAATATTTTTTAAACTACCATCAGGCCCGGAAAAGAGAATATGTACTTTCGGTAATGTTGAATTCGGAAAATTACCACAAACTATGAGTGTCATTGCTTTTTCGGGAGGAGCTTGTGTGTTGGGTTTTGGTGGCGGAATTTTTAGAGTTTGATTCTGGGTTTTTACAATTCAGATCGTGTTAGTTTTAAAGGATTTTTGCCAAGATTACATTTCACCAAAAAATCTGAATCTTCAAAAATAGATTTGATACAGTCAAATAACTCATTATTCCGAACACAAAAACGAGATTTTGAAATTTAGAAGGCTTTTATAGTTTTTCAACATTTTTTCCGTGGCTTCAGATCGGATTTGGGCTTAAAATGCAATTACTGTGCCTTAAATTCCTTACTGTAGGCAAATCTATTGAAAAATGTTAAAAACAGCTTTAAAAATCCTTAAAAATTCAAAATTTCTAGCAAAGTCAATATTTCTACTCAAATTACCGGTTTTAAAACCCAAATGGCGAAAATAAAATCAGAATTGGCGTACCCTATATGCGATTTAATGTTTTAAAGTACCCTCCAGCTACTACCCCCAACTTTCCTACTCCTGTCCCCCAAATTAGATGTATTTCCATGGTCTCTCGATTGTGTCCCCAGCACCATGAAACATGTGATTATTTGTGGTGGAGGGGGGCAAGGGCGGCCGAATTTAGCCTTGGGCCCACCACCCTCGCCTCGCCCGTGACTCCGTTCGCGCGGAAAATTCCGCCACATTGCTCCATACGTTTACGAGGGGTGCAAACGCGAGAAGACGAGTGGTAGTGGTAGTAGTAGTAAGCAAGACAAAATAAAAGGTTGGGGATAAATAGACAAACCTAAATTTATAATAATCGATTACGGTAAGAAGTTACGTCTTAAACTTCTACGTTTCATGAATGAAAACCCCGAAAATAGGCACTTTCGTAATCCAGTCCTATAGGTAATTCCAGAGATGCCAAACAATTTCTGTCTCTCTGTCTCTCACTCTTCTTCTATCTCTCTCTCGCTCGCTCTCGTGCTCTCTCTCTAGATCTCGCTCTTACTCTCGCGTTTTGAGCATGAGCCTAAGCGCACTTCAGCCTGATCGAAACCTACGTTTTTGAGCCTGGTTCACGCCTAAAAACTGTGCCAAACTTCAAGCTCTTTCTCTCTTTCTAAATATCTATTGAGTCATGCCCTGTAGTTCTCAATAGCTCGCTCTCTCTCTTGTTCTCTCTTGCTCTCTCGCTCTCTATCTTTCTCTCTCTCTATCACTCTCTCTCTCTCGCTCTCTCTAGCTTTCTCGCTCTCTCGCTCTGAAGTTTTCACTAGCTCTCTCCTCGATGTCTCGCTCTCTCGCTCACTCTCTCTCTCTCTCGCTCCAACGTAAACATCCAAAACACCCCTAGGCTACATCTGCCCCAGCCACTTTTTCCGGGGCGAAAAACCATAACTCTTGGGGAAGCGTATTCGTCCTGCCTCCCCGGCGTGCCCAGATCCTTGTTTTGAGACATGGCCCCGAGTCCGGAAAGACCGGAAAGATGGGCCACTAATTGCCCGGGGGAAATGATGGATCTGGCAAGATGTGGATGCAGGCAATGCTTGTCTTTCGGCCTCTCTTGTGATAGTGACGGCAACAAATCGCCGCCTTGTCTCTTGGGGGGTGTCCCCCAAGACACACGTCTTTAACGGGGTAGTGTAGCGGAATTTGGGGGGATTGGGACTTTAAAAAGATTGGGAACTTTTAATTCCCTAGAAGCCCGGATTTTTTCCTTAACATATGATATTTTCCCCCTGTTATTTGGTGGTCTCAAAAACACCGCAATGAAAATTGACTATTGACACAAAACTTGAAATGCACTGAATTTCTGAGCACAAAAAATTCTGTCTTTCGGTAGCGTTCCTTCACGGAACTTGGGAGAATAGGGATTTTAAAAGGACCGGAAAGGTAGATCAAGCGAATCCGAAAACCGGAAGCCAAACTGGTGCCGGAAATATAAGCAAAGCGAGAAAATAAAGATATTAGCTGGTTTTTGTTTTTTCCTAAGCCAACAAGACACCAATTTTTGCTACCTTTGAATATGCTAATACACCTTTGACCCTGGCCGCAACGAGAAGCTTCAAATTGGTGCCCCAAAGTGACCACCACCTCCGCCCCCCAGGGTTGCCGTCCCGATCATGAATTATTTATCGTTGGCGATCCCCGCCACTAAATCCCCTCCCTCGACTACCAACCATCCTCCACATCCCGGCGGGCTAAAGGCCGGCTAAAGAGCAATCTGGGGTGCGCTTCTCCAATGGAAATGGGGGCTAAAACAAAATTTAAAAAATGGTAAAATTGTGTTTCAAAAATTTTGCTTCGCTAAAATTTTGTGATTAAAATTTAGGTAAGTATATTGTGTCCTTGTGTGTAAGGAAAAGATCAAAATTTTTTTGCGTCAAGGGATCAGAAATCTTTTTAAAGCGTGTCATTTGCTTAACGGGAATTTTTGAAAACTAAATTTATGCACTTTTTTTCAGGATTCGAAGCGAAAAAGCTTCCGGAGCGTGGTGTCCGAAGAGCCAGATCCATGGCACCAATTACGAGTTTATTCAGGTAATTTTTTTCAGAAGGGTAGGTTAAGCCTAAGCCTATGCGTAAGCATAAGCCTAATCCTAAGCCTAAGTCCAAGCCTGTGCCTAAACGTAAGCCTAAGCATAACCCAAGCCCAAACCTAAGCCGAAGCCTCAGCTATTTTTATTTCCGGCACCTTCCTTCCTAAACATTGACCTCTTCCGCGCCCCCCTCAAAGTTTCACACGCAATTAGCCGGAAAGCGTTCCCCTCGAAACCACTCAGGTTCGGAAAATGGCCGGCTATTCGGAGGCCATTATCGGCAATAGCCTCTTGGTAGTGAAGGGGTGCCACACATGTAATCCCGGGGGCAAACATGCCCCCGCAGGAGATGAGGAAGAAGAAGAAGCCGAGAAGATGTGTAGGTCGCCGAAGACCAAGTGGAAACACCCCTAAACGGGGGTTCGCCGTCTCTCTCCCTCACCCTCTCGCTCTCTCGCTCTCTCTCTCTCTCTCTCTCTCTCTCTCTCTCGGTCTCTCGCTCTATCTTGCTGTCTCTCTCTCGTCCCAGTGAAATGCATGGGCGCATAAGGAGGAATTGCACAATCTGGGCGTAAATTTGAGCTTTTAAAGATTCGGGGACTGGAAACAAGCAAAGGCGGACGAAATTCAGATTTTTTAAGGGGGTAAGAACTACACAATCGACCCCTCTTTTTAATTAGGTGTCGACAGCTACGCATTACTCCATAATACACTGAAAGGATCTGGATTTTTTTAGTTTTGACACAGTTAAAGCACACTCAAGTAAGCATTGCTTTAACCTGGTTGGCTCTGTTTCTAGCTGTCGAGACCTAGTCGAATCGGGTGGTCGATTTTCGAACTTGTAGATTCTTTAAATACAAAGGAAATTTTGAGGACGCGAACGCGATGCTTCCAAGCGTTTCTAAAGGGAGCGTGACAGCAAGGTTTTACAACGGATATATCGATATGGTTTAAAAATAGCTTATATCCGCTTCCAGATCAACCTCAACCAAACCCACGTCCTGACCGGTGTCGAGACCCAAGGCCGTTATGGTAATGGGACCGGGAAGGAGTTCGCCACAAACTTCATGATCGACTACCTACGAGAGGGCGCCCAGTGGATCCGATACCGTAATCGGAGTGGACATGAGGTAGAGCTGAACAGATTTGAGAGCGATCCCATGTTCCCCTTAAGGTACCACAACTTTAATTTTTAGCTCCTTGATGGTAATAAGGACACCATGACGGCATTACTGACCAAGTTGGACCCGCCGATCATCGCCTCCAGAATCCGGCTAGTGCCCACTAGCAAGCAGATGAGGACGATGTGTATGCGGTTGGAGCTGTTTGGGTGTCCGAATTATGGTGGGTTATTTTTGATAGTAGGCCTAATCCTAACCAGAAGCCTATAAGCCTAAGCCGAAGCGGAAGCCTAAACCTAAACCTACGCCCTAAGCCTAAGCCTAAGCCTAAGCCTAAGCCCGGATTATGAATTTTAGACGGCCTGATGTTCTACACTCAACATCCGGAGGGCTCCAGGATCGGCTTCCTCGACTTTAGAGACCGAAACTTTGAGCAGGTCGAGCCTACCGGTGATGTCAAAAGGTATCGAAACCCGGTGGTATTGAATTTACGCCATTTCTAGGGGTCTGGGCACGCTGGCTGACGGAAAAATTGGGACTAGATCTCCGTACGAGGATACCCCTGATAACACTACCTGGATCGGATGGAATAAGGAGCAGACAGGTATGGAAATCCTCTATTTAAAATGGTGAGGTGACATGACCGCAGAATAGGCTGGCTTTAACCCCCCATTAATGCGTAGCAATCACACCATTAGACCGTTTGGTTATAGCTTGTCTTCCCAGTTCGTTTAACCCGAGGCAATACCTCAAATTAGCGGACAATTAGAATCGAATTAGAATAGGCACGCTCTCTCTCTCTCTCTCTCTCTCTCTCTCTCTCTCTCTCTCGCTAGGTGCATTGAATGCTTGCCCCGGATCGTCATTGTATCGGGTTGTGCAATGCATACAATCCCCGCTCCCTTCTGTGGCTGCCAGGTGTGCTAATCACCCGGGATGCGGGCAGGCTGATGAGTAGTGCGCGCGCTGCGGGATCCGTTGAGGGACCAAAATTTTATAACAAAGCTCTACAAGCCTAAAAGCAAGCCTAACCTAAGCCCAAGCTCAAACCTGAGCCTCGTCTAAGCCTAAGCGTAAACCCATGCCCAAGCCTAAGTCAAAGATTAAGCCTAAGGATGAGCACGTTTTTCGACGGCGATATCTAAGCTCTTTCAAATCACCCAAACGATACGCGCCCACGCATCAGCTGGCAGAAAGTGCCGTCCGCACACTTCACCACTTCACCCCAGCAGTCCAATCGCCCCGAAATGTGATAATCCTCGTCAATTCCCCGCCGCCGGCCACCCTTCATCGCCATTCATTTCGCCGGAGGCCAGCTAGCGCGCGCCTCCCCGCCAATTTCCCCCCTGCAGCCAATATTGTTTGCATAGGGCGCCGCTCATATTCCGCCTAAGCGCTTCCCCCGCCGCACATAGTGCCCCTGCGGGCATAGTGGGGCTAGTCGAATTATATTTATGCGATGGAATCTGGGAGATGGGGGGTTTTCGGGAAATTCGGAAAGAGCTTGAGATGTGGGAGCAGGGGAGGTGAAGCGCAAAACGAGCACTAAAGCGTAGGAAGGGTTAAATAACGCATTAGAGGGATTGAAAGTGCTCAAATCGAAGCACGAGTTTTAATAACTGATGCTTAAGCGAAAGCTTAAGCCCATGCCTAAGCCAAGCCAAGGCCAAGGCCATGCCTAAGCCTAAGCCTAAGCCTAAGCCTAAGCCTAAGCCCATGCTCATTCCAGGAGGCGAGATCAAGCTCCACTTCGACTTCGACACGGTCCGCAACTTCTCCAGCGTCGAGTTCCACGCGTTCGGCGAGAAGATGGACCAGATTGCAGTCATGTTCAGGTCCGGAAAAGTTCGAACCGGCCAACCTGCTTAAGCCAATCCTAAGCCTAACCAAGCCCGAGCTTAAGCCTAAGCTTCGGAAGTCTTCAACCTATTTTCTCTTTTTCAGCCAAGACGGCGTCATCTTCCCCGATTCCTCCACGATCATGTCCGTCGATCAGGCGGTAAACAAATCGATGCGCATCTTCCAGATCAGAATCCCACTCCACAAAAGGCCAGGGAAGGCCTTAAAGGTACATTGAAGCCAAGCATCCTCATGGATTTTCAGGTCAACATCAAATTTCTGACCGAGTGGTTCTTCCTCAGCGAGATCAATTTCAATTCAAGTCAGTTTTACCTAGGAAAATTCATGATTACAATCGATATTCCAGCTCCTCTGCCCCTTCCTGTCTCTTTCGTTTTTAGGAAAATTGGTACTGATGAGGATTCAGATAGGAGCTAACCGATTTTCCATAATTCCTAGCTAATCAATCATGGCTAAACTTCCATTAATGCTTCGCACTTACCCGTTTTTGCTATTTTTCGATGATAATGCATAGCTATAGTTGATCAAAGCTTGATCTGGACATAACAGTTTTCGCTTTTTGGGGTAGGAGAGGGAAGCAAAAATTTTTTACGTAATTTTGTTGATTACAGTACTCTACAATCTTCCAAACGGGATCCAAGAAATCCCGGTAGAAATCGAAGAGACGACCGTGACACCTGAAGTGAATCTGGGAGGGTTACTGTATGCTGGTGAGTTTTAGGAAAGAGAGCGAGAGAGAGGGGAGAGAGAGTAACAGAGAGAGAAACAAAGAAACATGTCGATTTTTCAGCCCTCGCCCTCATCGCCTTTTTGATTCTCATCTGCTGCTTCTGCTCCATTTTATTCCTCAGGCGGAGGAAGCCCAGGGAGAAGGAGCCGCTGGATATTTATGAAGGTGAATTTGTATAGATTATTGAAAATTAGGGCAAGATACCGTAGCTCCTTGTCAATCCCTTTAATTAATTTTGAAATCCTCACTTGATTACCGAAACGTTTAACGTCATAAATAAAAAAAAATTAAATTATATCTTCCTAGGCGACTCTCGAGCTGCGATGATCGTGACGACGATGGGTAATGGAAGAACCTACCCTTCCCATTCCTACATCAACCAGCTGAACTCAATGTTTTCGGGCGAGAAAACTGTGAGCACAAGGTATATTCGAAATTCTATGCCCAAGAAATTGATCAATTTAGCCTCTCCTCAAAGAGCAACAGTTCGACAAAGTCGGCAAAAACCGACGCACCTTCCTGGCAGGACTTCCATTTCCCGCCACCTCCTCCCAAGGGTGTACAAGTTAATGGTAAGTGGGAAGAGAGAGAGAGAGAGAGAGAGAGAGAGCGAAGAGAGAGAAAGAGAGAGAAATAGAGCGCAAGAGAATGGGATCGTGAGAGAACGAGTTGCTGATAAACCTAGAAATCGAGAAGTATGGCTATCTAGCAGAGCTTCCTAAGGGAAAGACCTTATGTTTCTTTCCCTCTTAAGTATTCATTTTTAAAGCGATAGTGACACCATCTAGTTTTCGGCCTCGCAAAACCCCTTTAAGGTCTAAATCCTGCTGTCACCGCTAAAATTTCAAAAAAATACCCAAGCTGGGTAAAAACGTTAGAATTTTAGGTACCGAGGGCCACTACGCCGACCCCTCCCACACTCTACCACTTCTCCCATCAATGCCGCGCCCAACAACCCTCCAAAAAACGGCCAGCACCCTGCATAAAAGCCCGAAAAAGCACAAGATGTAAGTAGTAGCGCCTTGGAATTTTGTCTACTACTAACAGTGATGGGGAGTTGATCCTGAAAGTCCCCTCGGAATCCGAATTACAGTAAGCAACAAGCGTGTGAGATTCCGGATTCGTGTTTTGTATTTTTGCGGAATTGCCGTGAACAAAAAAAACGGATTTTTATGTATGTTTTGGGACAAAAATTAATGTGATTTTTTCAGGTACGTCGATGACAGTCTCCACTACGCTACGTCAAACATTTTCACAACGTACGGGTACGAAAATAATTGACAAAATTGGATAAAGGTGGGTTTTAGGTTCGATGCAATCCAAAAAGTGAACAACAACGATTTGGAAATCGGCGCCGACCTGGGTGAGGGGAAGTTCACATTAGTGCGTGAATGCCGGACACCGTACTTTGCGAGAGCGGCACATAAATGTGCGAAGGATCGCGGGAATATTCATGCGAGGTAAGGAGAACTAAAAAAAAGATTAAATTTTAGGTTAGAAAATAATCTGAGTCTCCGGATTTTAACTGAAAAGTTTAAGTTTAAAAAACTTGTTTCGCAACGCGTGCAGCGTTAGCAATATTTCTGCTTCCAAAAGTTGTCTATTTGTTTCCAATAATTTTTTAATTAAAAAAATTACAAACTAAAAATATTGTTTAGATCTACTCCTTCACAAAAATCCGGTTTTTAAAAACACCACATTTACATGAAATTTCCCATGAAGTATTCACGTGTTCATTTCAGTAATTTTCACGAAAAAGTACGAATAACCCGAGCTAACGTAAATCATTTAGTGCCCTTAAAAATCTCGCAAAAGGTACAAAAATTATCATGCTCTGTTGGTCTTTGCGGACTCTAAAAGGCTTTTTAATAGGTTACAAATAAGCAAAATACAAAAAAAAAAGATAAAAACCCTCAAAATCCTTGCTTTAGGAAAGCCCTCCTCGACGAACTTCGCACGCTCTCCAACCTCTCCAACCCGCGGCTCGTCAAGCTGCTGGCAATGGACGAGGACGCGGGAATGATTCTCGAGTTGGCTGAGTTGGGCGATGTTCGAACCCTGTTAAAATCGAATCGAAAAATTGGGTATGGAAATGCCTGTTAAATCCAAAAATCTGATCGTTTTCTAGACTCGACAATCTACTCACCATCTGCATCGATGCTGCCCGTGGTCTCGAATATCTGGAGCAGATGCAAATCATCCACGGTCATTTCACGCCTGGGAATGTGTTGATAGATGGGAATTTGAGAGCAAAGGTGAGAAACAACGAGAGAGAGAGAGAGAGAGAGAGAGAGAGAGAGAGTGTATAGGTAGATAAGTAAACGTTCAATAATTCCAGATATCCGCCCCGCGAGGCCAAAATCATCATGCCCAGCTGCGTTACAGCGCTCCAGAGAGTATCGTGATGGTAAGTATAGGCTGAAGATACCTAAGCGGCAAAAAACCTGAAGGATTAATCCTTTTCTTAGAACATATGGTCGAGCAAATCGGACATGTGGTCATTTGCCGTCACCACCTGGGAGATTGTCCAATTCGGAGAGCATCTACCCTATGAAGGCTTCAACAACGCTGAACTTGTCGAGAATGCGCAGCGGGTGTTGAGCAGGGATAAGGAGACGGTAGGTCGAAGATTGTTGAAAACCTAAACCTAAGCCTATCCTAAGCCTACGCCTAAGCCTAAGCCTACAAGCCTAGGCCAGGCCCCAAATGCTTTGGATGTTACTTTAAAGCTCCTTTAATCCACCAATTTCAGCTCCACCTCGTCCCGCCCGAGACGATTCCGCGCGTATTCCAAGAAGCCCTGAAGAAGGCCTTCCGACCGGATCCGGAAAACCGGCCAACCTTCTCTGAGTTGACACCCAGATTGGCGTCGTTTTACGAATTCTAAAAAGTCACCTGACTTCGATTTGTCCTTATCGTTTGCCATGACACATATCGCTTTGTATAACCCATTTTCTATGCTCTCAATTTTCAGGGTCAATCCCAAATATCAGTGACGCCCTCTCTCTCTCTCTCTCTCTCTCTCTCTCTCTCTCTCTCTCTCTCTTTTTCTCTCGGCCTCCAAAACAATTTTTACATCATCGTCAACCTCAACTTGTCAAGGCCTAATCCCCCACTTCCTCCTGATTCCATTTTGGTCCAAATTACGGGTACCCCATGATGTAAATTCTATAATTCAGCGATATATGTTCTTGAATGTGTGATCTCCGGTTGCAGATTTTGAATTTTGAAAAAACTACATGTTTTGCCTTGCTTGCAATAATCATTTCCAGGCCCCTGTGCTCAGTGTGTGCGTACTTGCTTGAATTTCTTGCTTTTACATGGATCGAGGTGTAAATAAAGAATTTTATATGAAGATACAGAATAGGAAATACATATATAAAAGCTACTCAGACCGGAATTCCTGAAAAAGTCGCGTTAGCAATAGTCTGATTACTGTATCGCTTTCATAAAATCCATATCTCTCGCTCTCTCGCTCTCCCTCTCTTGCTCTCTCACCTTCCTAGCATTGATGTGCTAAAGGGGTGGTTAGCATAAATATCCAGAAAATGATAAGATAGTGATGCATTTGAATCCACGAAGCAGCAATAAGTTATCAACAAAAAACGAAGCCACATTAATGACAAGTTTCTATAAAATAACTAGCCATGTCTAAGCCTAAGCCTGAGCCTAAGCCTAAGCCTAAGCCTGAGCCTAAGCCTAAGCCTAAGCCTAAGCCTAAGCCTAAGCCTAAGGTTAAGCCTAAGCCTAAGCCTGAGCCTAAGCCTAAGCCTAAGCCTAAGCCTAAGCCTAAGCCTAAGCCTAAGCCTAAGCCTAAGCCTAAGCCTAAGCCTAAGCCTAAGCCTATGCATAATCCTAGCCCTAACCCCATACACTCCTGCCGTCTATCCCCGCATGCAAGTCCCGTTCGTCTCTCGTTTCCTATTTCCCGGACCCGCTACCGTACCCCAGCCTCTGGCAATTTGCCAACCAATTATTGGAGCAAATCCCAACAGAGTTCCCAAGCAGAAAATGCTTCTAGTTTCATAGCCGATTCTTCGGACATAATTCTATATTTGTGCATAGGTTTTACAATTTATAGGGCCGAATGGACTTCGTCGACAGCTGGGGCGAGCTGCGACAAATCGTAGACGGGCTGAAGAAGAAGCAGTTCATCCAGAAACCCAATCATGGTCAGGCGATACAGCAGATTAGTCATTTGGCTACGAAAATGAAGTAGGTGATGTAATAAAAGCAATTAAGGACTTATCTAAATCAAAGCGGATTTGACTAAATTAAAATCGTATTATCCAGAATTAGCTAAAACCTTATTAAATCAGTGAATTTTTCATCAATTTTAGAGCTTACTAAAGGTTAAAAGATTCGTTTAAAAATTTTATTCTTCACAAATAAAGTGATGCTCAATTTAGAGACGAAGAACTCGGCGCGCAATCGAGTATTTGTCATTGTGAGTTAGCACAAATTTACTCGAAAATGGGCGACCCAAACGAAGAAAGGAAACAGTGGGAAAGAGCGGCAAATGAGATGAAGCTGGAGGAGAAGAGGCATCATCATAATAAAAGCGGAAGTGAGTATTTTAAGGTGCTCTTGATACTTTGAGTCGACTTTACCTCTCTCATCTACCTTAAAACATATTAAACCATGTTAAAGAGCGTGTCTGAAAGATGCATTTTCTTTCAGTCACGTGTCCTTGGAGCAGTGATGCCTCTTCTTGCTACGCGAGAGCTATCAAAATTCTGATGGAGCTGAAGAGCTTGAAGCTGGCGGGGATGGTGTCACTGGAGGTAAGCTGGATTGTAACGGGATTGGGAAAGCTTACGAGAATCATAGGGAAAGGCAAAAGGTAGACAGAAAAATACGTCAGCTTCGTGACTTTCCTAAACATCCCCTAAAGTTGAAACTCGACAAAACTGCGCTTTTTTCAGGCAGCCAAACACTCCCTGGAAGTCGAATCGTATATTGCCTCGATTGAACATGCTAATAGAGGTGTGAAATTCAAAACATAGCTTCATCAGTTGCAAAAAAACGAAAGATGATAAAGCTTTTAGCTGTCCGACTTTTTGAAGGCGAACGGTTATGCGGCACGGATGCCCTTAGGGTCCTGGCCACGGCTCAACTAAAGGTATTAATGTATTAAAAAGTAGAAAGTGTCAACCTGGGCTCTTTCGGAAGCATTGATATGATCTTAATAGCTTTAATAAAGCCCACAACAAGAATGTTACCTTCCAGGTCGGCCAAATCGAAGCCCTCCTTGACACGCTCGATCAGCTCTGGACGCTGGCGATGAAGGCATGGTGGAATAGGTGCTGACAAATCTTTCGCTCCCTCTCGCGCGCGCTCTCTCTCCCTCTCTCCCTCTCTCTCTCTCTCGCTCTTTAACGGAATGAATGCTTTTTCAGCACCCCGATGGGGAAAGAAGTGCAAAAAGAAGCTGATATTGCTACGATGCTCGTGATTTGTAACCGGAAGGTATCAGATTTTTCCGGAATTTCGAAATTTACCAAATTACAGCCACGACAAGGACGGCAGAAGGCATTGAAGCAATTGTTTGAAAAGGGCGTGGAATTTGATGAGGTGAGCGAGAGACGGAGAGATATAGCGAGGGAGAGACAGAGAAGAGAGCGAGAGAGAGTGAGTGATTCAGAAAGAGATCAAGAGAAACGGAGAGATATGTAGAAATGGCTAGATGCGTACTTTTATCAGCTTCCCAGCACCTTTAAAACCCGAAATCTTGCGATTTCCCCGTGTTTCCTCATTACGCATCTTACTCTCCCGCCTTTGCGGTACTCCCAAGTTTTTTAGCCCTTTCACCTTGACAAAAATTCAAATTTCAGGCCGGCTTCCCGAAGGCACCCTCCGACTCGGCACTCTCGACCTCGGAATTCCTTGCAGTGGCCGGGTTGTGTGGATGCGTGTCATTGAGCCAGGTCATTTCCACTCCCCCGGTTTTCACCTTTTTTCTCTAGCCGATCAGCCGCCCTCGCCCTCGGGATTGTCCCCCTATCATCATCATTATATCCCTCTCCATCGCGTTGCGGTCAATAATGCGCGCACAAGTGGCGCTCTTTGGAAATTCCCGGTCATGCTCCCGGATTTAATTGATGTTCTTTTAACTTCTTAGAATTAGATGAAATAGTTCATCTTCTGACTTTAAATTCACCGACTCCACTTCTAAAAATCCCCTTCCCTTTTGGTAGACTTGCTAAAAATCAGGAATTCAAAGAATTCCACCCGCTACCCAAGTCTTTCTTGAATTTGAGCGGAAGACGACCAAACTTCCTATTTTTCTATAGTTATTAGCTAACAAAAATACTGTAGTCTATTATGCAAAAATTTAATCATTATTTTTAAGCGTTCCACTCAAACCTGATTTATTTTTTGCGAGTAATACCAAATCTTCCTCTTAAGCCTAAGCCTAAGCCTAGCCTAGACCAAGCCTAAGCCTAGGCCTAAACGTTTCTAAGTCTAAGCCTATCCTAAGCCTAAACCTAACACTAAGCCTGAGTCTAAGACATAATAAGGCTACTCCTAATTTAAGCCAAAGCCGGGGTAAAAACTTTGCTTGCTGTTAAGCCTGGCTAAAGTTACTTCCATTTGTTTAATTACGATCAAGTTAACCAAACCGGAAACAATAAGAATCCGCTCTCACGACAGTGGCCTTTCATTGAGCAACGGACCAACAATCCGGCTTCCGCCCACTTTGATTCCCCTCAAAAAACAATCCCCCCCGGTTTCGCAATCTCGCCTTTGGATAAATGATGGCGTTAGAAAGTCTGAATCACCCAAAAATGCGTATTTTAACAGAACTCCGCGCAGGACTTTAATGCCCAAACTTTCAATTTCGTAACAAATCCTTTAAAAATAGGGTGTAGCCGCTTGGAACGTTCAATTTCTGACCAATCCTGACGTAAAGCCCCCAAAATTAGCAGTCCCCAGACGCGCTGATTGCTATTTCTTGTCCCCGAAAAGCGCACTTTCACGTAAAAAAACCAATTCCCACCTGGGGACCACGGCTGATTACTAAAGAACGGAAAAAGGCTGGGAAGGCTATAAAACAAGACCCTCGTGCTTTCAGAAAAGCCTCGCAATGGAGATGTACAGTAAGCAATGCCACGCCTTCTTCTCCGACCTCTGCAAAGGAGATTTTCCTGTGGCAAATTGAGCTCTTGTGATTTTCGCTTTTTTACGGGTTTCGTTTTTCTTGTAACAATTTTATATATGTTCTCATTTTCTTATTTGTGTGCTGATAAATTTCTAAGATCTGATTTTTAAAAAGTCATTTTTAAATTCTATTTTTTTCGGAAGAAACACATTTTATTCCATTAAATTTATTTTAGCGATGATTATGTAAAGCAAAGGTAGCCGCAAAGCTAAGCTATGCATAAGCCCAAGCCTAACCTTTGAGCCCAAGCCCGAGCATCAGCATAAGCCTAAGCCTAGGCCGAAGCCTAATCCTGAACCGCAGCCTAAGCCTTGGCCTAAGTCTGAGACTAAGACTATGCCTATATCAAAGCCTTAGCCCAAGCAGAAGTCTGAGCCTCAGCCAGGCGTAAGCCGCAGCTTAGGCATAGGCCCAAGCCTAAGCCGCATCAACCATTCACCACCGCCCAAAACCACCAACTTGATAAATGACCACGTGCTATGTCCTCTAATATCTAGTCCCACCCCACTAGTTGGCCAGACGCCCCCAAAAAAAGGGTGTGCGAAAATTTCTTTCACGAAATCGCCATAGCGACCCGTCGGGATAGGGGGAAGAGAAGGGCCAAGAAGAGCTTATGCCTTGGGGCCTCGTGGAATCCCACCTTCCGCTTTAGTCCGTTCTCTAGCCTCGGAGGGGGCGCCTGGCACACCACCGCACTTTTTTACGAATTCTGACAGAACCGCGAGATACGAAAACGGACTTAGGATTTTTGCCTTGGATGCCTCTTTCCCCGAATTCAGATTACTGGAGATTTTCTGTTATTTGGATACCTCGCTCTGGTTCTTTGGCATTATCGGGGGGCCCTAATTTTCCTAAAAATCCAGAAACGCCTAGTAAAGAAATAAAAAGTGTTTGAGCATTATTTTTGGTAGAATTTAACTATATGGAAAGTAGAACCATTCAGCAAAAAACTCGAGAATGCGGAAATTTTCATAAAGAAATCTAAATATTTTCCATTTTTTTTCTGATAAAATTACACATTTTGTTGCTTAGCAATAGTAAAAAATAGCTTGGAATTCCATTTGTCTATTTATACCAGAAAAATTAGGTGGAAAAGAGCCCATCGCGCTCTCCCCTCCCTGATAATGCAAAAGCACCCCCAATCCTTAATGAGTTCTCTCTCTTTCACTAGCTCTCTCGCTCTCTAGCTATATCTCATTCTCTGTAGTTATAGATCTCTCTTGTCTCTCTCGCTCCCTTTCTCTCTATCTCTCTCGCTCCCTTTCTCTCTATCTCTCTCTGTCTCTCATTTTCTCTCTCCAACTTCTATATTCAGGATGACGGCCGAAGAATCCTCAGCCGATGTCCAATTCCCGCCAGCCGAGCAGTTATCACTCGATATGTTCGTCATCGAGAAAAAGATTGGCAAGGGGCAGTTCAGTGAGGTTTTTCGGGCAAAGTAAGTGTCGAATTTTAAATAGATGCTGGATTTTTTCTATCCTCGTTAACACCAATTTTTAGATACGAACGCAGTGGAAAGCTGGTGGCCCTGAAGAAGATCCAGGTGTTCGAGATGGTCGACCAGAAGGCGCGACAGGACTGTATGAAAGAGATTGATTTGTTGCAGCAGTTGAATCATGCCAATGTTATTAGGTAGGCCAATTCCTTAAAGCAAAAACCCCAAAACCCTACCCTCACCTGCGCCAAATTAAACCTGTTTCACCTCAAATCACTCCCGCTTTCTGGGCAAATTTAGATTAAAACACCAAACTATTTAAATTAAGGATTTCAAAAATCAAAAAATGGTTTTCACAAAACCGAAAAACCCGCAAACAACCTCCACGCCCCGCCTAAAACCCAAAGGGCTTTTTGGTCTGCTTTGTATCTTTGAGTCTGGGTTTTTGAGGGCACTTTAGGAGAGGTTTTTGCAGAAAAGAAAATAGCTTAAATTCTCTATTAAAGGGACAGAATAACTGTAATTATCTACTTTCCAGGACTTTATGTTGTACGGCATCAGAATTCTGACGCTATGATAGGCTAGCAGCGATTCATGTGGAAATGACGATAAATTTTCATACCGAGGCTAATTTCTCAGGTACTACGCCTCGTTCATCGACAAAAATCAACTGAACATCGTGTTGGAGTTGGCAGAGGCTGGGGATATGAGCAGAATGATTAAGGTTTGAAATTTTAAGCTTTAAGAGTATTAAAATTTTTACAGCACTTCAAAAAGAACGGTCGTCTCATCCCGGAGCGGACGATTTGGAAGTATTTTGTGCAAGTGGCTCGGGCTTTGGCACATATGCACTCGAAGAGGATTATGCATCGAGGTTGGTTGGAATTGGGAATCTGGCTCTATCTCTCTCTCACGGTCGATCTCTCTCGTTCTCTCTCCTTTTTCTCTCGCTCTATGTACTTATCTCTCGCTCGATCATTCACATATTTTATTTTTCTCCGTCATTCTCTCTCTCTCTCTCTCTCTCTCTCTCTCTCTCCCTCTCTCTTTTTCTCTTTCCCTCTCTATCTTTCAACAATCATTTTTTCTAGACATCAAGCCAGCCAACGTCTTCATCACCGGCGAAGGCATCGTCAAGCTTGGCGACCTAGGCCTAGGCCGATTTTTCTCATCCAAGACAACTGCTGCTCATTCACTTGTGGGGACTCCTTACTACATGGTACGTACTCGGAACGTCGTTAACTCGCTTATTTTAGAGCCCCGAGCGGATCCAAGAGTCCGGGTACAACTTCAAATCTGACCTCTGGTCACTTGGGTGCTTACTGTATGAATTAGCGGCCCTGCAATCTCCATTCTACGGCGACAAGATGAATCTGTACTCGTTGTGCAAGAAGATTGAGAATTGTGAATACCCTCCACTACCGGCAGATATTTATACAAGCCAGGTGAGCCGATGATTCAAGAAGCCTAAGCCTAAGCCTACGCCTAGGCCTCAACCAAGACTAGCATAGACCTAGGCATAAGCCTAAGCCTAAGCCTAACCTAAGCCTAAACCTAAGTAAAGTGGTCGGAGATCACTTCTAACCTAAGCCTAAGCCTAATTTTCAAGCTCAAAGCGCATGTAAAGTGGATGCAAACCGTGGCTCTATCTTTTTGATACTTGTGTTTTGGCTCTATTAACTTGTTTTCATCATAAATTGCTGAATATCCATCACTGACAAATTTTGACTACTCAGAAAGATCCGTCTTTTCAAGGGCTACAAGATGTATATGCTTAGCTAAACATGAAAATACCGCGGCGTGAAGTTAAAGGTCAAAAACCAAGTGGCTCTATCTTTTCGATACGCACTGTATAAGCCTAAGCCTCGGACGAAGCCTAGCCTAAGCCGAAGCGAGGCTTATGCCGAAGCCTTTGCGAGGTCTGAGTCTAAACCTAAGACTTTGTCCCTAACAGCACTTCTGGATTAGCACCCACTTTTCCAACAAGTTCACCCATTTTAGCTACGCGACCTGATCTCGAGGTGTATCGTATCGGATCCCAACCAGAGGCCAGAAACCATGGAAGTAAGGCTTTAGTGATTTTACGGTAATTCCGCATTTTCTAGGTCCTCGAAATTGCCGAGAAAATGCATGAGTTCTTCCGGGAACAGGCTAGGACGCAGCCCGCAGCACCTGCAGAAGAATGAGCCGATTCGTCATCTATTCTTTCAATCGAAAAATATCTGTACTTTTAACACACCTCGTGTGATTGGGGCCAAATTTGAATAAACGGGCTTATTGCTTAACGGACTCATTGTTGCTAGGGAGAGAGAGAGAGAGAGAGAAAGAGAGAGCAAGAGAGAGAGAGAGCGTGAAAGATAGAGAAAGAGCGCGAGAGAGCGAGATAAAGCGGGAGAGGAGAGAGTTAGAGAGTGAGATAACGAGAGAGATAGAGAGCGAAAGAGAGAGAGAGAGAGAGAGAGAGAGAGAGAGAGAGAGAAAGAGAGAGAGAGAGCGAGAGAACGTGGAAGAGCCATAGAAGCCAGCTCCAGTGGTGTGGAATTTTGTCCGGAAGCTATGAAACAGGGTTCGGGAAGGTTGGTTTGTTAAACGGATCTGTAATAACGAAAAGTAATGAATAGCGGAGAGCTTTTTCTACGACGTGAAAGTGGCTAGCAATAATAATGAAAGCCTTGATTTCTCAGAAACCTTATGCAACATATTTTCAGGGCCGCGCGAACGCAGCCCCTGACTCAAAAATTTAGCTGTAGGCGAACCCCAACTCGGAGCTGCCTTACAGGTCAGCCCGGCCGAGAAGTGCAATGGCCAAGCCTCGCCATAGGGGTCCCGTCTTGATGATCACGGGAACCCCCCAGCCAGGTAAGTTTATGAAGGGGTGGAGCAGGGAAGGTATCCACACGGAGTGGTCCAGGTGGGGGCCGAGTGGGAGGGCGGTGCGAGCGCAACTACAATGTTAGGACATCTAATGCTAGGAAGAAGAAGATCGTAAAGCGACGAGAGCGAGAGAGAGAGAGAGAGAGCGCGAGAGCGAGAGAGCAAGAGTGAAAGAGAGGGATAGAGAGAGAGAAACACAATAAGCCCAGTCAGTTTATTCCAAAGTCAATCACAACCACAAATTCACATCAGTAGAAGTACGGTATGGCGATACGGTCGGCGGTTTCAAGGCGCACTCCGGGGCTGTAGCCGTTCGGATTCGCAAATTCGAGCTCTGCGCACAGCATCTTGTGGAAATGCTTGCGTCCCGGGTTGTAGGGCGGCTGCACCGCATCACGTTTCTTGACCAAGATGTCAGGTGAGCAGATGAGGTAGTCGATGTCCGTGTTGCCCTGGAAAACCGTGTTTTGCTCTTGGTTTCTGTAACGAGAGATAGAGACGGAGAGAAGAGGGAGAGAGAGAGAGCGAGAGAGATTGAGAGACAGAGAGAAGAGAGAGTTTAGAAGAGAGAGAGAGTTTCAGTATGACCTACTTTAGAATGATAATTTGTATCCATTCCCGGCGGAAAAACGCAGTTCATTCGGCTCATCCGGATCGTATCTTCGACCGCCGCCTTTTGGATGATGAAGTCCCCGGTGATGATCGTGTTAGGGCCATCTAAAATCAAATTTAGGTTCTTTCGCATTTCCGGGGGGGGGGAGAGTATTTCGGAGGGCAGGGGTGGCCAACTTTTTACGATCTAAGTTTTGAAATATAAATTGTGAAAGGGTGTCTAAATGGTTTTTTCTATTTCTAACCGTGAAAAATTTACAAATTTTTAGTAAAGAACCTGAAAGTAAAGATTTTTCGTTGAAAAGGGCCGATTTTTGGCAATAATTTTGACTTTTTAAGTTTTTCAAAGTTTTTAGGTAGTTTTCATAAATGAAAAATAGTTAGTGATTACGGAAAACATTATCAAAACATTTTCTATTATTCAACCCAGTCAACGCGCTGCCAAACGCCTTTAAAACCTACCGAACTCCCTGCAGACGTCGCCCAGGTATGCACGAACCGTCTTCTCGGGCTGACCGGGCCAAATGTAGATGAGCACGATATGGCGCTGGACGCCATCGCGCGTGGCCGTCACGTGCAGCCCTTCGGCTGCTGACAAGGAGACGTTTTTTAGTGTGAATGGAGTTTTAAGTTGAAACCAGGCATATTCTGTGCAGAATTTTGCGCTGATTCCGATGCTGTTTTCCAATTTTGCTAAATAGCTCGATTTAAAAAGTTACAGCTATTTTAAGATAATTTTTAGGCCCAGAGTAGCCATATGCTATGCTGTGCTACTTTTTTGTTATAACGTTTTAATCTTGTTTAAGTAGCCTATCTTGTAGAGAATTTTTTTCTGATTCGAATGGTATATTTGATTAGAGCGCTACTGCCGATCGACGATGGCTTACAGGGGTGAGAAATAGGCTGTTTTTCACCATTTCCCATACAAAAAGCGCAGCCCATACCAAGTATCGTCGATTTTTTCGATTTTCAACAATTTTGAGTTAAATAGCTCATTCGATAGAGAAAATTTTTCTGAATACGGTGACGATATTTATTTTTGGAAAAACGGCCGGGAAAAGCAATATAATGGTCCCTAAAGAGGGGGAAATTTGGGCTAAAATGATCTTAAAATTGCTATAACTTTTGAAATCGAGCTATTTAGCAGAAATGGAAAACATATTCGGAATCAGCGCAAAATTCTGCACAAAATAGGCCTGGTTTCCACTCAGAACTCCATTCACACCAAAAAACGTCTCTTTGTAGGGGTACGCCTACGCCTAAGCCTAAACCCCAAAATCACTCCTAACTTAAGCCCAAGTCTAAGCCGAACCCAGGCCTAGGCCTAAGCCTATTCTAAGCCTAAGCCTAAGCCTAAGCCCAAATCTTAAACTAGCCTGAGGCCTAAATTTGTACCTGTAAGTTCTTTCCCTAATCTTTCGGCTGAATTGGATCGCGCTAAGATTAGTACAGACGCAATCAGAAGCCCCTGAACCTGTGCTCTACCATTCATACTCATAGCCAATCGGATCTTGATCACGGGATCAGAACAAAAAGTATTTCTCTGTGAAGCCCTAAAAGCATTCGTACGATCCGGATGAGCCGAATGAACTGCGTTTTTCCGCCGGGAATGGATACAAATTATCATTCTAAAGTAGGTCATACTGAAACTCTCTCTCTCTTCTAAACTCTCTCTTCTCTCTGTCTCTCAATCTCTCTCGCTCTCTCTCTCTCCCTCTTCTCTCCGTCTCTATCTCTCGTTACAGAAACCAAGAGCAAAACACGGTTTTCCAGGGCAACACGGACATCGACTACCTCATCTGCTCACCTGACATCTTGGTCAAGAAACGTGATGCGGTGCAGCCGCCCTACAACCCGGGACGCAAGCATTTCCACAAGATGCTGTGCGCAGAGCTCGAATTTGCGAATCCGAACGGCTACAGCCCCGGAGTGCGCCTTGAAACCGCCGACCGTATCGCCATACCGTACTTCTACTGATGTGAATTTGTGGTTGTGATTGACTTTGGAATAAACTGACTGGGCTTATTGTGTTTCTCTCTCTATCTCTCTCTTTCACTCTTGCTCTCTCGTTCTCTCTTTTTTCTCTCTCTCTCTCTCTCTCTCGCTCTCGTCGCTTTACGATCTTCTTCTTCCTAGCATTAGATGTCCTAACATTGTAGTTGCGCTCGCACCGCCCTCCCACTCGGCCCCCACCTGGACCACTCCGTGTGGATACCTTCCCTGCTCCACCCCTTCATAAACTTACCTGGCTGGGGGGTTCCCGTGATCATCAAGACGGGACCCCTATGGCGAGGCTTGGCCATTGCACTTCTCGGCCGGGCTGACCTGTAAGGCAGCTCCGAGTTGGGGTTCGCCTACAGCTAAATTTTTGAGTCAGGGGCTGCGTTCGCGCGGCCCTGAATATATGTTGCATAAGGTTTCTGAGAAAGTCAAGGCTTTCATTATTATTGCTAGCCACTTTCACGTCGTAGAAAAAGCTCTCCGCTATTCATTACTTTTCGTTATTACAGATCCGTTTAACAAACCAACCTTCCCGAACCCTGTTTCATAGCTTCCGGACAAAATTCCACACCACTGGAGCTGGCTATAGAATTTTTGATTGAACGGAGACGTGTGCGCAGCGCCACACTACGGTAGTCATGGCTATCCGTGTGGGTGCTGATGAATTGCCGTGCAAATCGGGTGCAATCTTTAGGCCCTCTCTGCAAAGAATAAGTACCAATAAAATGACCTCGAAGGCGTTGATTGCCATTTTACAACTATTGCTATGGGCGGCGGATTCGCAGGATCCTTCCGACGCTTTGTACTCCTTGATTCAGAGAGACGCTTCTGAGCCCTACCCAGATGACAATTGCATCGAGATATGTGTGGCTGTCAGTTATTGCGTGGGGATTATCTTGTTGGGTAAGTTTAGGCTCAGTCCAAGCCTGAGCCAAAGCTCAAGTCCAAGCCTAAGCCTAAGCCTAAGCCTAAGCCTAAGCCTAAGCCTAAGCCTAAGCCTAAGCCTAAGCCTAACCCTAAGCCTAAGCCTAAGCCTAAGCCTAAGCCTAAGCCTAAGCCTAAGCCTAAGCCTAAGCCTAAGCCTAAGCCTATGCCTAAACATTTTCTTGTCAATTTCAGAATCAAAGTGCTTGATCCTCAACTCAACCGGAATTGTCAATTATCCCACATCGTATCTGATGCTCCGAAGCGGAAACGCTTCCGGTTACCAACTTGCTAGTTGCGGGTATTACGCAAATATAAGTAAGTCTTTTAAAGGAATGGTAGCGACTATTTTACGAAAATAATGGGTGCGGTTTTCTGGGAAATTGAACAAAAGCGCGAGACTTTGAACGCGTCCCGGGTTTGCTCGTGCTCCTCAGCACTTGCTCCCTAACGGGCTATATCAGAACGCAACGCGCGCATGACACCCCTTAGTCCCATTAATGCGCTTATTCAGGCACTTCCGTCGATCCGGCCTATACCTGTGACACCACCGCCCTCGAGTTCCCCTGCAACTCACCATATTGGTTCAAGATTCGGGTATAAAGTCTCTAAGTCGTGAAGCTCAATTGCTACAGGAAGACCCGGCGGTCGGAAGCTGCGTTGACACGTCCACTTGTCCATATTGTATGTTGACTAAGGACGTGAAATGCTATACGATACTTTCTGCTTCGGCCATGGCTTCGGCACAAAGTAAGAATTGCTGCAAAACGCAAGAGAGAGGGAGAAAGCGAGCGGGAGAGGGCGACAGATAGATAGAGAGCCATAGAGAGAAAGAAAGAGAGCGAGAGAAATCGTCAAATTCCTTGATTTTGCAAAGTTTTTCGTTTTGAAAAATCCCGACCCCATAATCACGACAGCGAAAATACCGACAGTCAAAATCTCCACAGGCCAAAATCCCGGCCTTTTTCTTTTCTTTTTTGAGTCCCAATTCCCAATTCAATTTTGCCATTTTTACTTACAGGATTTTGTTTGCCAGTGTTAGTTAACGGGGTTTTGGTTGTCGGCATTTTGACTGTCGAGATTTTTATGTTTTCCTCTCCCCTACCCATCAGTGAAACCACAGTAACATTTTTAGTAATGATGGCCCGCTTTGACCCGACCGCCCCAGCATGGACGGGCATCAAATACGCGAGTAGGCCCAGAAATGGACGATCGGCACGAATTGCTCAAATTCCTACAACTACACGGATTGGCTTGGGCCTGCTCTTCAAACGGCGATGGCTGCCGACCTGTCCACAAATGTGTGGTGTCACGTGGTAACCCTTAAGCGCCAGACAAAAATCGATGAAATCAGATCAACTTCACGTCGAGCTTCTTCTTGCCGTGCACGCAGTATTTGGATTATAAAATTTGTTATGGCAGTGTATAATAAATGGCTTAAATGAGTTTGAAGCCTAATTGTTTGACACACGTCTTGCTCTCTCTTTCTCTCTCTCACTCACACACACTCTCACTCCCTCTCGCTCTCGCTTTCTCTACCTACCTTCTTCTCTTCCCATCTATCACTCTCTAGCTTCCTTCCTATACTTCACTCGCCCTTTTCTTTTACTCTCACCCTTTCTCTCTCCTTCCCTCGCTGCCTGCTCACTATCTCTCTCTCTCTCTCTCTCTCTCTCTCTCTCTCTCTCTCTCTCTCTCTCTCTCTCTCTCTCTCTCTCTCTCTCTTCTTACCTCAGATGCCTTACATCTGATTAAAATATCACCTCTCGCCTCTACATCTCCCAAATGGCATGACTACCCGGCAGACGATTGAAAAATTCAAAGCCCGCCGAGGGACACCTCATCAAAATGTATCCATGACAATGACTAGTCGGCCGAATTTTGATCCCTTCTTCCATTCAAATTCCACCATCAAAATGATCCCGATCTCTGTTTTATTCTGTCTTATCTATTTTCTATATTCTGATGCCCAGAGTTCTGCCGATGCCAATTACGCCTTGGTACCTCGGGGATGCGATCCGGCTTATCCAACCGCTTCATGTATCGAAACTTGCTTGGCTGTACCCTGGTGCGATGGGATTTTGATGAGGGGTGGGGTGTCTTAACCTTCCGGATATCTTCTTAGATTCGACTTGTATGATTTTGAACTCGACGGGAATCGACGCCTACCCGGAATCGTATCTGTTGATCAGGGGATCGGCGGCTATACAAGACTATGAATTGACGACGTGCAGCTCCTATGATAATACGAGTAAGCGGAATTGCGAGGGCGAGAGAGAGAGCGAGTGAGAGAGAATGTTGGAGGCAGTGAGCAGGCGAGAGTGAGCAATAGGTAGGTAAAGAGGCGCAAAAAAGCAAGCAACGCTTTCTTAAAAGATTCGGTAACGATTTTAGGATTGCTTAAGGAAATCCAAAAATCGTCTGGATCTGTACATTTTGCGGTAGATGTACATCTATCGTCGCCAAAAATCCAGGAGTGGCAACCCAGAAAAATGACCGAAGGAGACAGGGAGGGCGAGATCGAGAGAGAGAGGAGAGAGAGAGAGAGAGAGAGCAATATATATTAGTTTAGCAACATCTTTATATATACGACATCTTCAGGCAGTTCAACCGCTCCCGCCTACACATGCGAGGTCGCGATTGGAAGCGAATTTCAGTGTGGTCTGAGAAACTTTACAATACGGGTACTGTTTCATTTTCTTATCTTCGTTCCGTTATCTCTCTCGCTTGCTCTCTCTATCTCGCTCTCTCTCTCTCTCTCTCTCTCTCTCTCTCTCTCCCTCTCCCTCTCCCTCTCCCTCTCTCGCTTTTCGTTAGCATCCATTTCAAGCCAAACGCCGCCCCAACACCAACCTGTGGAGCAACATGTGCACAGTGCCTAAATCAAGGCAAACCCTGCTATACGATGCTGACCGCAGCGGACTTGACCAGATCACAAAGTAATTTCCATATTTTCAACTGACTTATTACCTTTACTTTGCAGTCATCATGGCCAGGACCAACATTGCCGCGCTGGCTTGGACGGGTATCGTCTACAACAAAACCACATCCACCTGGGTGACGCAGTGTACGGTGGCGAATACGTACAACACGTGGTTGAAACCGACTGTGAATACTGCGATCGCGGCCGATGCTGCGACAAAGATATGGTGTCATGCGGTGAGAGAGAGAGAGAGGGAGAGGGATAAAGACAGCGAGAGAGTGAGAGAGCGAGAGAGAGACAGAGCACGAGAGAGAAAGTGAGGGAGAGAGCGAGCGAGACATGCAGTGAGAATGAGGCTCGGCTATTTCTCTTATATTTTTCAGATCAACTACACGCATAGCCTCTTCTTGCCTTGCGCCCAACCGCTAGAATGGAAAATTTGTACGTCGTCGAGCTGAATAAATCTTTTTATTCCTTTCGAAAATTTGAAAAAGAAGACGCTCTTTGTCGCTCTCTCTCTAACTCTCTCTCTCTCTCTCTCTCTCTCTCTCCATCTTTCTCTCTATTTTTCTCTCTCGTTCTCCCTCTGTCTCTCTCACAATCTCTTTCTCTTCCACTTTGTCTCTCTCACACTTTTGCCGTCTCTCGCTCTGCCTATCTGAGGCACAACGTTTAAGAATTAATTTTGAACCAGGGTTGAAAAACCGCTTCGCGGCTTTTCAACCCTGGCCCCGTCTTCTCCAAAAATATTCTTGGCTTAGCATAATTTTCCCGGATTCGGATGACGAAAAATGAAAAATGCTCTTGCCATCCCTTTATATAGGCTACCGCGACTTCCGGTGCATGCTAATTTGATCCTAACAAACTGCGGTGCCCGATTTTCCACGAAAAACTTAATTTTAATGTCGACAACATCATATTTTGTAAAATCTAATATGTGTGCAGTCATCTCCAGCCCATTACGCACCTAATGATGTATCGAACATACCCCTAAGTACTTCCCTTCTTGAGATACTACTGGAACACGGTGACGGAAGTCATGCAAATGCACACACACACACAAACCCTATTTTTTTCTATATAGTAGGATTTCTATCGTTTGTAAATCTTTCCAAATCTCTCGCTACCTCTCTCCAGAGCTCCCTCACGCCTCTCTCTCTCATCTCACATTTTCTCTCTCGCTCTCTCATTCTCTCTCGCTCTTTCTCTCAGGCTCTCTCTGGTTTTTGCAAAATTTGACACTATTATTCCTGCTGTCAAACGAATCCTGTTGCGGCCCATCACCATGACCACCTCCATAGAGCCCACGCGTGCCGATCTGAAAATATTTGAGGCGAAGATGCAAATTTTCTGTGCCTATATCTTACTCCTAGTGATCAAATTTGCCTTTTCGCAAAATCAGACCACCCTCGGGCTTTTCAAGGTCGATCCTGGGGCGCCGGATATTCAGGATGCTTGCACACAGATGTGTATCAGCCTGGACTTTTGCGATGGCGTGCTGACGAGAAGTTCGTTTTGGAGAAGCTAGAACGAGCGAGAGAGCGAGAGAGATAGGGAGCGAGCTAGAAAGAAACGCTTTAGACGACAACTGCGTAATCCTGAATTCAACGCAACTCGAATCAACCTCGCCATCCTATATAATTCTCCGGGACAACTTTTCCGGTTACGTAAATTCGGGTGGATGCGTGGAGATGCAAAACGATTGTGAGATAAAAGCTATCCTCAAATAAATCGGTTTTAGCCTATAGTTTTCTGGCCGGAATCCCGGAGCTGACTTGCCCGATCATTTACGACGAGCCTTTCGAATGTTTCTATCTCCGGCAAGACTTCAACACGTATCTAATTCAGGTTTGTTGGCAATTCGATCTACAAATTTTTGCTTTTAGAATGAGCCACAGGGAGGCTGGGCAGATCTGTATTGCCCGGTTCTAAATTCGAGTTCAATTTGCTGGACATGGTCGTCTCATGATTTCTGGATGTATTGGACAGGTTTGGGAAGGCCAGATTCTCGAGCTCTCATTCTTTCTCACTCGCTCACCCTCTCTTACCTCTCTGTCGCTCTCTCTCTCAGTCTCTCTCTCTCTTTCTCTCTTTATCTCTCGTTCTCGCTCTCTTTCTTAATCTCTAGCTTTCTTGCTCGCCCTATCCCTATCTCGCTCTCGCTCTCCAACTCCGACGTTTCCCCTCTCTCTCACTCGCTCACTCTCGCTCTCTTACGCCCTTATTTCTCGTGCCCACTCTCTCTCTCTCTCTCTCTCTCTCTCTCTCGGGTTTCCGGAGGTATTCAGTAACAGGATAACGTCAACGCGTAGGATGGTGTTGCCTGAAAAAGCGCAAAGAACTCCCCGAAAAATTTCGGCACCTCGCCAGCCGGGAATTGGAAGATTTTTTAGCAATTCTGGCACGAATCAGCCCTTCCGTGCTCGCCTGGACTGGCATTGTCTACTCGACGAGCACGGCAAGCTATTCGAGCAGTTGCAACTTCACCATCGACTACAGTTGGTTGGACGACGCGAGGACGACGGCCACAGCCCAAAACGCCAGCACCGACCTTTGGTGCAATGCGGTTAGCCATACCCAATGCACCAAGTCTTTTCTTTAGATCAACTCGACAGATTCCCTGTTCCTGCCCTGTTCGCAATCAATTCCGCTGCGCATCTGCGGCTTGAACAGTTGAATAAACGATACCAAGCCGAACGGATTAGAAAGAACTCCCAATAAATATCGTAATAACGCCTCAACGCCCGCCACTATAAAACTTGTCACCGATTTCGAAACTTGCATGCCGATATGGCAGCGATACATGGTGGTAGCGACGATTCAGCCATACAAATACGCGGTTTACATGATGTATTTGCATAAAATCGGTCAGTTCAGACCCTATGCACCTGGTCTGAACGGTGGGTTCTTGGCGTTATCCCAATCTGCGAAATCTCATTACATAACCTGGAAACTCGATTGGAGACCCAGCCTACCTTATTCAAAAATTTTCGCGGATTCCGAATTTGTTTTTCAAATCTGCCAAGCACCCGATTTGAAAACTGACAGCTGCTTTAGTCACAAAATGGCCGGAAATGACCTCAAATCCCTTCAAAAATCTTATAGAACACTTTCTATCTTTCTAACTTGCCTATCTGAAGGCTGGACGATTTTATCGAACTAGTTTTATCGTAAAAAACTTCTCGTTTCTCCAGCAAGTTTCGACTTCTTCGGCAAGTTTCGACTTCTTCAGTTGCTTTATTACTTACTTGGGCAGCTCGCTTCTTTCCTCCCGCAGCCCTCCCTGACACAATAAAATAAATCCGGCTTCAACTTTGTAAACCTGTATTTTACCGGTATTCTGAAAACGCCATCAGAAACACAAGGGTCGATTCCCCGACGTGACGAAGAATCCGGGCAATATATCCAGGGCGCCAAAATCATATAAGGTAGGATAAAAGAGGACCGCTTTATTAAGAAATCGCACCAGAGATCGACACTTCAGGGAACGGGACAATCACATTTGGGCGGTACAAATACGTAAAGATAGGCGGTGAATTTTTGGGGCTTAATTTGGGCGCTGCATTGAAGTTGTGGACGAGTGACGCGGGAGAGAGCCAAGTCTAGGATTAATGGATAATCAGGGAAATGTTTTGCTCACTTAAGCAATTTTCTGGCCATTTCACTTCTCGGGCTGCTCGTCCAAGTCGAAGTCGGCGCGGGAAGCCGAGCTCTGCAATCGAACCTTGTGTAAACCGTCGGAGCCGCGGGCTCACCTCAGAATCTTGACGAGTGTAGAAAAAGGGCAACTTGGTAATGTAGATGCACTCGCAACCCGACGAGCATCTAATGACGTTGCAGCCGTGATCCTAAATCGAGCTATTCTTAGGGCACAGAGCTATTTCTACCCGAATATTCGTTAAAGAAATCCTTAAATCTCATTCCTAAAATTCTACCAAGTAAGAAATTTGTATTTTTTGTTTGTTTTAAATTATTATAGGATTAAATTAAAACTAAATCAGATTGAAAATTAAAACCAAAATTAAAAGTAAAACCAATCTAAGATGTCGATCGAAAATGTCTCCTTGTAAGTATAGGCAAAAAATTAGCATTCTCGCGGTCCCCCCCCGCTAACAGTAAAGTGCCAATATTTACTTGCTAGCTAGGATTAATTACTAGTCCAGGCTTGATACCCACAGATCGCACAAATCCCATGACGCCCTTCTTGAGGGACATCAGGCCAATCTTGGCCAGACATCCACCGGCTTGTGCCTTCCCGAGGAACACAGCTCGCCACCAGCCCGCACCCATCTTTCCGCGCTTGACGAACGCCCAGATGTACTCGTACTTGCTGAGAATGCTTTCACATGACCATACTGTTGTATTTCAACGGGGGGGGGCTATACCGCGGGGAACTAGATCCTGGTTCTTTCGCATTATCGGGGGACGCAAAAATAGCGATTTTCACCTAAGACTTTTCCGAGTTTATTCCGTCCGGGAATCCATTTTTGCCAAGACACCCGGTCGAATCATTACTCACCCCCTGCCCACCGTAGTGATGGCGAAAAAATAGAGTCCTACTGCAGCTCATCAATCGAACGGCCCGAAGTCGAGAGCGGCAGGAAAGAGGCATCGGGATGCTCGGCGAGGTCGAGCTTGTCGGGGTTGGGCACATAGTAACCAGGGTGCTTCTCGCAGGTCTGCAAAATGCAGCCCCTGTTACTCGTGACACTTGACGAAACCGTGACAAGAGCCACTGTTTCTAATTTTATTTTAGCACCTTCACCAATACACACGAATAAAAGGTGAATTTTTCAAAATCAAGTCTCGTCGTTGCTATGATTTGTCTAGGACAAAGATTTCGATTAATATACCGGCAGCTGGTCACCATTCGGCGGACCACCGCTGTTGTCGTTGTTCTCGCCGGCCTACGGGAGGAGGCTCGTGTCGGTGTTGAACCGGCCGCTGGCGGTGATCTGAAAATCATGAATTGCCGTTTATCTGATTTGTTTAAGGCGAGGATTTCGATTAGTAAAAACGCCACCCCTTCACCCGTGGCTCGTTGCCTTGTTAGCCCTCCCCCCGGTGCTAAAGATGAACCGGCACCCTGAACTCCCACCTTGTATTCGATGTCGGAGAAGGCCGCCAGCGTCGCCTCCAGGCACCTACGAAATGACCAGCCTGCTGCAGTTTTGAGCGTTCCTTGTTCAGCAATTCCTGTAGCGATAAAATGTAATGTTCTGCGTTTCATACCAGCATGAGTACCTCGATCGATGTCTTTTCCTTGAGCGAGTAGGTGGCGCCTTCGGCCTCAATCTCGGAAATCAGCTGCAAAAGTATCCCTATTGAGGCTGGTCGCAGAGCGGTTACTATAGCCAGCTATCGGGGAGGGCCAGTCAAGGCCGTTTTGTTTGTTTTCAGCCGATCATTTTTGGAGGGAGGGGGCATTTTTGGTTGTCCGAAATTTTTGGCGACCTTTGCAACTGCAACTTTTACGACTTTTTCCGAATTTATTAACTTTTTTAATTTTTATTATAATCAACGGATGCGTTTTTAGTAGAATTGTTTTTTAACTATTCCTAAGCATAGACGATTGACAAATTTTAATTAAACACTTTATTTTAGGTCGAAAATTGATCTTTTTTTTGAGGCAAAATATTTACGTATTTCCCACATTTTCGACTCTTCCAAACCTTTATCTAACTTTTTTTGGACGTTTTTTTGAGGCTTTTCTATATTAAATATAGTTAAAACTTACTAAAAAGTAAAAACACTATATTTGATTACTAGGTGAACCGAGAGCGCCAGGAAAAAAAGCCCCACTGCCGCAAAAATCCTAAAGAACCCAAAAAAGTATAAAAAGGGGTGCAAAAAATTGCTTGCGCAGCTAAAAACCGGTCGGCAACATGCAAAATATCGCCGCCGGCGTAGTTTTTTTGGAAATAGGCTGAAGAACAGCGTTAAAAACTCTATTGTTGAAAAATCTAGAGCAAAATTACAATTTCCTAGGATCGATGTGGAATAATTCTAATCAAATAATCCTAAAAAGCGACGTACTGACGAGTTGCATGCAAAGTGGCACACACCCAGACGGGCACACAAATACTATTTTTTACATGTAGTGGGAATTGGGATACGGCACTACAGTCTCAAACGGTTTTTACCGGGCATTTGGTCAGACCCTGCGGCAGCTTGGAATCGATTTTGGCCATTTCCCGCTGCGTAGGCCGCGGGAAGAGCTAAACATGGTTTTTTTTTCATTTAGAGAAAATAGTGTACTTTATTCAGGTACTTTGCCGGTTTCTTCACACCGACGACATCCCTGGCGTCGCCGAGGCTGAGCTGGCGGCCGGCGGCCTGCAGCGCCTCCTCCTGTAGCTTCCAGTCGGATTCGGTCTAAATTACAAAGTTAGTTTCTATTCTGCCACAGGAATTGGATGGATAAAACGAACTTTAAGGATTTGTAGCTGCAAATTGTAGGAGAAGTCGTCCTGGATCTTCGCATTTCCCATCACCTAAAAACCTTTCAAAAGTCGACATGTTTCTCCCCACAGCTCCACCGCAATGATAGGCGGATTGGATGAGCGCGTTCAGCTGCTCCAGCCAGCTGTTGTCCGCTTGCTGGCGAACGACCTGGAAACTCCTTGCTCAACAGGTTGGTGGGGCGAGGGGGGGAGGGTTAGGCTGGATGAAAGAGTAAGGATTTTTCAGGGGTCATTTTCGTATATTAAAGACTTACTGTGGCTTGTCCACGCGAGATAACCATTTTTGGTCGAGCGTTGCAGATGGGTGATGAATTTTTGCCGAAACTAGGAATTTCGGTGCTATGCAAAAAACCAGATGCAAATTTTCCATCCGCGTTTATGCCTTATGCGCACGGCCAACCTTCGTTTCGTCGATTTGTGTAGAAGATACACCAAAAGGTGGAGAGAGAGAGAGAGAAAGAAAAAGAGAGAGAGAGAGAGAGAGAGAGAGAAAGAGAAAGGGAGGGAGGGAGATAGTGAGCTAGGCTCAGAGACAGTGACGAGAGAGGCTGAGAGGCGGTGAATGCGCGAGATATGGAGGCCAGCGATAGCTAGAAGACAAAATTCTGAAAGAATTTCTTAAAAATATTACACTTGCCATAAGCATAATTATAGGTCTGTGCTACAAATTTTGATGACCGGATTGATGACATAATGTGGCGCAGCGCAAGTTGATGTCACAAAGGCAGCGCTTTTGTATCTTCGACTGTGGAACTTGATGGGAAAGCCAGACCGCTAAGAGGCAGAGAGAGAGAGCGAGAGAGATATAGAGAGAGAGATAGAGAGAGAGAAAGAGTGAGAGTGAGTGAGAGTGAGTTTGAGATTGAGAGAGAGGGGAGGCTGATAGAGTATTTGTTCGGAAGAGAAAAGAGAGAGATTTTCCGGCTTTGCTAATTGATTGAGCTATCGCAAAATTAGCGCTGGTGTTTGGGCCCTCGCTTGCTCTTTTGATCGGCAATTGCAGCCGGTTTGCCCAATCGAACCCAGGTGCGGATTTTAATCGCGTAAGCAAACTAATTTCCTTATGAGGCCCTTTTAAAGCCTTTCGATATTGTTCTCTCGCTCTCTCTCTCCCTCTCTCTCTATCTCTATCTCTCAGGATCTCTCTCTCTTTCTCTGTCCCGCGCTCTCTCGCCCAATGTCTCTCCCTCCGCTTTCACTCCGGCCATGTTTTTGTCTTTCTTTGTGGGGCCCTGTTCTCTTTGCACTTTCGAAGATCCGATCTTTTTGACCTAGCGTCTGCGGCCGATGCTTGGGCCGGGTGTACAACGTGTGTGGCCCCAATACCCAGCATAATGAGGGCGACATCCCTGCCCCAACCAGATCGGTCGACCAAGCCCCAAATTATCGATCCATTTTTCGCAACCGCTGCGTAAATCCGGCAGCTGTTCGCGCAAAACTTACCTTTACCTCTTGTTCGATACTTGCACGATTGTACACCTCCAGGGCTAGGCTTCACTTCACTTCCCCCCCCCCCTCCCGTCGGAAGCTTACAAAATCTTTCGACATTTTGTATTTGTATTTTGTTGGGATCTTGCTGAAACCATTCGATAAAGTATCAAAAAAATGTACTACTAAAAAGGTACTATTACAGCCCAAAATAATGTAATATATAAAAGTTTTCGCGAAAAACTTCCTGCCGGGTGTGGGGTGAAGTAGAGCCTTACCGCCGCTTGAATAAATTCCCATTTAGGTCCGTCAAATATGGCCACTCCTGAGAAGAAATTAAAGTCACCCCCCCGCCCGCCACAGATGCCACTACGCGCTCCACGTGACAAATATCAAAGCAACGGTGGAAATGAGCTCGTGTCCCAAAAAAGCGCCCCTCCGGCTGATGGCCGTCTTACATCCGATCGGTCCCAGACTTTGCACAGGGGTTGGCAGCCCGATTGCTAAAGTATAATATTATTCAACTTATAGCCAAAAGACTGTTTTTACCCGTTGATAGCAGTTTTCCGGTTATTTTGTACTTTCCATCGGTTTTTATCGACTTTCGGCTTTGAATACCTCATTCCGGCTATCGGGGGGTGTTTTTTTGGGTTGCAGAAACCGTTTGAATAAGCGATTGTTTGGTCAATTTTTATCCGGCAAGAACAGTTTTTGGGTAAAGAAGGCTTGCCGCATCATTTTCACTTAACATTCCAAGGGCATTTTTATCCCGACGAAAACCCCACGAAAAAAATCATCAAGTGTATTTTTGCTGTATCGCGAAAACTACTGTAGCTATGAGGCTATCAGTCAGGGTTGTGGTTGTTTAGGGTCTAATACACCTCTGGTCCATTTTGGCATCGATTGGATGTAAGACGGTGAAATGTGGGAGGGGTGCTTTTTTGGGACGCCCTGTACTTTTTTATGGTGTTGTTTGAAAACTTTTTAACTCATAACCGAAGTTCAGGAGCCCTGCCCTTCATTTGAACATTTGCGCTGGAGCCTGGCGAACCATCGGGCCTACGATGAAGGGATGCTTTTATACCCAGCGGTCTTCTTCACGACTACCCTGGAGTGTTCCAACGCCGGAGAAGCGGTGATCCCGAAGAAAAGTGTTTACCCTTGCCGAGCGATTTCCGGAGAAAAACACTGGAGAGCCAGGGTGCCGCTGAAGAGATTTAGCGGCTGGAGCATTTTCAAATTGAGGTGGGTTTTTGAGGTGCTTGCATAAGTCTGCATTTTCATGGAGATTCCTGTCCCCTAACAAGGAGACGTTTTTGAGTGTCATCGGGACTTTCGATGGGACCAACCTATCTTGTGCTGAAGTTTCCGCTAATTCCGAATATAGTAATTAACTTCTAATTTTCAAGCCATTTTTATCAATATTTGTGAAAAATTGAAAATTTTGTTACATTTGAGCCCAATTAGTTTTAGAGAAAATTTCAAAAGTTTCAAAGTTTCTGAGTGTAGCAGCTTTTTTTATAGAGAATTTTTCTGTGTCGAGACACTAGCTGATTTTTTTAAAGCCTATTCCGACGCTTTTCAAGTCTTGCCTAACTAGCCGATTTGTGGGCGTTTTTAGCTTTAAATTGTTCATAACTCTCGAGAAATGGCCATTCCGCACTCAAAAATTATTGCCATATTCGGAATCAACAAAAAATTCTGCCCAAGATCGGTCCATTCCAAAATCCCGACGACACTCAAAAACGTTTCCTCGTAAGCCTAAATCTAAATTTGACCCTAAACACGTAGTTCCAACCAAAAGCATATTTCGCAAACGTAAAACGCAGGTTACCTTGTTGATAAAAATTCCTTGTAGGCATCCCGAACAAGTGTCGTTAATCCTGGTGGATGCGAGCCATGAACCTTGGCTAACCGGCAATCCTCGCCTTCAAAAGCTTGACGCCGCCGACAATCCATATCTACGTTACAAGGGCAGTTCCTGGTTTACGAATCTGTACCAAGATGACCACCGAACCTACTTGAAGGTGGCTATAATCGGAAATGTCGACCTAGAACGATGCATCCGGGTCGAGGCCAAACTTTTTGCGGCTATGAAACAACATATTACGATCGAGGCAATCGAGGCGTATTTTGAAGAAAATGGCGAACACCTGCAGTGGCGAGAATCAGAAATCGAAGGACAAGAGGCCGAAGACGTGTTCCGTTTTATACACTCGGAACTGACGGGCGTCGGCAAGACCCTGGATGCCAATCGTTGCCGAAAGTACGAGTGCAAACGAAAAAGCCAAGAAATTTCGCCGATTCAACTTGACGAACTCGCCAGGATTCTGGCCAAAGAATTGATGGTGCACGTTTGGAAGTACCGGGAGCTGCGAGATCCGCAGCAAGCGGGCCCGGCACGCTCGCAGTACATCCCCCGCATGGCCGAGATCGTCAACAGGTACAACGCACACGGGCCGGTTCCCTGTTGCTGCTGGTGCGCACACTGGGATACGGTATGGAAACGTATTGACTTTATGCCGCCGCTTATGGTGGAAGATGAGCCGACGTGGGAACTTGTTAAAATCATTAATGAAAGGGTCCAGGTTAGAAAAGTTTGTAAAATTAATAATATGCTTCGTGTAGGTTCCGGAAACATCCGGTCGGCCATCGGCAGCGCAACTGACGCATTCCCCATCAAAAGGAGGATGGAAGAATAAACGTTTTTTAATCGAATAAATTCGTATCGCTTGCAAAAGCGTGGCCGCTTAAAAGACAATTTTTTTGCCACGTGATAAATGCCATCTCATCCCGCGCTCAAGATCCTAAGCCTCATTTCCAAAATTCGCCCTCTGCCAAAAATCTTTTTTTTTTTAAAGAAATTTGAAAGAAAGAAAGAAAGAAGAAATTTTTTGAAAGCTTTATTCTGCTTTATTTTATCGGCATCAGCTATGCGCATAAGTTTAATAAAAATCTTTCGCACAATAAAACTAGCCACGCTTCTCCAGAATCGAGTCAAATTTGCCAAACCACCATTGTTTTCGCGGAACCACTTGTTGGTTGTTCGTGAGCGGCCGATCCCCACCCCCGTCTAAAACAAGAAGGGAGCTTCCTTATATAGCGCTTTTCGTTCTAGTAGCTCGATACTAGAAATCGATATACTTCGATTCTACCGTACTTCTACCATGAAGACCATTTTGCATTTAATTCTTCTTCTGACCTTTGCCTCGTTGGTAAATTCGGTAAGCATCCATTTCGGACAGTCAGATTACGCCCTTCCAGCAACTGCTCTCCGGTGGCCTCTCCGGTTTACGGATCCCGCCCGGTTTGAGCGGTTTTCGGAGCCTGAACCGACCGGCGGAAAGGCTTGGCTCAAACAGACTATCCAAGGTACGCACCGCAAATTGTTAAAAAAAAATCGATCTTAGAAATTTACCGAGATGTTGATGCGGAAGCATCCCGGAACTATTGCATGACGCATCGATTACGCGGAAATAAATATTTTTTAATTATTTTCAAAGAGCTGGTTTTAATTTTTCCAAAGGAGGACAGTCAGCCGATAAAACACAGAAAGGCTTTGGGGAAATGTGGGCTACCGAATGCTTTATCATCAATTACTTCGATCACTCCCGCTCGCTCTCTCTCTCTCCAACACACAATCCCTCTAACTCTCTTTCCCTCTCTCTCAAACACTATCTCTCTAACTCTCTTGCATTGCCCTAGCTCTATACCCCTCTATCTCTCGCTCGCTCTCTCTATCTCTCTCTATTTCTGTCTCACTCTCTCTATCTCTCGCCCTTCCACACTTTTTGCTTACGCGACTATTTTCTCTCCGCCCATGACCTCTTTTTGCTCGGAAAGGAATGGCAACCTCCCGGGCTCCGACCAAAAAAAGCTCGGCACACGGCTGGCCGAACAGCTGATTTGAATCTCATAAGCAAAGCTGTGCCCATTATAAAAGATGCTCGGGTATTGCACAAGGACATTTCGAGGGTTTCGTGTTCCCCCATTTTCCAGATCTTTCAGATTTTTCCAGCACTGCCACTTTTAAGCCATGCTTCCAATTGATTTTAGGCTAATTTTATATATTTGATATACTTCCGGTCTTCAAAAGAGGATAAGCAATTGATTTTTTAGCATTTCGTATAGCCGCTGTAATGACGGAAATTGTGGATGTTGGATGTCATGTGACGAATGTCAGCGCGTTGGTAAGTCCAAAATTTAACTTTTTGCAGGTAGAAAAAGGTAGGAGATTTCGGGCAAATTGTAAATATCGTTAAACAACTCATTCTTTGAAAATCAGAAGCTCATTGATTTTTATTTTAGACAGCACCGAATAGTCGAAATATACAAACAAGCAAACCAAAATAAAAAAATCTCAGGAGCCCTGCCCGTCCTATCCAACGCTGAAATGGAGCCCGGCACTCGATGAATATTATGATGGACCGCTACTGGGTTATCCGCTGACCTTCTTCACGACGTCGCTGGAATTGGATGAAGAGGGCGAGCCGGACCTGCCCGAGATGAGCGCCTACCCGTGTGGAGGGATTGACAAAATGAGATATTGGCGTTGCTTGATACCGCTGGAAAACTTTGAACGTGGATATGTGCTTTTTGAGGTGCTGCCGAAGATGTGAGTTTGAGAGATTTAAGGGGAGTTAACAACAAAGCTCAAGTGAGAGAAAGAGAGCGAGAGAGAAAGAGAGAGGGAGGGCACGCAGGTGAAAGAGAGCGAGAGCTTCAGAGCGAGAGAGACGGGAGATGGAGCAGGAGAGAGAGAAAGAGAGCGAGGACCCTGAGTATACAATAATATTTTTTAAGACTAAGAAAATATCTAATCTTCAAGATACTCTTCTAATATAATAACTAATCTACTCTTCTTTCAGAAAGGGCCAGGACTTCCTGCTCTTCGTCAAAGAAAATCAATCCCACCTCTTCGCCAATCGCCCAGACCATTTTCAACGGTGTCGCGGGCTCCAACACCCATCCCTCTCTTTCCGACAAGATGAATGGTACAGCACCGTCTACACTAGCCCCAGGGATCGCTACTGTAAAGTGGCCGTCCTCGGGGACGTCGAGCTTCCGACTTGCATCCGAGTATCAGGACGTCTGCTCCTCCAGGCAATTGACGCCATGAATGATGAGCTCATTTCGGAGGCAGTTCCGGATGAGGATAAGGAGGGATGGTCGAACCTTAGCCTGGAGGAACGCCGTCGGAGCGTCGTGAAGACGCTCAAGTTTCTTTATGCAAATCGGTGTCGCAGTTTGGGATGTAAACATCCGGGACGTCGATATCCTGAAGAGGTGAGTGTAAGGTGGTTGAGAGACGGAGAGATAAAGGGAGATCGAGAGAATGAGAGTGAAAGAGGGAGAGGGAGAGAGAGGGGCGGTATGATGCACAGCAAACCGTTGTGTAAAACTCTGATCTCCAGATGTTTTTCAGCTCGCCGAAGCAGTCGCCCTCCACGTCTGGAAGCACTCCGAACTTCTCCACAAGGGCTCCAAAAAAGCCTACCCAGAACAATTCCTCGTATCGCTGATCCAGATCACGCAGGGCAAGAACACGCACGACAGTCTGCCGTGCGACTGCCCCTGCGACCACTGGGATACGGTAACAAAACGCCCGGGGGGCCATGGTCCACTTTTGGAGCGGGACGTCCTCGCGGAGAAAATCGTGAAGCGATTCCATGCTATGAGAATTTAGGTGAGCTTCGCGTTAGAAAGATAGACATTTTGAATTTTTACGAAAATGAAATTAAGAATTTTCTTCAGATGTTGCCCTTCGTTTTATGCAAAAGATTCTACAAAATGATCAAATATATCCACTACCATAAATAGACCATAATTTGCCACCATGCGCGTGCTTGTGATGAAATCGGAATAAAAATTTATTAGTCCTGAACTTTGCACATCCTCTCGCACTCCTCCTGCGTCCGGAATTGGTGATCCTTCAAGCAAGTATTCGGATTTGTCACCATGGTGCAAGAATTACGGCGGATACTGTACTGGTAGGCCTTTGAGAAGGCTTGACTAGAAAGATACAAAATTGGTGGTCTTTTTGAGGCTTCTCCTACCCGCAAATCCTTCCAAGGACGCCATCATACACTTTCCGAGTAGCCCTGCAGCGCTGTGGGACCTCCTGGGAGTTCGGGAATCGCTGGAGGTCGTGGATTTCTGAAAAGAAGCGATGGAAGTTGATTTTATTAATGGTGTCAATCCTTTAAACTTTGTAATATAGCTTAAGGGTGTATTTCGTCGGGTTTTGTGTCGGATTCTTGAATTGGTGCACTTTTTCTATTAAACTTCAATAAAATGTACCTGTCGAAAAAGTGAAGCAAAAGTAAATTACTAGTAAGATTAAGTGGAGAAAAGTCATGACCAGTTATAATAGGCCGGAACGGTGAGCTACTAGTGTTTACTTAGATGTCAGTCCAACCCCTCGGCTAGTGCGGTGATCCGTGTAAATAAACTCAGTCACGCTGAACCAAGCAGATTTTTTGGACGCGCGTTTTTCGCGAAAATTTGGAAACGGACTGGCGAAGGTGTAATCCTAAAATTTAAGCGGATAATTCTCAATCGCTGTTAGAAGATATCAGCAAAGCCGTCACAAAATGAAAAAATAATTCGCTTCTTCGTCGCGATAAAGCTTTGTATTTGCGATTTTCGGCATAACCTCGAACTCTGGGCTGAAATTCTATGTAGTTTGGACTCCTACGGAATCTCGGACAGCCATTCCCTTCAAAAAGAAACAAATAATTCCCGATCTCTCACGCCAGCCCTGCCATCTTTTTTCGCGGCGCACTTCCGCGCGGGGGAAGGCGCCCCGCGGGTGTCAGCCATGGTTTTGAGGGGCGGATACCTGGAATTTCTCAGATTCACATAGCTCCGATGAATAGCTTGATGAAAATTTTCATCCTCGCTTTTTGCCTTTTTCAACTAGCCACAAGCTGCACCAAAATGGACGATCATCCGCTTGGCGGGAATCTTAAGTGCAGAGGGGCTTGTAAAATGGAGGTAAGCGCTATAAAGAATGTTTTATTCGACTATATATAAATTTCAGTAACACGAAGAAAATATAAATTCATCCTAGGGCTGCAAAACCGGAAAGTGCATCAAGGCGGCCGGGGTACCGGCTTGTCAGTGTCAATGCAACACCGGCCTCGTCATCCAGGCCAACCTGCCCGAGGCTCCATTCCCGAGATTTTCGCGATGAATTCGTGTTTATTTATTTTGTGGCGGGTTTTAATAAAAGTAAGATACAGTTTCTCAGTATAAATCGACAAATCAGATTGGCTCAAGTCTAGGAAACCCCCCCCAGCCGTAACTTTTCAGCCATACGTCCTATTAATGCGCCGAGTATCTCAAAATGTTCGCCGTGGTCGAATTACTATAGAAAAGTTGTTTCTTTACACCAAAAATTGTTAGAAAAATTTTAATAACAATTATAAGTCTGGGTTTTCTTTAATTAATTTTTCCTGGTCTAAAGTGACTTTTCGTATCTCGGCTATCTTTTGTCCTACAGAGCTGTCAATGGTATCAAAATGTAGCTCTTGCTCTGTAAAATAAGGCTACAGTACATTTGAGTCGAAAAAATAGCGGAAAATAAAAATATTTGAGTTTTAGACTCCTGGTACATTGAAGCACAGCGGCTTAATCTTTTCAACTTTCAAAATCTTGTAAAAAAATTTCTAGCAATTTTTGCCGCAAGGAAACAACTTTTTTATAGTAATTCGACCACGGCGAACATTTTGAGATACTCGGCGCATTAATAGGACGTATGGCTGAAAAGTTACGGCTGGGGGGGGTTTCCTAGACTCTTACCATCAGATTTGCTTACAGAGAACGACGTTTTTATGCAGTTTAGACCCCCTAAAATCTCGGGCAAACCCAAAATAGAATTTAAAGAAATCGCTAAAATAAGAAAACAAGTTTTTTAAGGTATCTTTTGTTTTATCCGCTTTTTTGTATAGCGAAGTCAGGTTTATGACGTAAATTTAGATTGAGGCAGCTTTAAACAGCGTTTCTAGATATTTTAGAGGAGCTACGACCTAAAAAAAAACATGAAAAATGATAAGACAAGTTTATCAATGTATTTTCCGGAGTTTTATAATTTTTTTCTTATAAAACAAATCTGGATTTCTAGCGTATTTTGTCGTTTAGAGCGCTTTTCAATACATAAAAACCCTTAAAGAAGCCCGAAAATGCAGAAAGAAACTTGTTAATGTATCATTTTTGATTTTTCAAAGTCTATTTAAGAAAGTAAAGCCCAAATTTTATTAATTTAGTACTATTTTTCTTTACTTTCTGCTATCCAAACAGACCCTGAAATCCCACCCGACCTCGCGTAAGCTGGTGTAGTTCGTAGTCGAGGCCCCTGCGACTGGGCTAGCCAGTGAAAGTGACCAAGTTGCTACTTTTCTAGTTATATCTTGGGTTTTGTTTAAAATTATTGTAAAACACGTCATAAAATCACTTTAGGAATGAACGCGATTCGTTCCTCAATCCACCGGCAGTTATTCCAGCCCGAGGACGAGCGGGTGGCCTCGATTATATGCATCACGAAAATCGATGGCAAACGGAAGAAGCACCCGACTTATTTGGCGATTGCACGTAGGTTTTAGAAAGATATACATAAAACAAAATGTTTATACAAAATACTATATTATTTATCATCGAACGTTCAATTATGGCTGTTTTATCGACAAAAATATCCCTCTAGACGAAATAACTGGGATGTTTCATGAATACTGTTAATTTTGGCGCGTAGCGCGCGTGTTTGAGTATATTAAGAAAGTTTTTAGTGAGAAATCGACCACAAATAGTACAAATGCAACTTTAAAACGTTTTATAGCGCTGTTATATCTGAAATTATAAGAGTTTTACAAGTTAAAGTGCCGTAAAGTTGTCAGAATCTATCCAAACATACCTTACTTCGTCGTTAAGGCATTTTTATACCTCAACAAGTAGAAGATAAAGTGAAAAGTAAAATAATTTAGCTAGAGAGCATTAATTTGAACGTTTGAGCAGTTCCAACCTGGGTTTGGAACCAAAATTGGTCAAATTTTTCAAATCCAAATGTCGATTGCCGAATAAATCGATTAAAATTAAATCTGCACCTTAGGATATTATTTTGATAAACGAAGGTATCTTTTTCTATTCTAGTAACCGCGCAGCACCCATTCTCCGTGCGCATCTACACGATCAAAGCCGAGAAGGAGGACAGCTACCGGAAAAAGGAGACATGGCAGCTGAAGGATATCCGGATGGTCGATGGGATCAATCCGAGAAGAGTGGGTGTTTATGGGGAATATTTTTGAGCGCTGAATAGGATTTTCCTGGAATATTGGACCCGCGCCCGCCTCGAAATTGATGGCCTGTGAAAATGGATTTTGGGGTTGGGGGGCGATGGGAACGCGATTTTCGATATTTTGCATGGAATTTGTACAGTTTTTTACCTGTTTTGAGGGTTTTAAATACCTTGGAGAACGGGGAATGTACTTAGGGTTTTTCTACAAACACTGAAAGCTAGATGGTTTTGTAGGAATTAGAGCACCTAGAAAATTTGATAATCAATTCAGCGTTTACTTTTTTTGTGATAGTAGGAGTTGATTTTCAGAGATTAAATGAGTGAAACTTTTGTATTAATGGCATTGTCTATTAAACTTCTTAAAACGGATATTTCTAAGGTGCGAAAAAACCAAAACTTGAAAATCGGCAATGTTTTGAGGAATAAGGCAATTTTTAAGGAAAAAGGTGGCAGAAAAATGTGTCTTGATTCTGGGTGTAAGAAATAAACTATTATTATAAGGTTCTTAACTTTTTAAAGACCTTATCATATTTTTCAAACAGTCATTTCACGCTCCCTTTAAAAAGTTAACGACTATTTTATTTCCAGGGCTCCGAAGACTTCATCATCCAGCACAACGAGAAGGCCTTCAGAATGTCGGCCAGCACGGTGGAGGAGAAAGATTCGTTTGTGCTTCAGCTTCAAAAGGTTGTAAAGTTACTGAAATTTAGTTATTTTCGTTATTTAGCTCTGCCGAAAGTACGTTCCATTCCAAATGCCGGAATTCGTGAACGTCCCACTCTTCATCGAGGAGAACGCTGCGGATATGGAGCTGCCAGAGGATATTCAGGATGCGCATGAGGATCATTTTAATGAGTACCAAGTAGGGGAGCACGATCAACTCCAGTAGTCCTTAAAATGAGCTGTAAAAAGAAGCATGATGGTACCTCAAATTTACCGATGACTTGGTGGCACTATCCCTTTAAAACTAAAAAGGTAGTAGATAAACCCTGGAGGTTTTCGCTTTTTCGCAAAATCCATAACCCTGCCTTGCGCGTCCATTTAAAGGCGCGTAATACAAGCGTTTCCACGTTTTTTTAAGTACTGAGAAAACTAGCAAAATTCTAAAAGACACGTTTCAGCCAATTTCCGCCAAAGAAGAAGCCGATTTCCGGAAGCTGCTGGCGGCTTGTAACTTCAAAATTGACGAGACGGACTTGTTTCATCAGGTAAATGCCTCGAAAATATTTTAAAGGGATGGAGACACTGAAAATTGATACCGCAACAATTTCTTTCAGAAACTAACCGAACAGCTCCATCTCCTCGATGGCCAAAACGTGCAGTCGATCATGGTCAGCGAAAATTCGGTGAATCAACTGCTGAAAATCATCGACCACTCGCTGAAGAACGAGGAGAAGCTGCAGAACGAGTTGGACAAGTGCGACTCGATGCTGGCGGTGGGGTATTTACTGAATTTCCTAGCGTCTGCAGCCTGAAACCACATTTTTTACCATTCTAAACGGACCAGAAACACAAAAATTTCCTACATCTTGAAGAAGCATTTAAAACTACAAAAACAACCTGTTCGTCCGATTATTTCGGATGATCAAGGTCACAATCCCGTTTCAAGCCATACCAGCTAAGCCTACGCCTACGCCTACGCCTAAGCATACTCGTCTGGGGTTGTCACGCGGAATTTGACTATTTTAAAGGGACAGTGAAGTCAGGACTTACCTAGAAGTTGCGTAAAGATTTGGAATGTTACAAGCTACACCTGAAAACATGCAAATTATCACCTCTTTTCCAGACAGTCCGCGACTCCGTTGAACTCATCGAAGAAAAGGATTCCCTCTGCGGAGTGGAAAAGAAAAACAAGGAAAAGCTTCGTCGCGAGCTTGAGGACTTCATCCAGGCCCTAGATACCGTAACCGATAATCATTTGAGGGTACTCCAAGATGCTAATATTTCGGATCCATCGAGGTATTTATGGTTTATGGAATGTCGCAATAGACCGTCTTTTAGTATCGCTAGGTGCAGCGAGGCGGCGAGGGCCTTTAATGCTTTTCACAGGGGTCGGATAGCTCGGCCGCTGGAGAATATGTCGGCTTATAAAGAAAGGGTAACTTAATTGATTTTTAGGTTTATTTTCGCTGGTTCTAAAGTTGGTGTTTAGCCGCTAAATGCAAAAAAAACTTTTTAGGCAGTCGTGAAGGAGAGCATCAACTTGTTTGTCGATCGGTTCATGTCTCATCTGACGGCACTTTTTCATAATTTGGTAAGTCACGAATATGGTTAAGGCTAAGCCTAAGACTATGCTTTGCCTAAGCTTAAGCCTATGCCGAAGCCAATGCCTAAGCCTAAACCTAAGCTAGTTATAAGACCAAACTGAAGCCAAGCCCAAGCCGTTTGCGAAGCTAAGCATAAGCTAAGCCTAAGCGAAACCTAAGCTGAGCTTAAGCCTAAACTTGAGTAAACCGAAACTAAGGCTAAGCCTCAGCCTAAGCCTAAGCCAACAAAGCCACATTTTCAGAACGACCTAACCGACCACCAGGATCACCTCATCATCCCCAAACAATCCCAGCGCTTCCACGCCCTAGCTCCCTTGAGTGAGCTGATCAGGTATGCAAATCTAGCTAGAAAATACTCGCTAAATCCAGTTGGCTAAAAGGCTACGCCCCGCACGTCTACGCATCGGCCGTCGACAAGTATGTACAAACTACAAAAATCCTGTATCGACGGCTGTTTGATCGATTCTTTGACGATGTCGTCGGAGAAGTACAGCGAGTTGGGAGTGATCGGAAATTTAGTGTGTTTTATTATACTTTAAATTCGAGAAACACACGATGCGTTGACTACTGTAGCTCAAAAGATTCCGTATTTTCAGACAGCTCCAACTTATCGAAGCACTCGCACGACACCACTTTTGCGGATAACCACGTGGAGCAGGCGGAGCTGACAAAAGTATGCAGAATTTCGGGTTTCTTTATTTGGAACGCTTTAGCTAATTGAGACTGTCCTTGGCGAACTTGGTCCAGTCGTTGAAATGGAGCAGAAATTCGTCGTCCGATTCTTCCATATCACCGCCGATTTGCTGAACGTGGCCGAAACGACGAGCCAGGGATCGGGAGACAGCGGAAGCATGGGTGAGTGGCTTAAAGGGAGTGGGACACTAAAAATTTAACGTTCAACAACATCGCAAAATTCTGTTAAATATCTGCTTTTATTTCCTATTTTGAGAGTCCATTTTAAGGCGGAAAATCCCTCGAAAAGGTCCTCAACGAGCAGGTCCGTGGTGTGATGGCACCGCTTTTCGACTCCCTCATCCCGCACCTCGACAAGTTCTGCAAGGCTTGTTGTAAGCAGAATCCCAAGTAAGTAAAAAAATTGGTTCATTCAGCTTCTTAAAAATTTAGTAATGTCCTCCTGCTCTTCGTCATCTTATCAAAGAAGGCCCTTGCTCCCTCAGATGCTGGGTCCTACTTTGCCGTTACTTTTGGTAGCTTGACAGTGCTGATCAAGCGGCAGTTTGATGCGTATATGGTAAGGTATATTAGTGTATACGAACTATAGATATCTGCGCATTAATGAGAACAGCAAACTGCCTAAATTGGGCCTAAAATCCTCAGCAACCCGGCTTCGAAGCCAAGCAAGCTTGTCAAATCCGAAGTATTTGTGAAAAAATCTCTGCATAATTTGGGTTTCTTGCCAGGCCCGAATCTGTAGCGCACAAAGCAAAAAACTAGTCAATCCTGTTTTTGTAGGAATCCGAAGCCCAAATGCTGTCCGACGTGCGCATCAGCAAGCGGGTCAGGCTTGGCATCCTGCCAAGTCTACCGAGGTTCTCCGAATTTGTCCGCCAGACTGAGAAAGTGTTCGAAGGCGCTGATCGGAGGACCGATTTGGAGAAATGGTAATTTCGAAGCTCAGGCTCACCCTCGTGCTCATAAGAAAGAAAAAATCTTGCTTCTGCTTTCAACCCGAAAGGAAGCAAAACCTTGCTCAACCCCCATGCTCAAAACGAGAGAAAAGCTTGCTCAAGCCTTGAGCTCCTAAAGAAATATGAGCCTAGCGCTTTGAAAAGCCAGCTAAAGCCTAATTTCCGCTTGAATTTAGCGCCGTGCTTTGGACCTGGTAGGCCTATGGAATTTTTGGTTTTTTTTGGGTGTATTTTTGGGTAATTTAAGGCTCTTTCTCCTTCTTGTGGTGCCTTAAGTGTATTCAAAAAATGAGTTTTAGGTACGCCCACCTCTACCGAGCCGTTTGTGATGGAATTTCCAAAGCTTCCGTGAATCCGAATAGCAAGAGCCCGTCTTCAGTGGTTCGCCTCGAGAATTATCATGAGCTTTATCGTAAATAATTTTTAATTATCATTAAGGTAACATATATTTTCAGAAATCCTTTCCGAATTGAAAATCTCTTGCCTGGACGCGCAGAGGAAGGCTGCGAAAAAGGAGAAGGACGACAATATTGACGCCTATGTTCGAGAGTCTTTAGGGAGACCGTTGGAGAAGATTCAGGTATGTCTTTAGTGTATTAGGTTACTTAGATCACAAAAATGAAAATATAAAAGCATGCTGAATGCTGGATAAATCCCTAAAAATCTCTTCTAGTTGCCAGGCTGTTTCTAAGATTGATCCAGCGTCCAAGCAAAATTAATTCATAGTTTTCAGCATCTTTTGAGCCTCAGATTCTTTAAAATTTGGATTTTTTTTGTTGTATTCAAATAGAATAGTCCGTTTAATAAATTTACTACTTTTTATATCGTTAAATTTGAGATGAAATCATGGTAAAACTTCCAGATCTTCTTCGACAACGTTCAACTTGCCACGCAAAGGGGCCTGAAAATGGATGAAGTCTCCTATCAACAACAATTTAGCAGGATAGAGCTGAAAAAGGTATAACTGCTTTAAAACTGTTGCCTTCTGTGTTTTATGCTAATCTATAGATTTAGCAAACTGTATTTCAGGTAATCTCGCAATACCCCGCCAAAGAAGTGAAGAAAGGGCTCGAGCAGTTGTATAAAAAAGTGGAAAAACACTTGGTGGATGGGTCAAGCTTGGTGCAGGTTGTTTGGAGGAATATGCAGGTGAGCATCAAAATTAAGTCAATACCAGGGTTGAAAAACCGCTTCGCGGCTTTTCAACCCTGGCCCCGTCCAGGACCTGTGAAAGTCCTTAATTTGCATGTTTCTTCCTGAATTCTAGCAAGAAAAACAGTGAAAAACGGCTCCTCTGTCCCTTTATATAGGCTCTTCCTACTTCCGGCGCATGCTAATTTCCCCTAACAAACAGGGTTTTACAAAAACCTATTTTTAATAGCGAAAACCACAATTTTTCAAAATTTTTATGTGTGTGCAGTCGATTCCGGACCATTCTAAACCTATTGTCGTTTCTTCCCTATCCAAAAAACCCTTCCCCGAGGCTGTAGGAGGGAACATCCAAACGGAAGTGATGCAAATATACACACACACACACAGACACTATTTTTTTATATATAGTAGGATACACATCTGTAATAAATTTTAATTAAAACCAGTTTCATTTGCGAGACCCAGCCACCCCAGGGGATAGATTATGCCACTTCCCAGCCCCTTTAAAATCCATAAAACGATCTATCAGGACCAATTCATCAAGCAAATCGGCTCCTATCAACAGCTGATGGCCGACTGCTACCCCTCCTCCCGGCCTGAACTCGAATTCTCCATCCAGGACGTCCTCCAATTCTTCTCGGAAATCGCTCAGGATCATTGAATATTGATTGAACATCTTTAATGCCAAAATATCTGGTTCTTAATTTATATGTTTACACAATGAGCTTTGAACCGCTTCGATTTTAAAGTTTGTACTGTGATGAGGCCGTCTACTGGTTAATTGTGCATAAAAAATGTCTAGAGTTGTCAAATCGCTAACGCGAGATGAAGAGAAAAAGGGAGAGAGAGAAACGAAGAGAGAGAGAGCGCGAGAGAGAGCGAGAGAGAGAAAGCTATAGAGAAGACTGTAAAACATAATAGGTAAATTCTGTGATGTTCTGATATGTTCGTTTAAATGTATTTCCTTACTAGCTCCAGCAAAAGTTTTATCCTTTCCTACGATCATCTTTATTTTTTGTTTCGGCGATCGCTATCACATGCCTGAAAACGAAGAAATGAAAGATTAAAACAACCCGAAAAAATTACTGGAATCTAAAACCCGGCAAAATACCCACCATCAATCCCACTTGCGCAATGGTCGACAAGCGAAACCGGGCAATGAAAAACTTGTTTTTGCTATCTGAAAATGAAAATTAGAACTGGAATCCTAGCAAGTGGACGGCAAGCGAGAACTGATCAAAAGATTAACTCACTTTTCCAAAATTTCTTCTTACTTTCTGCATCCTTTCAAGTCAATTTTGATGCCGTTTTCTTCGGGCAAGCCTACAGCGCAAAAATCGACTGGTTAAGCCGGGCAAGTGCCAAGCGGCACGGCGCTAAACATCTATTCGTAGAGATGGCTTCACTGCACTATACTCTAAAAAAAATCGCTGTGTGAATCTTTGTTGTCTTTAGCCCACCTCAGCCATTCTGCTTGTTCCATTGATGAATTGTCTGCGCGTCCCGGTCCACGGAATTTAAATCGATCTCAGTTCAATTCATTCCTAAATTGCGAAATTTAAACAGGGATCAGCAACGGTGAAAATATTCACATAAAGTCTTTTTCGTGGACTTTTCGGTCCTGTTTCGATTTCTGGACTTTTGCGAAACGAAATCAAGGTACTACTTCAAGCGCAAAATCGATTTCCGCTCATGTTTTAGCAACGATCGGAGTTGGGAGAATGTCAAGGGTTATGATCAGGCCCGTAGGAAGGGGGGGGCAACTGGGGCAAGTTGCCCCCCCCAAAATCGGCCGAAGGCCGAAAAATTCATAAGGGGGGACCCTTACGATTTTTTCTCCTCAAAAATTTGCCTGCGGCGCTTTTATAGTTGTTTTTAAGACTGTTTTTACTGTCATGGCCCTAAGTTTTCAAAAATTTTCGCCTGCGGCGCTGTTTTTGATAGTTTTGATACGTTGCCAAAAATTTTTTTTTGGAGTTGCCCCCCCCAAAAATCGGGGATCGCTACGGCCCTGGTTATGATCAAGGATGGATTTATTGGCTTAGCAAAATTCTGGTTCAGTAGATTTTAAGGTCAAGGCCACCCAATTCGGTATGATTCGCCTCTCTTTAGCTTCAAAATGCTGGAATTTTGGGAAAATAATGAATAATGATACAACTCCAATTGGAAAACGGCCGACGCTCTTTCTTTAACAAGGAGTAAAGGCCTCTTATCAACCTATTGCTAGTTTCTAAGATTGAATTTTCAATCTAAAAGATGGACGAGAAATTTAACATCAAGGGACTCAGTTGAGCAGCAAATTAATGTGCAAAAACTAAGCAATATAAAATCAATTTGTTGTGTCTAAGGTCATTTCTAAAATTCGTCGATCAGTAAGAAAACCGTACCTTGGCGTCACCGGATTTGTGTTGGTAGGCACTGGAGGCAAGGTTATATTTATATCATCTATATCATCTTAAAATGGAATTTTTACCAGAGATCCACAAACGTGCACGAATCCGAAAGTTCCATACTATGAAAAGCCTTACATTGGCGTCACCACTTTTCCGTTGGAAGTGGCCGAGGAAAAAATCCCGATGCTCGGCGGTAGTTGTACCTTCTAAAAAAGGAAATTTTTAAGCCCAAAGCAGAGCCCTCCAAGGTTCAGAACAGTTTTCCAAAACGAAATTTAGGCTTTTGAGCTTGCTTTATTCAACCGGAAATGCAGAGCCACTGCGAAACGAAATTTCCGCTAAATCCGCTTAGCGATTTTGACGATCTTGAAAAAGTATATACCATAACTAACCTTTAAAACCTTGATCGTTACATTGAAAAGCTTTTGCTTGCTTCATTTCGTTGTCAAAATTTTCTGATGAGCTTGCACCGGCTTGCGATTTAACACAGTTTTTTTTTGATTTTTGGTTTTTGTTCCACTTCAGACGGTCAATATCTCCGGGCTCATATTTTTGAGCTCAGTCGAAGGCATTGTTCGAGCAGGTCCTTATTTCCCATTTGCCTGATTTCTTCTTGATTTTTCTTCTTTTCCGTCGTACTTTTTTGATACATCGATTTCGATCGGTACCTTCCAATTTCAAAATCCTCCGCAAAATGCTCATTTTTGCATCTTCCTTTCATCTTCAAATTTTCCCAAAATTTACACAATATTGGTTTTTTGGCTCTTAAAGCGTTTTTGAACGCTTCTTTTTTCCATTTCCGTTCCACTTTGACAGATCGACAGAGCTTAGCTCTTAGAGCTTTGAATTCTCCTATTTTTCATTTTCGTTCCATCGCCAGAAATCCAGGTTGAGCGGCTTCAAAAGCTTCGAATTTCTTCCATCTACACATTTCCTTCCATTTCGATAGGTCTACATTGCTTTACTTCTAAAGCTTGCAACTTCTTCATCCTTCTTTTCCTTGTCATTGCAATTTTTTCCCCTTTTCTTCACAAAAATTTAACCATTTCTTCTACCCGAAGCCCGAGGGCGGCTCCTACTCGCGGGTTATTTATGAACCCGACGGCGGACGGTCCCTGAAAATTATCAAAATAAGCATAAAATTAAAAGCGAATGGAGTGAAAGCAAAAAAGCGACGTTTCAAAAACATAATATCAAATTTAATTTAAGAAATCTGACATTCTAATCGATTTTCTAAAGTTTTTTCTTGGTTTATCCTGTGAAGTTTGATTTTCTAGAATTTGGTTCTTAATTTCTAGATTTTTTTATAAAGGACACGCGACATATCGACGAAAAATTCATGTTTTAAACTACAAGCTTATTACTAAAGAAGAAGCAAGATAAACATTACGCCATATAATTTTCCAGTAAATTTTTAGCTAGAAAAAAACACTTTTTCATGAAATTGGTAAAGATTATGATTCAAAATATATCTTAAATTAATCCCAAGAAAAATCAGAAAATAATGGCAAGAATAAGACAGGGTAATTTGATGATTCGATAGTATTCGTAGCATCGGCCCCGCGCCCCATGCAAATCGATGGCGGGGCGAGGGAGCGGGGAAAGGGATGAGGCGGCAGAGTGGCAGGTGGGAAGATGATTGCGAGGGTCAAACGATTTCCGATCGGTCCCAATATCGTATTCTGACCGGAATTTGGATGGCCGGGGTTTTGTGACCTAGAAAACTTCAAAAGTAACACGTGTTGGTGGCATCTACGGAAAAGGATCAGGGGAATCACATGGACATTACCGGCAGTGGCTAAGTAAGCGGAAAACAAACGTAATCCGCAGTGGCTAAGTGGAAGGGTCGTAACCAACGGTCACTCAGCATGAGGGAGACAGCCGGCATTTGTGGTGTGGTAAACTATCGTCGACTACATCGTCGCCTCGTCTTCTCGTAGCCTGGTGAGCGGAGTCTACCCTAACCGTAAACGATTTACGCCGGGTTGTAGCGTACCTTAAAGTGTCACAAACCGTATCTTAACGATGTCTGATGTCGAGCCAATTGGCGCCAAGCGCACCTTGCGTTCCGTAAACTAGCGTATCGCATCGGAGCGTCACATAGTGCTCCATAGTCAAGCGTATCGGACTGGAGCGTATTGTAGCGCGCTCGAAACCATCGTACCGTACCGCGTTTAAGCGTATGGTTGGGCCCCATAACCTAGAGTATCGCATCGGGGCCTATGGTGGCATAGCATATCGCATTCGAGCGTCTCCTAGCGTTTTTTCGTAACGTATCGTAGCGTATTAGATAGTGTCGCTATCACAATATAAGCATATCACGAAGGTAAGCTGCAAGACCACAAATTCTCGTCTTGGATCGTTTCATCCTGTCATTTTTGAGATAACGAAGCCGCCGAAAAATTTCAGAATTTTTAGAGATCAAATTCCAGGAGGAAAGTTTCCCAAAAATCTGACTTCCAAATCCCTCTAAACCCGCCGTTTTGTCCCCAATTTGCTCGTCAGCTCAAGCGCTGGTATGCGAGATACTAGTTTGGGCGTAGATTAAAGGGGTAGCTGTTGGGGGATGAGAAGCCATCCATCTCCTTCACCACCCATACTCGGGTAACCCACTTGATCGGTGTGACCGGTTTGGCGGTAGGTGATGAGAAGGGGATGAGAAGAGGAGGAGCAGGAGGTGGAGCACCAACTAGGAGTATCCATGGCCGGTCTCGAAGTAGGCAATTGGGGGTCTTCGTGTGTGTGCTTCAGAGTATCCATCTACTACCCTAGCCACCCAAAAGCTTTGTTTTTTGGGCCGACGACGACGACTACAAGTGGCTACTAACAACATTACGATTGGACAGGCTACTGTAATTTGGAGCGGCTCGGAATTTTTTGAAGTCACGATTGCACCTGAAAAATGGCCATGTAAGTTTATCTTATTCTGGGGCCTTGTCAAATGCACGTCTAAATTGAAGCGGCTTCGGACTCCTAAGCCTAAACCTACCTGGAGAATAAGCCTTTTCAGCGGCCCCATCCTCCCCTACCTCATCAAGCCACTCTACTACTACCTGGCGATCCAGGTCTACCTTGAAGGATATCTGAATATACCTCCAGAAAAGTTGAATACCTTCAAGGTATGGCTTCACTGGTCCTTTAACCCCTTCCAACTTTGCTTAGGGTACTGTAAGGCTCCTTTTCCAACCCCAGACCGACACACATGTCTTCTACTTGAATTACGATATGATGGAGATTCAGAATTCCAAGGTATCTACTGGATTAATTTATAAGATCCGCGGTTTCTTCTAGCTATACACCCCAGATAACGTTACAATTCCCGTCACTATGAAGGAAATACCGGAAGATCAAGTCTTGGAATTCCGAACCGATACGCCATTGATGAAAAATAAATTTTATTTGATAGAGGTAGGCCTATGTTTCGATACCGTAAGATTGGAATGTTTTAGTTAAATTATAAGGGAAAAATGAGGATGGATGGAAGTGAGGGACTATTTGTCGGCAAGCATGGAGCGCAGTAAGTTGATGGGAGAAATAGAGGAAGAAAGGAGAGAGAGAGAGCGGAAACCAGGCCCGACGAGGGGGGCACCGGGGCACGGGCCCCCGAAACGGGCGAGGCCGAAAAGCATAAGGGGGACCCTATGATTTTCATAAGAATTTTCGCCGCGGCGCATTATATTGTTTTAAAACAATTAAACTGCAATAAAACCTGTTTTCCAAAAATTCGCTTGCAGCACTAGTTTTCGGGAAGTACTGTTTTATTTGTAAACATTTGCCGCGAGACTATTTACATATTGAGGCTAAATTAAAACTCTTCGAATTTTGACGCCACGAATGGCGTAAAAAACCCGACAAAATGGCGAAAAAGCGAGGAGGCAGAGGCAAAACTATGGGGCGAGGCAAAACTACCGGGGAACCCTAGGATTTTCCTCAAAAATTTTCTGCCTGCGGCGCTGTTTATCACTGTTTTGAAACGATTTTACTCTAGAAAACCCATTCCTAAAATTCTTGCGCGGCGCCCGTTTCATTAGTGCACATTTTGCTGAGCAAAATTTCGCTTGGCGCGCCGTTCCGAGTGTCACACGAATTAAGCGTCCAACGCGGTTTCAAATTTTTTCGCCTGCGGCGCTGTTGTCACATCTTCGAAATTGAAAGGCGACCGGGGCGGGGGAGGTCGCCAAAAATTTTGGTGGGTGCCCCCGAAATCTCGGCTCCCGTACGGGCCTGATATATCTTACAATCTCTATGTTTTTATAGATCTTACGCCTCCACAAAATTCGAGCCTCATTACGCCAGGAGAATGGTCCCTTGCATCGATCAGCCGGACGCTAAAGCTATTTGGAAGGTAGGTAGCTTTTCCTTCTCTCTCACTCTCTCTCCCTCCCTTTAGCTCTTAACTCTCGCTCTCTCTCTCTCTCTCTCTCTCTCTCTCTCTCTGACAGGTTTATGGCTAAACCAGTGTTACGATTGCTGTTAAAGATTACCGTGATTCACCCCAAACAAACCCGCGCCATCAGCAATTCCGAGCGGGTCAAGCTCATCGAAAGGTAAATTTGAGCCTCAACCAAAATTTCATGCTGATTTCAGAAAAGGATGGGCCCTCACCAAATTCGCCGACACCCCGAAACTCTCGCCCTACTTGTTGGCCATATTCGTCTCCAACTTCAAGCACTTTTCCGGGGCGACGAAATCTGGAATTAAGGTAAAAACTTAATTTTAATATCCAATAAATTCCAGGTCCGTCTCTTCGCCCCCAACTTCACGATCCCGCGCTACAAGGCGATCTTTGAGCACTCGATCAGAAGCCTTGATTTCTACACGAAATATTTTGATACTCCGCCGATGTTGGAGAAATTGGGTAAGTGAGCTCGAGCCTCGAGCTCACTCGCTTAAGCCTAAGCCCAAACCTAAGCCTAAGCCTTGACCCGTTGTTTTTATCTAGATGAAGTCATCGTTTCGCTCAACACCTCAGCCGGCATGGAAAATCACGGTCTCATCTCTTTGAATGCACGAACGATGGACACGGACAACAAGCTGACCACTGTATCTCACGAAATTTCGCATCATGTGAGTACTTTGTATCGGAATCCTTAGAATTAATTCCCTTGCATTGGTACTCCATTTAAAAGGTCTAGAGAAAATATAGAGATCACTAAATTTAGTGGATCGGGAACCAAGCCACTCCGAAGTGGTGGGACGACATCTGGATCAGCGAGGGGTTGGCGACGTTCCTTTCTGAACATCTACCACATTTGGATAAAGTGGTGGGTGACAGAGGAAAAGAGATATAAAGAGAGAGAGAGAGAGAGAGAGAGAGAGAGAGCGAGAGATAGGGAGAGTGAGAGGCAAATAAGTTTTCGATCGTTCCAGTTCCAACTCTACCAATCGATGCGTACACTTCTGGAATACGAACGGGCCCTAGATGCAAATCAGGGAATCCTGTTGCCGTTGAGGACCGAAATTGGATGGGAAGAGCTGAAAAGAGGAAGACACGCCGTGCTAAACTACAACGTCTACAACAGGGTACGGTAGAGAGCAAAAAACCTAAAAAGCAGTAGTAGAAGTTCGTCGTCTAGCTTTTTAAAGGGACAGTGACACTAATATTTCTGCTTTTAGGGTGCCATGTTTATGGCAATGCTTCATGCGACGATGGGAACGGATTCGTTCCGGAAGGCTACTCAAGTACGTGGATTTTGGAATTTATTCTTCGTTTAAGCTAATCGTCAAAAACTACATCAACGGCACCATCACTACGAAAGACTTCTACAACGTCTATGGCTATTATGCTAATGCCACCGATTCGCCGAGAGACTTTGAGAGGTTCTGCAAATCGTGGGTCGAGCAGGTGGGATTTTTGCTAATTTTATGACTAAAAAGGCTCCTTATCACTTCTAGGCTCTGTTTTTAATTTCATAACCAATTTCTGGCTTTGGAGCGATTGCAGTACATTTTAGGGGCTCTAAAAACCTGCAATAAACTACTTAGCTGTCTTACAACATTCTAGATACCTTAAAGACGTAAGCCTGATTTTCCAATTCCTTAAAAAGCGCTTCTCGCCAAAACAAATATATGTATTCAGGCCGGCCATCCTCTTGTAAACGTCAGAACCGTCGTGGGAGGCGTTGAACTCTCACAAGAACGCGACTTCAACTCCGAGCGTATTCACCCCAAATACAGGGCTGAGGCTCCTTTCAAGTATGTCGTATCCTCAATACTCAATCCAAACAATTTTTAGCTACAAATACGACATCCCCATCTTCTACACCACCAACACGAACGAGGGCAATTTGGTGTGGCTGAATTTGGGTACGTTTCGGAATGGAAATTTTGCTAAATCCGAGCCTACCTATGCCTAAGCCAAGGATGAACCCTCGAAAATTCAGACGATCCGACGCTGTTCATCCCGGTCGGCGAGGACGACATCATCAGCGTCGATCCGTTTGGTGAAGGACTCTATAAGGTTCACTACGATCGAGCCTGGTATGAAAAATGGGCCAAAATGTGTCCAGAGAAGGTAAGTACGTAGCTGTTTGGAACAGATGTCGCTGTTTCTGCCCCTTTAAAACGCTAGAACACCACGAATCGTTTCACCTAAACGGAAGCCTATAAAATCGGGAGAGAGTGAGAGAGAAAGAGAGAGAGAAAGAAAGAAATTCTATGTTTCCGTTTCAGAAATGCCAACAAGACCTCTTCTTCAAACCCTGCGAAGAATTCCTACGCGTCCAGATGAGCTACCCCTTGGAGTTAAGACAAAAAGTCATCCAAACCTGCGGCGGACTCGATCATGGCTTCAACTCAAGGCACCCCCATGCTTTGAGGATTGCTTAATTCCTTTCTTACTTTAATTTTTGTGCTTATTACCCTTTGTTGCTGCTCGTAATAATCTATTTATTGTGACAAAGTGTTAATAAATAAACATGTTGCCAATTTTCGACGTTAGATCGAGCAAGACTTTATTGCACACCAGAAGACCCGGAAAATTAGATGATTGAGGGTACGAAAATTGGTAAAGCGAGAGAGAGAGAAGGGAGAGGGAAACAGAGACATAAAAAAATTATAATTTTTATAAAATATGAAGCGATCGTAAAAATTGTTGAAGTTCATCTGCGGTTTGACGATCGGTCGCTTGGAGGACATTCATGACAGCCTGATTTTTGTGGAGGCGAGCGGCCAAGGAAACCTGGAAGTATAATTTATAACAAAGTATAACCTTTTTTCTTTCAATTTCGCACTCCACGCAATTTCCATTTTCTACCAATTTAGACGTTTAGTTGGGTGATCCAAAGTCGAAAAACGGCCAAATAAAGAATTCAAATTTATGTAAGTTTCGAAAATCTATTTTTAAGTCATTTAAAAAATGAGAAATATTTTAAATTAGTTTATCTTCTAAACCCACCGGCCACAACGGAGAGCCAACAGCTGGTGGGGCCACATAAGGTGTCGTCGTGTCGCGAACAGTAGTAGGCCGGAATCCGTTCGGTACCGGTCCTGGCTGGGCAGGGCTCCAGTTTGCCGGGTACTTTTCCGGAATCCTTTCTGGATATCGTGCCGGAATTCCTTCCGGATACTGTGCCGGAGACCTTTCCCGAATTCCCTCCGGATACCGTGCCGGAACCCTTTCCGGAATCAGATTTTGCGGGACCGTAGCCATTTCCCTGGGCGATAGCGAACGAGCCGGAGGTTGGAAAGGTAAAGCTATCGGAATTGCTGGTACTGCTTGTGCGGATAGTTGTCGACGGCGTGGCTCTGGGATCGGAGGAGCTGGTGATGGTGGCCGGAAAGCACTCGGAGGCTTAGGATATCTATAAAAAAAGTTGATTTTTAGCTTCTGAAAACTGGTACCTTGGCAGCTGATGCTCTTCCCAGTCGTCTGAGCGGCACTGGGCCTTGGCCATTTGGAGTTCCGCGGATAGGGTGTAGGTTGAGATGAACCACTGCTGTCTTTTCGGGTCGTATACCTGAAATAAGAGTGATTTTTCTCCTTCGCTTGGTTGAGTCCCCGTTCTGCCACTCGCTCGCTCTCCATCTCCCTCTCTCTCTCTCGCTTTAGAGGTGAATCATTAACTCACAATTGGCAAGATAGCTGAGAATCCATGCGGAAAAAGATTTGCAAAGCTTCGATCTTCGTCGATGACGCAAGCATTTAATGCAAGGCAGCATAACTCATTATCAGCATATCCGGGTGGCCGAATTAGACGACTGTTCAGTGCCTAAATGGATATTAGTATACTTGACATGAAACTGACGTCGTTCTCCAAAGCTTCTAAAAATAAAACAACGTTTAAGAACTACTCCTGCTCCTATAAACTGACACTTCAAAATTAAGATTGTATTACCATCAGGGTAGATCTATACGATACTAGCTAGCTACTAATTAGATCGGCAGAAACGTCATCTAATTACTTACCATCAATTTCCCTTTCTCCTCTCCAAAATTAATGAGCCCATCCCTTTCGGCGACTTCTTTGCTTGGCGCTGTGCAGCTTGAGACCCTGTTGCTAAAAAATAAAAGATTTGAAGTTATTCCAAAAGCGGTTCTGTGCGGTTATAAAAGACAATAGGATATCGACTTACCCTTCCCACTGAAGATAAACCCACATTCCGCGTTCCGGATGTGGGTAATTTGATTGCCTGGAAAATTTGAAATTTTTATTTTCTTTTTTCCGAATTTGCGATTCGGGCTTTTCCTGGACTGCTGGTAACTTTAGGAAACGCAACTCACCACGGGATAGCGATCGGCTTTCCATAAACACAATCCCAGAGCTCGACGACGCCATGTTGGTCCGGGAGTTCCATAATCACGGCTGGGTCTCCGGTTGGGTTTGGATCGGCGGGCGGTGTCGATGGAGTCGGAGTTTCTGAACCCGTAGCTAGCTAATTTGTGGTACGGTATTTGTATATTTCCATACATTTCTATATGTCATTATTCATACAACGATAGTATATTTTGCCTATAACAAATTCTTGCCTAATGCTGAGAGTCTTTTATCAAAACTACCTTGTTAATTTGAGAGCTGGCATAATTACCTTAATAAACCTTAAGAAAAGGAGTTAAAGGCGAGGTAAAGTTCTAAGATATCCTACGGTTCAAAAAAAATGTCTTTTCAGGCGGATTATTCCCGATTTGTACCTGAAAACGTTCCTGCCGGAATCTGCTGAGATTGGGCGGCCTGGCGCTTCTTCTTTCCCTAGAAAATTTGTAGTTAGAGAGAGAGGGGGGGGGGAGAGAGAGAGGGAGAGAGAGAGCTAGAGAGGAGCCAGAGAAACTCACCGTCTCCATTCCAACGACATGCCCAATAATCCACATAGCCGATTTCAAATTGTCCGGCTTGGCGAGCAGGTAGATGTAGGCCTTGAAGGGCTGGAAGCGATCAGCTAAACCAGAAATCAAAATTGCTGAAGCTCAATTTGCCTTACGTTTTGTATCCGGATTTTTGACGAGGTTGAAGACGTCAAAGATATTCTGATCGAAAAAGCGGTTTGGGTCTGTGCTGCTGTACTTCCACACCAGGTTCATCTCCACCTTCATCGAGCCTTGCGGGCCACACCAGACAAGTTCCACTTCTACCTGTAATATAAAGCTAGAAAAATAGAATTGCTCTGAAATTAAATGAGAAAATAGTGTAACTTCATATTTAAGTGTTTGAGGTAAAGATATAAATTCGGCGGCTTTTGGCTTGATTTTACTATAGCATACAATAATTCTCTACAAATATAACTTATCGTTAATGTTTGAAAAGACTTAAACTAATGAATTGAGCCTATTATCGAATTGTATAAAACCTACCACTGTCAACGGCTTGGCCTTGATGGTCAGGGTCTTTGTCGGAAAGTACTGATTCGTCTCGCTGAGCACTCCAACCCTCCGGACGACTTGAGAGTGATTTTTCGCCGAATTTCCACGCAGGTAGATTCTGAAAACAATTCGATCTGATACACCTACCTAAAAACACTGAAATTCTGCTAGTGCTTTCACAGGGACCGCCAGTAATTTTTCAAAAAGACATTCTGAAAAATTGACTTACGCCGAATTTCCTCTGTATACCATTCCCGGGATCAGCTCCTCTGCTTCGTGTTTATGCACTTCCGGCTGAAACCGCTCAATCGGGATCACCGGAAAGCAGTTCTTGTTGGCGCTGGCAAAAAAGTGAAGGTCGTCCTGGATTCCGAGGTAGAGCAGAAGTTCGTCAAGTGATTCGCTCAGCGCTTCTTCGTGGGGCTATAAAATTCCATTTAGCCTTTTGAAAACAATAATGATACAATTGCTTACTCAAACAATAAATACACTTTGCAAAATCGAAAACGCAGCAAGGCTATGGCATCGTTTAAAAAAAACGTACCTTCAAATCCTTGGCCTGGTCTCTCGGAAACCATCGCGCAACTTTTGGCTTCAACGTGATCTCGATTTCCGGCGTTAGCACGTATTGGCTTTTCTGAATAAATATGGCCATTGTAAATCTAGAAAAACTTGACAAATTCTATAAGTTTTCAGTCAATGAACATTAAAAAGTAGGTTTTTCTTTTTCTGAGTTCGTGCCAAGTACCTCTGAAGTTGAAGCCGCTTGAGAGTCCATTTTGGCTTCCTGATCTTGTTGGTCGGCCATTCCTCGTTATTAGATATATCTAAAAACAATACATTTTTCAAACAACATACAAGAAAAACTGGAAAATTCAGAAATTTAAAAACGCGCCTTATAAGCAGAAAAATTAGCGGAAAATGATCAAGCTGGTGACTGAAAACCCAAAAATGACAGCTTAAAATTGCTCGAAACTATATTTTGTCTACAGCATCGAACTGTGACATGAAAAACGCGCTGAAGAAACATGTTTGGCTTTGAAAATGCCATGAATTATCTCGCGTAAGCGAAGGCGTTACAACAATGTGGCCGAGAGATTGGGGAAATAGAGAGGGCACTGAGAAGCCGGAGTGGCACGAGGAGGTCATTCCAAACAAATTTTCGTGTCGTCAGCGAAAATTCCTAAAGCCACAGCCTTGTAGAGAAATAGAAATCGAAATGGATAATGACGTATTATCTCTCCAGGTTCAAAATTGAAATTTACATCTGCTTGCGACTGGTTATCTGATCGCTTCCCGCGCTATAGGAGCACGGGAGGCCCGAATGCATTAATGAGAAGTAGACGCTCATTAATGAAAGAGGGCAGCCAATTATAGACGAATTAATGATACGTAATAATACTTACAAAAATTACGGTGAAAAAAGAAGCCAAAAGTTAATGACGAATTGATACAAACCTCTTTTAAAGAAACCGGATGGAGGCACAGAAAAATAGCGTTAAAAACCTATCGATTGGTGCAGAGATGAGTTAAGGAGAAAATCTTGTAAGAAGTCAGTTTGAAATTTCGATAATATCACCCTCACGCTCTAACTCCATCTCTCTTTTTCTTGCTCCGTGTGTTTCACTCTCTCTCTCTCTCTCTCTCTCTCTCTCTCTCTCTCTCTCTCTCTCTCTCTCTTTCTCCTCCTCTCTCTCTCTCTCTCTCTCGCTCTATCAAATTCTATCTGACTGTCTCTGTCTCACTGCAACCCTTAAAAGCTTGAATTCTCAAACATTGGGAGTATCCCAAGAGCTCCAATAACTGTATTCCTTCCATATAATTTTTCTGTGCTTTTTGACAACCAAATTCTTTTGATTCCTTTATTTCCTCCGTTCCGTCGCAGTTGTTCGCGCCTGGAACCAATATACTTCAAAAAGACAATAACGGTCAAAACAACAAGAAAATCCGCGTGGGGGTGGGTGGGCGGGGTCGCATCAAAAACAACATTTCTGCACACAAAGAGACAAAAACATACATCCAAAAAACGTCGAGATTTCGCTTCTCAGGGTGGTATTGGGGGTTGAGAATCACAAAAATCCGTTTTCCAAAAAGGGGCGGGGGCTTGATTTCATCAAAAAAAACTCAGAAAATCGCAGAAAAATCGGTGAAAGCACACACTCACAGAGACACACTGCACAGCTGCTGCCTTTGCCCGTGTCTTCTCTCACAGATTTAAATAACGACATAAAAATCGGGGTTTTTAGCTTTAAAAATTTGCGGATTTCAAGAGTTAACATATTTAGTCAGGGATAAAGCCAAGGAGTTTGCCGGGATTTGGGGGGTGGGAAATGCGTAAATTTAGAACAAAAATTTTACAAAATTTTACAGGGGTTTTTTTGGGCTTAAAAACGGGGTCAACTAGATGCAGGATCACAGAGACCGGGGGTTAGAAAGCGTTATTTAGATAGGCAAAGCTGAAAGCTCAGTGGAAATCGGGGGTACGGTAGAACGGTCACTTTTTAGAATCTCCGGACCAGCCAGAAAATCTCAATACCCCGATTTCCACTACCAAAGACGAAAAATTTGGGTTTTGGTGGATTTTTTTCTAAGGCAAAGCCCAAGCCTAAGCCTAAGCCTAAGCCTAAGCCTAAGCCTAAGCCTAAGCCTAAGCCTAAGCCTAAGCCTAAGCCTAAGCCTAAGCCTAAGCCTAAGCCAGAAAATCCCAGATTTTTCGAGCCCCTTTAAAAAGTTTACGATAATATTAAGCTTTATTATGCTGCTTATGGGTGGGAAAATGCCAAAATATTGATTTAGGGAAAACAAAATCCGGTAAATTTAACGATTCCAACGCTTTTGTACACTTTGTGGCAAGTGGCTGTATAGATATACACGGGTGGATGTACACAAACACACACAACAAGCTGGGGGGCAACTTTTAGGGGGGGCGGGGTTCTAGGGACAGGGCGGGGGGTTGACTAGAATCTCGGAAAGTGGGGAAAAATTTGTATAGGGGGAGCCATGCAGCTAAATATCGGTTTCATGATAATTTTCAAATTTAAGGGACCAGGAAGGCAGAAAATCTATAAAATTTGAAAATACAAATACTGCATGTTCACCCGGGATTTTTAAGGAAAAGGGATTTTAGGAAATTTAGAAGTTGCGCCAGCCGAAGCCGCCGGGTCGTTGTCGGGCCTGTTGTTGGGGCTGTTGGGATGGGTATGCGGCAGCCGGGACGTTGGCAGGAGAAGCCGTCATCGGTCGGATTGGTGCCGGACCGGTGACGACGGATTGGCGATGGCTTTCGAGACCTCGGGGTCCTGGAGAAGCGGAGGCGAACCGCGGAACGGCTCGTGGGTCTGAAAAATGAGGATAAATATTTTTGTCGAATAAATTAAGATACGACGGTAATTAATGCGCTATCTCCAATTTTAAAGATCAGTTATAGTGGGTAATGGCTCGTATATTACCTTGCGCAAGGTCATTAAATAAGTATTACTCCTCAAAATTGAGATAAAAACGAGGTCCACCCCTCCAAAAGTCAAAAATGTTAGTCAGGGTAGGTAATGGACACGATTGGCGAAACAACCGCATCCGACCATAGTCCCTCCTGTTGCTATTGGCGGTTTTCGGCCCAAAGCCACTATTGGAGTGTCCCTGGTTCCTAGGCGCCTGTTGCGGGCGGGGGTCGAACCCGGGCGCTGCGGGCGGCAGTCCCCGGTGTGGTCCCCCACACCACAGAGAGTGGTGGATTGGGGGAGGAAGAGGCGGCTCTTGGGGGCGGGGCGCCAGTTGGGAGAGGGTCACTTTAGCGTAACTTTTGCTACTTTTTAAGCCTGTAAAGTTAGATTTAAGCCTAGAAAAATTATCATAGTTGTTATTAAATTTTGTGGTAAAGCCCTTGGAGCTAGTTTTAGGTGGTGCCAGAGGGCGCTGTGGTAATGGATGGGAAGTCGCTGAGGGGCGAGGCACGATAAGATTTACGGGGATTTCAACTTTATATTAAATTAAATTGAACTTAGTAAAGGTATACTTTATTTTTGTGGAGCTTTTCTTAACATAGGGGCGAGTTTGGAATGGTTTTCAAGCGATTTATTATAACGTATAGTATTTTGAAAATGCGTTTTTTTTACCGCTTTCCGTTCTAAATTTTTAATTATTAGTAATTCTTTTCAAGAGTTTTTTCACATTTTTAGAGCTAAGTTGTTGTCGGAAACTTCTGATTTTTCAAAGCGCCAAAAGTCATTTTTTTAACTTTTCGTACCTTAGGGGGTTAGTCTTAATTTTCGCTTTCTGAGAACCAGCATAAAACTTATGACACATTTTTCAGTCTTCTATGTAGTTTTCCGGCTATTAATTAAGGCAAGCCGTCTTCTAACAATTTCAAAACACCCACCTTTCATCTCAACCGCCGACTCCTCGGGCACCTTTCCCCAGATGCTCTTGAAGACATCGTCAGTACATTTCCGGAACATCTCATCCGACTCGTACATATTTTCCGTCGACGTGCGCTGGATTTTGAAGGGTTGATCCTGGACCATATGATGTCTTGAGGTGTCCGGCGGAACGGATAGGCGTCCGGCGCTGCTTGGGGGTTCTGCGAAGGCGCCACCAAAGAGTCTGAAAATTTGATTTGACTACTTTACAGGGATTGTCGAAGCAAAAACTATGATTTTTCCATCTGGTTAGGCTAATATTTTTTTCTAGAACCTACCCAACGTCGATGAAGCTGTGCCGGTTCGGGTTTGCCGCCGCGGGACCGGGATGAGGTCGAGATTGGTGGCGAAGACCCTAAAAATTGGATTTTTTAGGGCTTACTGGTATCGGGACTGGTACTACGTAATATATCGTGACTAATTTGCATAATTAGGCAAGTAAAGTGTTACGGTGTAGCATCTCATGCTCCTTTTCTTTACTAAATTAACCTATCGTAGTCAATTACAGAATCAATTTTATGAAACTCACATTCAAATCCTGGTTCACCAGCCCGCTTGGCCCGAACGGATTCGACGAGTTGGGCAACGACTTCCCGAACGGATTCTCCGAAAACATTCCCATCTTCGGCGAGCTCGATATTGGCACCGGGCCCGGGCCAGTGTTCTTCACGATCGGACGACCCATGCTCGGTCCGGGAGCCTGAGAAGCTTGTCCCAAGCCTTGGGCCGAGTGCTGGCGAACGAATTGGGGCTGCTGCTGGGGTTGCTGCTGTTGTTGTTGGCCGGATTGAGATGGGAAATTCCCGCCCAAAACCCGTTGCACAGCGTGATTTTGCACGGCCTGGTTAGAGAGGAGGGAACGCTGAAAAATTTAAGATGTTTAAGTTAACAAATTAGTTGAAGGGTTTAGAAAATTTGGAAATTTAGTTTAATTTAGGTTTAATTTTCAGGCAAATTTTAATTTGTTTCAAGGTGCTTGGCCTCGCTTCAAAGAGATTGGGAAATCTGAAAAACGTTAAACTATATTTTGTACTTTTTTAAAACCATTTAGTTATATAAAAAATTATAGAAAGTCATTAAACCAAAGTTACATTATCTGCTATTTTGATAAAATAGCGACTTTAAACTATAAAAACTCACGATAATCTCCGCATTGTCAGCATTCATCTGGTGCCACTGCTCCATTAGACTCTGACCGTCACCGAGGAGGGAACCGGACTGAAAAAAAGGACATGAAAATCAACATACAAGATTTTGCAGACCAGAAACCAGCTATAAAATATTCAGAAAAATCTAGAAAAATGAAAGCTTTTGCCGAATGAATGCTAAAAAACCCCTGAAGTAGCAATCTCCTTTTCAAACAGACAGATGTCGTGACCACTAATAAGTGCGATAACCATGTGACACACTAATGATGAGATTTCATAAGCATTAAGGGAGCGTTCAAGGCCGTTAATGCCGTTCCTGCACTACCATTCCTATTTCCGGGACTATAAGCATTAATAACGCGAATACAATCAATACAACTTTTGCCCGTTAAAAAAGGGTTTTCTGCCTCACCTCAGCTCTTCTCCTCTCCTGTGCTGCTCGTTGTTGGTGTATCAAATTCTCGAACCCAGGTGGCGCATCCATCGAGTGTGGAGATGCGGAAGATGATGGTGCTGGCGTGATGGGACCTGAAGAGAAGGTAAATTTGGGAATTAACAGTTTTAGGGTTTTCGGGGGAGAATTTCGAGGAGTAAGTCACGTTGGTCCCTTTATGCTGACATAAGAAAGGCGCTGATAAGAACTTTTGCTCGGTGCCAAGTCAGAAGGTCCAACAGTCTACACAATTTAATAGAAATTTTTTAATGTAGAGTGAAAAGAATTGGATCGCTTGTAATTGGATCGCTTTTAAAAATTAAATACGAACCTGTAGGAACAGCTGTCGATGGTGGCGTCGCAGGAACCACCGATTTGGCTGCAGATTCATGGCCAACAGCCATGAAATTGTAGCACGGTGGCTCCTCGTCGATTGGCTCGACAGCTGGTCCGGAAACCGAATCGGTGTCCCGGAATGGAGTCGCACTCTCCGACGCTGACATCGAGGAGATCTCGCTGCGATTCTCGTCGTCGACGCCGTCCTAAAGGAAATGTTTGGATTCCAGGATGTAAATTTGCTTATTAATAGGCTTTTAGAGGTGTTTAAGAAAAAATCCTAAGCCTCAAAACGTACCTCTTCTTCCTCCTTGATGTCTTTCTCCTGCTTCGCTCGCTTGGCCTCTTTGGATTCTTTGGATTTTGGGATTTCGTGCTAAAAATAGGTATGAGTTGCGAACTTCCCCAAGCCTACGCTAAAACCTAAGCCTAAGCCTAAGCCTAAGCCTAAACCTAAGCCTAAGCCTAAGCCTAAGCCTAAGCCTAAAGCCTAAGCCTAAGCCTAAGCCTAAGCCTAAGCCCAAGCCCAAGCCTAATTTTTCAAAGCACCAACCTTCGTTTTACTCCCAACCGCTACTGCTTGTGGTGGTGTCGTACTCTTCTGCCAACTCAACCCCTCCTCAGAATATACGGGTTCTTCGATAACAAGTGGTGAAGAATCCTTCACATTCTTTGCGCCTTTTTTCGCCTTTTTCTTTTTCTTCTCCTTCTCGCCGGTATTTGCCTAAAATTTCCGATACTTGGAATGAGTAAATCTGCGTACCTTTGCCTGGTTTTCCTTTTGTTTCAACATATCTTCCTTCCGTTTCTGTTCTTCCCGAATTTGTTGCTTTCGCATTTCTTCTTCTTTTCTTAATGCTTCCGCTTCTTCTACGGCTTTTTGTTCTGCCTCCTTTTTCCGGCGCTCCTCGTCGGCGAGTTGTTTTTGGAGTTGCTGAAATTGTGGGAGGTACAGCAGAATGTATATAAGTAAAACATTACGGGGATTTCAAAGATGACAAGCATAAGCCTAAAAGTTACTTCAAAAAATGTAAACCATCCAAAACTAGCAAGTCCTGCAGGGCAGGGTCATGTGATGGACACAGTCCCACTATCTCCCGCTGCGGTCAGGCGACTCAAATTTCGACATGCTATTTATTTGTACTAGGGGTGGGTATGGAGAGAGCGAGAGAGAGATATAGAGTGAGAGAGAGAGTGAGAGAGAGACCGAGAGAGAGGCCATATTTGGTGATCTACCCTCCTTTGGCATCCAGCCAGGCGATAAGCAGCCACCACCTCACAGCTGGCCCCTAACTGATGCAATTCCTATTTGCATTTGGGTAGGTGTGAAAAATGAGAAAGAGCGAGAGAGAAAGAGAGTGCAAATATCCGGTACTGTCTAGATTTTCCCTATGCTACGCCCTAATCTAACAAATCCGTGGTAAACTGCGCTGTTAGGCGTAGTTTGGAGCTTTTTGGAGGTTTTTAGTGATTTTTCGAGTCCGGGATCATTTATCTACGCTCATTAATTCTCACTACATATGCTTGGAGTGAAAAACAACCCCCTAAAAGTGTAGAACGTGCCCCAGGGTCAAGATACACTCTCACTCGATGCCAGATGTGACCCTTGAAGCCCCGGAGGGCCCGACGAGGCCCGACTTATAAGCATAGCTGCTGGTGAACCATATTTTGCTTATAGAGTCTATTAAGTAGTATGATTCCATAACCAATTGCATCATTTAAGTATTTTAAAGGGACTATGAAGACGGATCTCTTGCAAAAAAAATCGTAGTAAAAATTTTGACCTTCCTGGTGCTTCTAAAGATTTTTTCAAACATATCTGAAGCCAAAATTTGCCGGATAGACCAGAATTTTGCCTAGTCCCTTTAGATACCTAAAAATAATCGAAAAATCACTTTGACCCGGTAGCCAATCCCAAAAATAAACAAAAACACAGGCTCCTGGCGCACGGAGGTCACAGCTGGCTCGTGACTTGCCCAGAGGGCTCTGTTTAGATTTTAGCAATGCCCTAAAAATGCCCGAAGATGGGCCACAGATGGTCTCCCCCCGCTCTCTCTCTCCCTCTCTCTCGCTCTCTCTCTCTCTCTCTCTCTCTCTCTCCTGATCCGATCGGGAACACGCCCAAAAAAAGAGCCATAAATTCTTGGGGTCCCAGGCCACCTGGCCGGCACGGCTTTTTAATTGGGAGGCGCTTGTGTATGCTAATCGTTGAATGATGGATATTTGAAGGGGAGAGAATGATCGATGAGAGAGTCAAGGAGCCGAAACTATGCAAATCTTAGGGGTTAGGAGACAGATCTATGACAAGGCTTAGTATTTGAGGCAGAAATTAGCATCTTAAAGGGAAGGAGAAGCGCCTTCTGGATAAAGTACATTGTACACTAACCTGTTTCTGCTTTTTCTTCGCTTTCTTGGCTTGTCTGGCCTTGCTGTCGCCCTCGATATCAGCAACAATCTTGTCCAGATCCTCTTCCCCTCGCTCGGTATCATCGCAGCAGGTGGCCGAGGTATCTTCCTGCAAAAGATGGGGATAGTTACGAGAAAATTGTAAAAAAAAGGGTACCACCTAGGCCTAGGCTTAGGCTGCAGTAATTTTGAAATACTGAATTTCCTAGTGATTGATCGGTTCTCATTTTTCTTTTTAAGGTATCGATTTTTAAGCCATTCGAGCTCATTTTTGCACCTCTTCCGTGTCCACTTCCGATCTGTGGTCAACGATGTACTTCTCCCGATGTAGAGAAGCCGAATGGCTGTGATGGTGCATGAAAATCTGGCGTTGCACCCCGATGATCGTCCGCATGTCTGATGCTGCGAGTCGGCGGAGCGTTTTGAACGCTACAAGGGGATACAATAGACGAGTGGCAATAGGAAAGTGGAGGAATAAAATCTGGAGAATAAGAGAAACGCATTACGCATTAATAAAGGGCTCAAAAATGCTTGTGGACCGCCTTAGAACCCGAAAAACTTTAGTTTTGCTGTTTGGACGCTACAATACGCTCGAATTGACGCTAGTCGACAGTAAGGTTCTGCAAAAAAGATCGCAAGAGCGTGGAAAAATTAACGTTGGTAGACCATTTTTTAAGTAAAAAACAGGCAATTGTGAAGTTTGAAACCCTCCAAGCCTTCCCAAGCAATTGTCAGGTTTTAAAGTTCGGCCCAGTGGAAGCCGTAAATCTTGGCAATGCGCCAATTCGAAAGTCGAAACCCGGGAGAGGAGGAGGAGGTAGCCAAAAAAAGGAGGGAAGATCCAGAAGAGGAAGGGAACCCCCAAAAAAGGACGAAGAAAGGAGGCAGAGCACGGGGAACCGACTGGCACAAAAGGTCACGCCGCTAGGGGAGGATGTTGAAGGTTCCTTGCGTTCGATGGGTAAGGGGTATAGGAATCGAGTGGAATGATTTGGAAACTTGTCCAAAAAAGGGCTTAAAGGAGCGTTCAAGGCAGAGAAATTGTCTAAAGGTATCGGATATTGCATAAAAATTTAGAAAAACGGCGATGATCCCCGTAATTTCTTTCTAAAGAACCTGAATGAGCGAAAAAATGAAAAATTTACGCGGAATACAAACGAATTGGGGCAAAAACTGTATTAAAGGTACGTTGAAGGTAGAGAGATGACTTTGTATTTATTCAGGCATTTCCGAGGAAGCAGATCCACAGAAAAATTCAAATTCAGAGTGGAGTTTCTCGTCCATAGATAATAATAATATTAAGTACAACAGACGAATGTCTAGCATTACGAAACTGTACAAATACCCCCTCTTTCGCGCGCGGAAGCGCCCCAGGCCTCCGCATTGCGCAATATTCCGAAATGCTACGTAGCGCTTCGCAAGGGAACTAGTTGGAACGCTGACTCAGTTTGCAAAATTTCAAAACCCGTCCGCTTCCGTAATTTGCGGATAGAAAAAGGGACAAAAAAGTCCAGTCAGTCGGGGACCACTGCTTATAAATAATTCTTGTTTACGGCTTTTTAGAGCCCTAGGCTAGAATCGAAAATGGGTATGTCTGTGCCCACAAAACTAAGCAATAATTAATCCTCGGAGTTCGCGACGTCATCGCAAAAATCGATGAGGAAACTGGGCTAAAAAGCGTACAAAATTAAGCAAAATTGAAAAATAATACTAAATCCAAAAATTAAGCATTGAAAATCAGGTATACAATTGGAGGTCAAAAAGTTTCCCGTAATACCGCCAGCCAAACAAATCGATCCCCGCCGCGCCCGGCTACGCGACCGATCTATGGACGCCAAAGGCAGCCGGCGATAAGGCGGACAAATTCCTGTGGACGGACGGGGTGTTCTCATGGTCATCACTCTTGAGGAAAATTAAGAGTATCGTAAAGGGGTTGTACTTTGGAAAAATACATAGTTGAGAAGCTGTCGTAAAAAACAGACTTTCAGGCTTTAGCCTAAGCCTAATCCTAAGCCTAACCCTAAGCCTAAGCCTGAGCCTTACGCTTTCTAAGTCTTTAGACAGTTTTTAAAGTTTGTAAAGGATCCCTGAAAGCGAATTTCATAAAAATTCAAGCCCTCCTGGGTTCCAATAAATCCTAAATATAGCCCATGCCCCAGAATATCCATCAAAAATCCCAGAGGACCTGGGAAGAAGCCGAATGCGGGAAGGTGGACCCCCGAAAACGAGGGCCCAACCGGGTCAATATCTACCCCCTATGGGCCCGTTGTTCCCACGCGCCGGCAACTCCACGCCGTATCCAATGGCCATATGGGGCATCGGGTGGGTAGCATAAATAAATATACAGCTGTATCGATTTGAAGATTAGGTAGAGCACACAATATAAACAATTTTTGGCGGGTTAAAGGGACTGGGAAGGCAGGAAAACACGGCGTTTTGAGAGAAAACTCGTTCCGACAAAACTAAAATATCTTGGGGATCACAAAAATCCCGCAGCCAAAAGAATTCAAAATAAAGTTCTTCGGCTAAAATTTCCGGTTTCCAAAATTCAATTAACCCCCGGTTCGCGAAAAAACAGTTTGAAACCGAAGATCCAATTTTCGGGCGGGGAAGACCGGGCACCGGTCAGCAATCAGGAATGTTGCAAGGTGGAGAGAGAGAGAGAGAGAGAGAGAGAGAGAGAGAGAGCGATCGAGCGCAAGAGAAAGCCAAATTCTCAGGCCTCCCCTTGCAGCAGAAGCACGTGTTTTCGATTCGTCTCGGCCCGCCCGAATTTTCGACCGGGCCGACACCCTCGGTTTCACATCGTGGAAATCGATTCGAATCGGGCGCCCCCTCTCGCTCCGTGCTACACCAGATGACACGTCTCCCTTCAGGCCGAAAGGCTGGCCCACCACCCCAGATGAGCCAACCGATTGTAAACAGTCCGGGCGCGTACACACAAAGCCCCGCGGCTGGGGGCCAAATTTCTCATTGGGGGTCAAGTCGCGTAAGGGTCGCTGGCGAAGCGCCAAAAATTTTGTTAAACACCATAATTTGCTTATAATTCAGAATTATGCAACTTTAGCACCGATTAAAATTGTTAAAACGCTATCTCCTCGAGTTATCCTCCCTACTACAACTTATTTCTTATGTTTTTGCCAAAAGTACAAAATTTAAGGTGCATTCGACGTCAGTGGGTGACCAGAAAATTCTATGGTTCAAAATTAAAGGCTTTGCAACGCCTGGAACTTACAATTCTTCAAAATCCATGGCAAAACGTATATTTTCGAAATACTAAAATTAAATGTCGTATTTCCCCGAAGGACTGCGGATTAGCAAAAATTTCTATGCATTTTTGCGATAAGTTCTGAAGTCTCCATCAAGTTCACTGGAGGAAAAGTGGATCCCGTTATGGCGTAAATAAATGCGATAAAGCCGTCAATTCCAAATTTTAATGGTTTTAAAAATTAAGGGAACATATCCGTCTTAATGGCTTTCGCTAATTTTCCACTACAAATTCCGGCCACCCCACGAAAAGCAATCAATTTCATGCCTTTTGCATCAGCTGATAGGCCGCCGCTGCCGGCTCTACCCTAATAAATATTGAGTGGTTTCGCCGCGAGCCGTTGCCTGGGCCGCGTTGATTGGAAAAACACGGAACTGAGTCGGGAATTCGATCGTGGAACGCTGAAAACGCCGGAAAAACGGTTAGTTGCTGTCGATTTCGGTATTTCATTCGCTCGAAATTTTTAGGCGGAATCCAGTTAATTTTCGGAATTCTTAAGTTTGAAAAACGTTACTCAGTAGTCAATATATCGGGATTCCTTCTGGATCCAAATTCCGGTGCCGAATTCAATCAATTCCCGGAGCAAACCGCAATCTTTGTGCCGTTCGGGGGTGCAGAACGGAACTGCGGGAGTGGGAGCCCGCAAAAAAATGTGGGTCAATGTCGAGAGTGAGGGGAGGACTAGTAGGAATAGAGTTTGAGGATTAAAATTCAGGACCCATCGACTTAAAAATGAATATTATTAAATCGTAAAAAAGATGGGAAGTCCTCACTAAAAATTCTGCAAAATCGGCCTAAAAATAGAAATTTTTGATGAATATTCATTTGCAAAATTTTTAGTGGTTTTTTTTTGCCAAAAATCGCCTAATTTTGGCCAAAAACAGATCGATGCAAAAAGATGTAAATTGCCCGCCAAATCCGGCGTTGTGACGGGTGGCTGTGGGTGGGGTGGGGAGCGTCCATGCGCCTCGGTGCGCAAGCCCGTAAATGGAAGCCGGGGCGCGCCAGCTGGCTGTGTTTAGAGGGCAGAGACGCAGGGTGGAGAGAGCGAGAGAGAGGGAGGGAGGGAAAGAACGATAGAAAGAACAGAAAATTGGGGAGAGCATAGAGATCGCCAATGAACAACGTCAACCTCCTAGTAAAAACTTTTTACGTGAACCAGAAAATATTTCGATATTAGTAAGGCAAAAACCTAGAGCTTACGGGCTTTCTTCAGCTTGTAAAAGGCTCGGTAACTCCAACAAAACCATGACAAAAATTTTTTAAAGGTAGGAATTTAGATAAAGCCTAGCGTAGCCACTCGGAAAAACGTGATTTCGGTTTAAAGAAAGCTAGAAAAAAGTCACCCAAACTTTATGAAGCTTTAAAACGTTCAGTAAAGCCTCTATTTTGCCCGAACCAGGCAGTTTGGCGGCCTGCCAAACTGCCTGTGGGGCGAGGCCGCCAAACTGCGAAGATTGGATTTAAGAGCTCTTATAGGTTACAAGATTTTATTTGGGCTTGACTTAATTTCAAAATTACAATAAACCAGTAGATTCTAAACTAAAACCCCTCTTAAAAACCCGGGGAATCCCCCGAAACCGCGAAAAAGGCGCGTAACACCCAAGTGAGAGTGCGAGAGAACCGATGCGTCAGCCGGCCCATGTCCAGTGTATCGATTCGGAGGGTGGGTGGCCAGCCCCAAAATGGATGGTTGTAGAGGGGCTGCCTAACCACCCGGTAAATGGTGGGACGAGGACATGGGGAAGGTGTGAAAAGGGTATGTGTGCGTCGCTATAAGCATAAGAGCAAATACAAGACAGTGATCAACGAGGGGTCAGCGTGTCGAGTGGGTATTTGGTTAAGCCGGAAAAGAGGGGGGTTTAAGCAGAACGTTCAAGCTGATAGGAGGCGTAGGTTGATTACGCAATGGATTTACGAGGTCATGAGAAGTGGCTAAAATTCAGATAAGGTCTTAACTCCTTAAAAATTCAAGGTTAAGCTTGTCAGAAGCTTGGAACCGATTACGCAATGTATTTCTGCCCTTTTCATTTGCTTAAATGTATCTTTAAGACGAAATTCCAAATTGTAGATTATCTAGAATCCGTTGCACAATTTTTTTTGCACCTGCAACTCGATTGAAGGAGTGCGAAAGTCAAAATCCAGACCCAAAAACATTTGCAATCTCCAAACAGTACGGTTGGCTTTTAATTACGTTACGCAAGATAAATTAAGGCTCACGAACAGGTTTTAAGCAACTGGCAAGCCAAAAAGGCATCCGATTACGCAACACTTTTCGCCGTCAACAATGATATGCAAAAAACCGCGTCACTCAAAAAGTGAAGTTCCGGGATCGCGTTATCTAATCGCGTTGCAGAATCGGGAATTACGTGGCGTAAGTAGATCAGGGAACGGCAAGAAAGAATTTTGTGTAATTTTAGAGATGCTACGGACTTCCTGACAGCTTCAAAGGACCTAGAAATTTGGCGCCAGCACGCTCGCCATGCGATTCAGCTTATATGATGATCTGGCATCGAATCGAAAGGCGAGAGAGAGAGAGAGAGAGAGAGGGAGAGAGATCGAGATAGAGTTAGAGAAACAGATCAAACAAACCCCGGAATAAGGTGTGAGCACAGGGCTGGGACCCACTTTTAGAGCCTGGAAATAAGGAGAGAATATACCATGTGACTCACCTAGGAAAGGAAGGGACAAGACAACACAACCGACGAACAGACGAACAAACACACAAACAGAAGAGAAAGAGCCGCGCCTAGGGTTGAACACAAAGGGTGCGTGTGTTTCGCGCCGACGACGCGCGCATACTAGGGACCGCCGACGCGGAACGAGCAACACAACGGGAAGTTTGTCAAGGAATGTGGAGAATGGGGGAGGTTGGGGATGGGTTTTGGGTTTTAATGGGGTTAGGATTTTGCTTTGTTCTAAACGAAGCCTAAGCTTAAGCCTAAGCCTAACCGAAGCCTAAACTTAAGCCTAAGCCTAGGGTTAAGCCTAAGCCTAAGCCTAAGCCTACGCCGAAGCCTATGCCTAACCTAAGCCAAGCCTAAACCCAAACCAAAGCCTAAACCTAAGCCGAAGCCTCAGCCTAAGCCTAAGCCTAATCCATAGCCAAAGCCAAAACTTAACTCTAACCGAACAAAGCGCCCTCTCTCACATGACGCCAATAAAAATTGAGAATTCTCCCTGCCGTGCGGTGTGCGAGGAGGAGGAAAATACGACCGGGCATCCCTAACGAGCCCTTCTCACACAAGTGCCCCGGCATTTGCATGGGAGAGAGAGTGAGAGAGAGAGAGAGAGAGAGAGACGCGTAGTGGAGACGCAACTCTGCACGTGACACCCCCACACACAGCCACAACATTTTGGCCTGTCGCCAAATACTCGTAGGGCTGGGTGGGTGGCGGGTTGGGACGGCCAATTTTGTGAGCTGGAGAAGTTTATTTTCGAGTGGAATTGGATGCAGAATTCGGGTAAACAGATTTTTGAGGGGGTGAAATCCAAAACCTGAACGCCGGATAGCTACTGAAATGGAGAAAGGGTTAGTTTCGTCGCAAAATTTGCATATTCGGTAGCTCAAAGTCAGAGCCGAAAATCCTCAAAAATTGAGATGAATTCGGGCTTTTCATTGATGCGTGAGGAAATATCGCATGAATGTAGCTAGCAGAGGCGTTTTAGGAAGCGGCACAGCTTTTAGAAGATTCGAAATGACTGAGGATCATTCTTTGGCAGGAAAACCTCTAAAATTTCAAGTTTTTAGGGAGCGTTCAAAGCTCTTACTGGTGCCTAAGTCATTACTGCATGAATTTTCTTTGACTAGCTAACTAGCAAAGACCTTTGAGGAGAAATACAGCGGCTTTTAGACGATATACCTCAGCTAAAACAGGAAATTTGCTAAAAAATGTCCAACCTGGACCCCGAGTTCCTATATCCGGTTACTATAACGAGCCGTGCAAACTTTGCTTCGGGCTACGTCTAGCCGCTAACAAAGAGGCCCTACTCGGGCCTTTGATGATGCCGATATGGCAACGTGCCAAGATCACCACAAGACAAGGCAAGCCATGGCATCTGGTCGATTGCACAATTTTTGCATAATTTTTGGCTTGGTGGCGCTAGCTGGTTGTTGTAAGGAATTGTTAGCAGAAGCTACAGTTTTTCCCACTTACAAAATTTAAACTAAAAAGTTCAAATGACATAAATCCCGCACATAAATTGAGGAAACAGCCAATTGGATTTTCACCGTATTCTCCAGCTTAAAAAATGCTGAAGTTAGTTTTCTACCGTATTTCTGAAGTAAAAAAATCGGTAAATTTGGATTCTACCGTACACCCGATCCTAATTTCTTAAATTAAGCCTAATACTACCCTTCCTTTCAACTTCAGTTTTGACTAATTTTGAATTATACAGTGTTGACAAGGCGCATAGACCAGTGGATTCCGTTCCGTCCGTTTACGGCGTATCTTCTACTACGTAATTAGCATCCCCACGTTGCACCCAGTTTCTTGACGCCTTCCGCCTCCCGTACTAGTCATCCAAAATGGCCTCGTGGAGGTCTTCAGGAAATGGGATTCCCTGCTCGAGTAGCCGGGCACCATGGCCCTGGGCCCTCCGATTCGGCCGATTGGGCCCTTTTAGGCACCCCTCGCACCCCCACAATTATCGGATTGGCTACGGCCCGGGCAAGTTGTCATGCTGTTTTCCTCAGATGGCTATCGCCTCCTTTGGTAAGGGGTTTGGAAGGGATCTTTGCTCGTTTTCCCTTGATGTTAAAGAGAGCAAAAGATCTCTGCTAGCCTGCCCTGGGGGTATAGAGTGGATTGTTTAAGCATCTCTGCTAGCATGCCATCATTAAAAAAAGTAGCAAAGGAATATTGCTAGATCCCCTGAGACGAGGAAATCTACAAAGATTATCTGCTAGCATGCCCTCGAAAAAATTGGCATAAAAGAATTGCTGCTAATTTGCCCCAAATTCTACCGGTGCTCTACAGATCCGGGCTCGATGACCGGCTCATTTTTTGCAAAGGGTGTAGAATTAAAAATTTTCCATCCCTTTACAACCTCCAAAAATCGAGTAGATGTCGAAATCGAGTAGCCGTATTTCGTCGTAGCCCAATTATCGACTGCCGGCCTTTCCGGTCTGCTGCCCAAATAGTGGAATTGTTTGGGAGGTAGAAGGGAGTGGCAGATGAGACCAGCGGGGAGTCATCATTCCGGAGACAAAATATACCAGAACATCAGACTGCGATGGAATACTAGATTTTTGGGGAGATAAGGACGATCGGGGCCTCTACTGCCGGTTGGGATAGTAACAACAAATCGTTTATTTTATCTAAAAAGATGTAAAAGCAAAGATTCTAGCTCCGATAAATTTTTTTGAGTTCTTAGGATGCTGCTTAAGAATTCCGTTATACCAAGAGGTGATAACTGCTACTAAGCCCTGCAAAAACAAGATCACGACCCCCGCCGCGACCGTCTGGCTGGCACTGCGTCCAGCTGCGAGCGGAGCGCTGTGAGCGTAAGGATTGTTCCCTGGAATGGGCAGGGGAGGAGGAAGAAGCAGCGGACAGATAAAAAAAGAGGAAAGGAAGGAATGGGATGGAATGAATAGTAGGAAGGGAAAGACATAAGGAATGGGAGAGGAGGACTGGTTTTGGAATAGAACTGTCAGCTGGGAGGAAGCTGCGATGACTGATGATCGTCGGGTCAACTTTAGAAATAAACCTTTTTTAGGTTTTTAAGTAATTCCAGCTTTAACGCTTCGAGAAAGGTAAGCCGACAGGCAAGCTTTTTGGAGCTTTAAAGGGACGGTGACAGCAGGCGATACTGACAAAATTGAAGAATACAGCGTCACCCAAGTATATTAACCGAGGGGGAAATCCCGCAGCGAAAAACAAGAAAACAGCTGATTGCCGCAGCGCGTTCAAAGGTTTCGCTCGGAAAACTGGAATGAGCACAGCACCATGGGGGGTAGACGGGTGCTAAATTGAGCGGAAGATGACAGATTGTTTGTCGGGAGATTTGTGGAAAACAAGGAAACAGAAGAACGGAACCGAGTTTGCGTATCGACGCATTAATAGGGGCAGAAATTCCATAAAACACTCCGAAACCGCAGCATATAAAAAAGTATCGTTCTAAATCTCTAAATACTTTCTGAAAACCGATCAATCACTAGGACCATTTTCAACAAAAAAAACTGCGAAAATCCGTCATCAAAATGACCGCGAAAATTTTTATAATAACTCACGCATTTATGGGGGCACCAGTCGGCGTCGTTCTCCTTCTGCTTCATGTTATGCAGTCGTCGAAGTCGATTCAATCGCTGTCGGTTGACACCCGACTTCTCGTCGTCGAGGTGCTTCTGCAGCTGGGCTGCCTTGAGCACGAGGGATCCTGAAAAATAGAGAATTAGAGAGAGGAGAGAGAGAGAGAGAGAGAGAGAGAGAGAAAGAGAAAAAGGAGAGAGAGAAATCAGGCGCGAAAGGGCTGACTTTTAATTTCAAATATTTTGGGTGGAGTTTTGGCTTCCCAGTCCCTTGAGGCATCGATAATCTTCGATTTTAGGCTATAAATTACAATTTCAACGATTTACTTGAACTTTAAACGCAAGCCAAATAAAACCTGCTGACCAGTCCGACCCTGTCAATCAGGGTGGCCCCGAAAAATGGTGATAACGCGCGAAATGGCTGAAAAAGCTAATCAGAAGTGACGGGCGTCGTGTGGAGCCCCACCTGGGTGTTCCCTGGACGGATTTTGATCATAAACATAAAAGCGGAATTGATGCGAAGAGGCCTTTAGGCAAAAGTTAGCTAAAGCCTAAGCGGAAGCCTAAGTCAGGTCTAAGCGAACCCTAAGCCTAAGCCTTAGCCTAAACCTAAGTCTAGGCCTAAGCCTGAGCTGCTTATCACTCTAGGAAAAATGATACGGTTTCACCTGCCGGCCTACCAACTCCCGAAAGCGCCAGCAACAAAACCCAAGATCAGCTGACCCTAAGCGAGTCGGGGGGGGGGGCGAGGCTCGGGGTTGTAAACAACATCGATTTTTGGGGAGTTTCAGCGTCGGAAAGCTAGTTTTAGGGCTAAATGGGGTAACAGGAACCAAAGAAAAAAGAGTTGCAACTATTAGAAGTTTCCATCCACTGACAAGAAGCTGAATTTCCAATTTGATAGAAAAACTCGGGTTCGGAAAGCTTTTCGCAATGGTTGCGCTTTCAAATCTGTAGTTTATATTTTGATAAAACTCTTCCTCTTTGGATACTACAATCTAATTAACAAGATTTGATCTTGCAAGGGAAAAACGTTGGCCGGAAAACCCTAAAAAACTTCATAGCCCCCCTGAGTTAACAAGGACAAGTTGACGAGTTTTATGGGCTCACGCGAAGGGGTAGACCGGTTTTCGGCAGAGTCAAAAATTTTGTAGAGGTCGAGCGGGAAGGGAGAATAGCATTTTTGAAAAAGGGGACCGAAGTTTGATAGATTCTAAATACAAAGGACCTTTTCTACGTTTTTTAACAAACTGCATTCCGGAAAACGGGCCTAAAGAACTTGAAAATGCCATAAAGATCCTCATCTTCGCTTCCTAAGCCTAGTTTTCCCATCGCGGTGATCGTGAGGATAACTCTAGCCACGCAGCTGCGGGGGCAAAAACGCTGATTGAAAGTCCACCGCACTACAAAATCATTGCGAATTTCAAGACATTGAGGCCCAACTCCTCGCGTGATTCCGAATTTGTAGGGACCTCTGGGGAGGGCATAATTTCTCGCTGGGCTACTAAAATTTCGGTTACTGTCCGTATTAGAACTTTTTGGATATGGCAATTTACAACGTAAAGCTTGAAAAAGATTATAAAAATATTAAGGCCGACAATCAAGGAGAAAGCACTGTTAAAACATTCATAATTCATCTACTGGCACGATACCTTTTACTAAGTAGGAGCAAGAAAAAAAGTAGAAAAAATTAGTTATTTTTCAAGTAAGAACAGGAAAAGGTAAAATAAAACTTTAAGCTTCAAAATTGAAGAAAAATTCACTATAAACAAATTCCAGGCGCATCAAATTCCCACCCATGTGGGCCTTAGGCAATGTGTCCTTTTGGCAGCCGAAGGCCCAGGAAAAGAGGACCCAAGGCTGTGTAATGGGTCAACGAAACACTTTAGCCAAGGCATGAGGGCACGGCTTTTGCCTAGACATTTGGAGCATGGGCTTCCCTATGTGGGTGGGGCATTAGATCGGCTAATGACGCAGCATAGGGCCAGGCTAGGGCCAAGAAAAGCATGCTAGGCGTCGGCTAGGGCCCAGCTAGAGCCAGACTCACCGGCTAGGGTCCTTCGTGTTCCCCGGCGAGGAATAGGGACTCGGTCGGGGTGTATGATTTTCCGGCGCATGTCAGGATTTATGAGGCATTTTAAAGGGATGGTGTCAGCAAAAAAAAGAGAGGAACATTGATTCTTGCGTCCCAGTTGGCAGTTTCGGCGGCCGGAAAATTATACAAAAATCATTAGTAAGCGTAATCCATGACTAGGCCCTGCATGGCCCTTTAAAGGGAGGATATCGCTAGCAAAAACCAGTAAAATCGGTTTTCAAGGGGCGGGGACAGCAAGAAAAGACACTGAACCGCTCAGGAAAAAAACCGAAATCTGAATTTAAAGGGATAGCGACAGGTCTAAAAGTAGAAGAATCATGGTCAGCTGAAGCGAACGCTGGACTAAGGATAGAGGAAGGTAGCCACTTGGTCCTACAATCAACGCCTCTACCTCCCATTCTTTCTACCTACCTACGTTCCACCCAACACCTAGAACCAGGCTGATGTATAGGTAGAACCTAAAGGGATGCGAAAGTGGAACGGAGGCGCAAAAACGAACGATGCCTGCCCCTGCCATACAAGCACACACAACCTGTCTTCTTTCCTTTTTGGAGGTGAGGCGCTCTCGACCGAGGGGGAACGGCGTTCTCGACGAGAGAGAGAGAAAGAGAGAGAGAACAAGAGAGATAGAGAGGAGTATGAGCTTTTCCCTAGAGACATGCCGTGCTCGGCAATGCAGTAGAAATGGGCGAATCCGGACGGCCCCGAGGCTGAGGCGGAGTTTTTTTAGGGTTGTTGGCCTCGCTCTCTCGCTCTTTCTCTTTCTCTCTCTCTCTGGCTCTCTCTCCTGGTCTTTCTGCCTTTTTTACCATTGCTCAGCTACTTACCTAAGTTTTACTTATGCTTGGCATGCCTCTCGATGCCTCTCTCCCTAACTCTCATGCTCACTTTGTAAAGCGCCGGCCAGCCGGGCGTAGGCAAAAACAAGGCTTCAACGCTGTTTGAGGAGACAGAGGGATGACATTTGAGCTCGAGAACATGGCCTTTGAGGCTTGAATTCCATTTTAAAGGGCCATTGAAGTGAAGGAACCGATAGATATCTCAAAATCGATAGGGCTCAACCCTGCGATGGATAGCCAACAAGGTTCAAAACAAATCACTAGTCTTGCCAACCGATTTTTAGGGATATCTCGAGCTGAGACTAAGAATCCGCAGCTCCCCCCAAGCAAATGGCCACTTTTTGCGGGTTTGGATGGACGAGGAGGGAAGGGCCATAAGGGCCCGTACCTGCGCTTGAGGGCCCATAAATCGCTGGCTTTTCGGTGGTGGCGGGGAGCCTGAGAAGCACAAAAAGTTGAGCGATTGGCGGGGGATTCCCAGAATGTTTGTTTTGAGGAAAATGAAGCGGGTTCATTAAGAAAAACGCCCAAATATACAAAATTTGTGAGTGAAGCTCGGAAGTGATTTTCTAATTACACAAAAATAAGCCTTAAGTTTAAAAGTCCTTGTATAAAATTTGAATTAACGTTAAAGCGAAATTCCGAGGTTGTGTAGCTTTTTCTGCCTAAAAACGAGAAAACCACTACGAATTGCATCAATTTACGTCACTGCCCCGCCCTCCAATTTTCACAAGTGATGCAAAAAGGGGGGCGTGGCCTCGTTTTTTCGAGAAAAACGGAAAATTCGATACTAAAATTTTATGGAAGCGCAGATTTTCTTAATGTTCTTTTCATAATTTGAAAATATTGTGCCTACAGTATGCCTTAAAGGGGCCGGTAAGTTAAGCATTCAGGTCTAAGCTACTGTAACGTCAAAATTCCGCCTTAAAAATGCGTTACAATAATTCTTAAGGGTATCGACAAGGTAAGAACGAAACTACCACATGGCAGAAACAGACGTAAAACCAAAAGTACAATCAAAAATTTATAATTTCCCGGTCTTTCCAGCCACTGATCAAGCTACACAAAAGGGCCGCTCCGGGACCACAGTGAGCACCAAAAAAAGTTCGACTGTTTGTTCCGACTAGAGCGCGCGGAACCCCGCCACGACCCGATCGACCCCCACCACCAAACAGTGTGGCCAAAAAAAACCGCGCATTGGTAAATATTTTTCCACCTCCCGGGATTCCAGGTGTGCTGAATGGGCGTCGAGCAGGTTTTGGTACGCTCTTTGGGGGCGAACAAGTTTGTGCATAATCCGGTTTTGGGAGCGGGAGCGAGTATTATAGAAAACAGGAACCTGGATTACCTGGGGGAAGTTGCGCCATTTCCGGAAAATTAGCGGAAAATCAAAAAAATAATTTCTTTCGATTTTTCGATTACGATTACGATTTTTGTAAAAAAGCCGTTTTTGGGGTAAAAAATTGGCTAACAGAAGCGTAAAAATTTTTGAGAAGCCAGAGGAATCCCAAAAGTGTCTGAATTTTGTGTATGAATAGAATCCAAAGGCTTAACGATTACGACGTGAAAATGAAGGAGAAAGCTTGATTTGGAAGGCTTCAAAGCGTCCAAAAAAAAGATTACGAGCGTAAAGTACAAATTCTTAAAAAATGCAATCAAATGTAATAATTCTGAATGGTGCAATTTGCCTAAGATTTTTTGCAAGGTTTGAATGATCACGACATGAGAATAGCAAAAAAGGATATTTTGAAGTTTTGAAGGTGGGGTGAGGCTCGAAAAGCTACGAAAACTCACTCAAAACGAGCTGCTCTTGGAGGTGCTGCCGATTTCGCACGAATCCCTTTTGCTGCTTCAGCGCGTTGACGGCTTCCCCGCTGACCTCGCAAAGCTCCAACAACGAGATTCTTGCATCTTTCAGCTGCTTCTTTTGCCACAGGCTGAGTTGGTGCGGGTTACGGTAGTCGGGGAGGTGCTGAAAAGATAAAATGTGATTTTTTTAGTGTTAGCGTCCCTTTAAAACGCCAAAATCTCGAACATATCCTACATCTTTCTCCTCCTCGCCCTTCTCGTCCAACTCCAGCTCCCAGATCTTGTCCTCCGGCTTCGGCTGCACCTCTCCAAGGGTATCCACATATGAGACGAGACACTTCATTAGTGTGCGGAAGATGAGGCACATGTTGAGGAAGTGCGCCACCGGCTCGTAGCCGCCTTCTAAAAACCGATGAGGTTATCAAAACAATTGGGAGTTCATCGAAAAGCTCTTGCTCAAAAACCGACCTTCTTCCTGCTGCTCAGTCAGCACGATGTACTCGCCCATGTAGTTGGCGGTTAAGAGCAGGCATTCGAACTCCATGTCGGTTTTTCTGAAAAAATATCGACGGTTGTCAAGCTGTAAGTAAGCTATGAAGCCTCAGCCTAGCCCGAAGCCCAAGCCTAAACATGCCTAAGCCCAACCTAAGTCAAACTCAAAGCAATAACTCACAATATCACCGTACTCGCGAACACCATCGCCGCCCACAGCGACTCGAGCATGGTCAACTTGTGCAGCTCCAGCAATAAGCTGTCGTAATTCCCCGCGTCGTCTGTTGCCTCGTATTTCATGTTGTCAAGCTAAAGTCGTGGTTTTCTGCCAAAATTTGGATTCCATACCTTATACAAATCCTTGCGTTTTTCAAACACAAGCGGATAGATCGATCTTAAGAAGTAGTAGGTGATACCTCTCCTTGGGAAGGGCGGTAAGGACCGCCAGGTCGAAGCTATCGAGTCGTTTCATGAAGGTTCGGTCGTCTTCCCGGATGTCGACTTTTGCCCTGGAAAATGTTTATATTCGGAAGCAGCATAAGCCTAAGCCTAAGCCTAAGCTTAAGCTGAAAGCTAAGCATGAGCCTAAGCGAAACTTAAGCCAAAGCCTAAGCCAAAGCCTAAGCTCCAAAACGTACCAATACGAAGGCGAATTGTTGTTCTGCTTGATCAACTCCTGAACGTCGCTGACCCGATATTCATAGTTGTTTTTGGGAGGATCCTAAAAGATGGATTTTCGATTTTTCGGCATTTCCGTACCGGAAACATTGGTTGCCCTTTGTAGGAGAATTCGCCAAATAATCGAGACGCTTCGGCTGCTTCCTAACAAGTGGGAATTACAGTAACCAGTAGTTTTTCATACTTTTAAGACCCGATCCACGATAGTTCTTCTCCACTTGGCATCAGCGTCCACGTAGAAGTTCTTCATCGTGTGCGCGTAGCCGGAGATGAGCGTCTTGATGGCGTACCGGACGAAGGCCACTTTGGAGCTGAAATTTTGGAGTTTGTACTAAGTCAAAACTTAAGTCTAAGCCAAGCCTAAGCAAAAAGACTTACACATCCTTCTCGAAAGTGTCCCGAAATTCCTGCTGCCCCATTATGAGCTCATTCGCACTCCTGACGTTTAGCTCCCCAAATCGCTTGATGTATGGGTAGGGCTGGCAAGAACATGCGGAATTTCCGATTTTTGCGCATCTAAAAAATAACACCGCTTAGTTTTAAAAAATCTCTACCCAAAAATCGTGCGTTTCAGCTGTTCCTTATTCGCATTCTTTCTCCTCCATACGGTTCTATGCGGTAGGCAGCAGAATGGGATGTCGTCCTGAAAATGATACAATAGAGGAACGAGTTCCAGATAATTTCTAAAAATTATCTGCTAGTTTGCCTCAGCAGTAGTAGCACTAGAAGACTTTTGGAATCTTTCGGAATTTCGGCTAGCTTACGACCTTCATCAAGGAAATCTCTATTAATCTCTGCTAGCTTCCCCTGAAAAAAAATTCTAAAGAGAATCTCTGCTAGCTATAGCTCTCTATTGAAATAGCTATCTGGCTAAATGTACATACCTTCGCATTCGCTTTGCCCTTCAGATAGTCGAGATCCTTCTTCAATTGCTCGTTCAACGCTTTCGTGCCGTCGTTGGCGAAGAGCTGAAGACGGACACTTGATTAGGGAATTTCTTTCGATGAGTGCTTCGCATGCACTATGAAATAAAACCTGGTTAACCCTGAGTTCAAATGGCTTTAAAAACGGCACTAAATTCGAGCTGCGGCTCGACGCCGATTAGTACGCTTTTTCGGTAACCTAAGTCTTTCGTCGCACCTGTTTCCTGGGTTGACATCCCGATCCAGCCGGGCACTCATCCATCCCATCCAACAAATCTTCCGCTTCCGATTCACTCGATGTATCGCTCGTTGACGGGCTGAAAAGAAGAAACGGGTGTGAACGGCTCGGGATCGATTTTCGAAGCAGTCGCGGGTTGCAATACCCCAAAAATAAACAATATTTTTAATTTTCACGTGAATGTGAACAGCTTTCAATTTTGTCAGGTTTGAATTTAGAAGCTAACCCTGAATACGCTGTAAAATTCGAAAAACGGACAAATAAGGGAATAATGTAGGTGTTTGGAATGTCGTATTTTGAGGGTGGGAAAATTAGGCGTCTTTAAAAAGCTACGAATTCTTGGGAGGCTACACGTCTTGGTACGCTCGTCTCTCTCTCTCTCTCTCTCTCTCTCTCTTCTCTCTCACTCTCTCTCAATCTAGTTCTCTCTCTCTCGCTCACTTTCGCTCTCTCTCTGTCTCTCGCTAACTTTCTCTTACCTTTTCTCATACTGCTCCAGCTCCCTTTCTTGTCTCCTTCTCTTCAATTGTGCCTCACGTTCCCGGATGGTTATCGGCGCGTTGGCTACTAAAAATGTGGTTTTTAAAGGGATAGGAGCGGCATAAGTCAATCGATTACGCGCAGGAAAGAAAATGTCTCTGCGCCTCTTCCCTGAGCGCCCTCTCTCGCCGCGCATCTGTTGAACCCCCTCCCCAAGGGGTTCAACGCTATCTCTTTAAGGTATTTATTAATTAGTATTCCGATCGTTGCCACTTACATCTCGCATTCGGTGTGCTCTTCTCAATATGCTCTATCGCGTCCATGACCTCTTGCTCCTCCTCATCCTCATCATTATCAGATGGGTCGGCTTCTCCCCATTTTGAAAAATCCCAGCTACCGTATGCGTTGTCCATGTGCTCGCCGCGGGACTAAGAACAGGTTTTTAAGAAGAAAAACTATTTTGAGTTTTCTAGGTAAATTTTGAACTATTTTGGCAATTTTTCATCATTTTAAAGTTTAAAACCGACGATAAATCGATGTATATACAGCCCGGATCCACATTTGTGCTCCAAGCTCCCCTCGCTCGTTTCCGGGTTTAATCGACTATTCTAAAAACAAAGAATTAATCCTGTTTAAGCTAAAGTACCAGTTGTTCAGCCGATATTCCGCATATTATCAAATGGGCCAGTTGGCACGAATCGCAGGCGCAGTTCTCCTCGCCGCACTCGTGGCATTCCGTTTTTGACGAGTCGCGCTCGCTTTCTTCTGAAAAGCAAAATTCTAAATCTGCAAAAAAATTTCTCTTGGTAAATTTATATGGCTTGACTTACCAGCGCAAACCGTCAGCACATTCAGTCCTCTTTCGAACATCTGCGAGAGTCGTCCCAGAAACGCCTCATCATCCTCCCGATCTTCCACCGATTCCAACGAAGCGAACATGTGCTTCTGCGCCTCTTCAAAAGCCTGGCAACAACTTCCAGAGGGACTCGGCACAATCTTCGACAACCATCTCACATATCGCCTTTGCCGCAGAAAAAACTCCTCGTCCTCCACGATGCGCTTCCGCACCTCGAAGCCGACTTTCGAGTTGATCTCCTCGCGCGCGTATTCTTTCACCTTCGCGTCGGCGTTTTTGAATATTTCGCGGGAGGTGAGCATAAGACGGCGGAGGAGGCGGAAGGATTTTGCGAAGTGTTGATGGGAAAAGTTGTTATTGCTGTATTCCCGGAGGCTACGTTCCGCTTCTTGTTCCGGGGTGTCATGGACGCTGCCTCTGAGGTCGCATCTGAAAAAAGTAGCATATTTTGGGTTTCAAAACTTGATTTAACTGTCTTTTCACGTCGTAACTGGTTGTGAAAGGGCAGCTTAAGCTCAGACTTATTTTTCATCAAGGGTTAGATTTATGTTAGGCTTAGGTTTGGGCTTCCGTTTCTTCCTAGGCTTCCGCTTAAGCTTAGGCTTCGGCTTAGGCTTGGCTTCTCTAACGCACCCAATCGTCTGCTCGACCACCTCCAACTCTATCTTCATCAAGGCATCCTTATAAATCAACGAATCGAACAGGTAGTGATTCAGCACGCGCCAGTTGATGCCGATTTGTGTAAAGTGCTGGTCCTGAAAAGCAGCAGGCTCTGTAGGAATTCCCGATCATCAAATTTTGCCGTTCTCCTCTTGAAAACTAGGAAAAACAAGGTCGTATAGTAACGTACCATTTCGCTAAAAAGCGTACACATCTTGTTGACGGTCCGGTGGTTTTCCGTGAATTTCTCGAGTAGCATTTTAAGGAAGGAGATCATGTGCTCGGGGGTCGTCACCTCAAAGGTACCCGGCTTGTCGATTTCCTGAAAAAGGAATGGATTTTAGATTTTTCTAGCTGTTTTGGATACCTTAAAGGCACATGCAAGGCAAAATCATAACCTTTCGATAATAAAAGAGGGATTTTGCCCTCCAAATATCTTTGAAATCTATTTAATGCTGATTGTAACTAATTTCTAAATTCTTGTAAGAAATTGTTCTGCCTTCCACAAACCTTGAAGGATCGATTTCAATGTGTTTTTGATGGTTTCAAAGCTCTTCGGGGCGCATAAAAACGTAAAATTTGATAAATTCCAAACCGCTTCACCGATTTGTTTCTTACTTTCCCAATACTTTACCACCCAGATTTTTTGCCGCTCACCTCAATCTTGGCCTCCTTGTTGCTCTTGATCAAATGGCTCCACAGATCGACCTTCATATTCATCACGTGCTCATGCACGATGGACTCCATCCGGCGGAGCAGCTGGTGTGCATCGACGGCGGCGAGTAGCTGAATATCCTTCTTCACCTGGGACACGTCGAACAGTTTCCCGGTCTGGAGGCTCTTGTAGTCGTCTGAAAAATTGGGGTTCAAGGCGTTTAGCGTCATTTTTTATTACTATATGGTATTATACAACTATTATATTATTTATTACTACTACGTACTACATGCCATAAAAATGATGTAAAACAGTTCCAAAACCTCTACCATCGACGCCCTCCTTGAGCATCTTCCGCACGCTGTTCCGCACGTTACTCCAACGCTCGCGCACCAGGTCGCAGTTGGCCTTTGAGAGAGGCATTTTTGGCCTGAAAAATGGGGGATTTAGATGTCTTAATCAATTGGGAAAGGGAAGGGCACGTAGAAAATTCGCAAACACCGAGACACCGGAAACCCGGCCGTGAGAAACTACAGACCAGGAAGGTATATGGTGAAGCCACCGATTTTTTTTTGGGGGGTGATGCCTTTGTGTTGGCCTGTGTTGGTGATGATCATCTGTGGCGGCTGTTCGGTACCCGTTTCCCAAGCTTCCCCCCTTTACTTTCGTGGTGGGACCCGGGCTCTTGGCAAATTTGTAGACAGTTGCCTGGGGGGCACACAAGCCAGCCCGAGCCACCCGGAATCGGTTTCGCTACCCCTTGGCGTATGTAGAAGACTACGAGCTCTGCGTTGCGTTGCGTACGATGGTGTAATTAGGAAATTGGCGAGAGAGAGAGTAGAGAGAGAGCGGGAGAGAGTCAGCGAGAGAGACAGATAGAGAGTGAGAAAAACAGTTTTTACAAGCAATATTCTTGCGGAAAACTCGTAAAATTCGAAATTTTCAGATTCCAATAACTCTAAATCAGAATTTTTCGATTCCAAACTACGTCTAGGCTCCAAATTGACCTGGGAAAATTTGCAAAAACGTCGCTGCCCTGAAAAACGCGCCAAAAAGAGCCTAATTTGCCGGAACGGGGCGGCACGGAAAAGAGAGGTGATAGTTGATCCCCCAAGGGAGAGAAGATACAAGATACTAGGCGTTTTTCTCGAGATTCCACGGTATCGACGAACAAAATAATCATCCAAAAAATATTTTTTGCAGCTCCTATAGTTTTTTCATTTCTTTGGAACTTTTTAATTAAGGAAGAACGATTAAGGGCAACGAATTAATCGCAATCCCTAAATTTAATAAAGCCAGCATTGAACGCCTAATTAAAAAAACTCACTGAAAAATAACAAAAAGTCGGTAAATTTTAAGATTTTAGATGTTTTTAAAAAAGTAATTAACAATTTTTTATGCAACTTTGGGTCCAAAGGTCTGACAGAAACTTGCGCTTTGCCGTGAAGAATCGAGTGCTGCGCAGAACGCAATTTTAATAAGGACAGCTGCGCGAAAGCTGCAGAAAATGGCCGAAGAAACCGTAATTAGAATTTTAATTATTTCATCAGCGCGATAATTTCGCAGCTCATGGGGGTGGGACACTCCAACGCAGGGGGTACTGAGGGGCCAGGGCTTAAGGTCGATGGCATTGGGCTCTGGAGGGCTGTGGCTGGGGCTGTGATAGAGAAGAAGGTGGTCTCCGTCGGAAGCACAAGAAGAAAAAGAAGTAGGGGAGAATCCGGTGGATGGACTGTCTGCAAGCAAACAGTGTTGCCTCCCTCTCTATCTCTCCCTCTCTCTTTTCTCTCTCTCTCTCTCTCTCTCTCTCTGTCTCTCTTCCGATTTACTCCTACACACTCCTCCACGCACAGCAGCAGGACTGGGCCCCAAGAAGCCAAAAAAAGTGCCGACGACAACGAACGCAGGTTTTGGATTTTCGGGTTAGGATTGGAATGGCCAGTATGTACGTAAGACTACAGATAGACGAAAAACAGGGTTGGTGTTGGCCAAAAACCTCCAAAACGTTTGGCCCAGTAAGTTTCAGTTTCGGTTTGTCTGCCCCAACGCACCAAAACGAAAGGATATATTTTTCATATATGAGTACGGAACGCTACGTTAGGCGGCTACGATCAGCGACGGAAGGCTGCCGATGTCGATATGAGTACGTAAGGCTACGGCTTTACTATATGAGTACGGAGGGCTACGTATCGACGGCAAGCGGGATCAGGGAAGATGAAAATACTGATGAAAAGCATAGCTAGCGAAAAAATATAAAAATTACGAGTACGTATAGGTCCAAGTTTACGGTGTAGCGATTTTGTGATTGAAAGATTTCTAAAGTTGGTGTAGTAATTTTGAAGAATGCGCACTGGTAACTTGAACTTGCATGCGATTAGGCGGGGGAAAGTTGAAGGCTGACGCTGAAAGCATAAAAAAATTGTGAAGAAGCCAGGTTGAAAATCCGTAACTTCGTAGCATAGCGTAGCTGAACAGAGCCTTACTGTAATCTAGCATCGCATTTTAAACCACATCGAAATCTTAACTCTCGAAAGTTCACAGTTACCCAAAAGTACATGCGATAACGTAATTCGCCCCGTTATCAACCCCACCCATGCGCCGGTGACCACCCAAAAAAGGGCAGAGATAAGACAAGCAGAGCAACTTTTTAGGGCAATCCTGGAACCGGGAATTACTCGTAGATTCGTGCGTCTAAAAGGTTCCCTAAAATTGCAAAATTCGGGGAAGTGTTTGGAATTTGAGAGAAATTTCTCGGGAATTCGTGGTAGTTTATAAACAACGGGGAGAGGGTGTCTGCTGCTCCTTGGGTGGTAAGCTGGGGGCTTTTCTAAATTGCTAAACGTTCAAAAAGTTTTGAGGAATATTTTGGAACACTAAAATTGAATCGAATGTCCAAAATCTCGCATTCTTTCTAATTTCGTAGAGGGGCATTGTTATCCAAAACTTATATTTCGAATTAATTTCTTTTAATTTCGTATCAAAAAAGGTAGTCCAATACCCAAAAATCAACGTTAAGCATGAAAAAAGTTGTTACTACGCTTTAAACCGATACGAAAAACTATACCAAACCTTTTCTGTATCCTTAATTTGCATACAACCAACATATTACGCGTTTTTAATCAAAACTAACGGCTTCTGAAAGGGATTTGTAAAATATCGCTGCAAAAAATCTAATTTGAGCTGGAAAACTATAGAAATAAATGAAGAACGAGTCATTTTACTAAAAATGCGGAATGTGCAACAATTTACATAATTCCCTATAGAAACCGTGTTATCTAATTGTTCTTAGCAAGAATTACATTCCCAAAAAAAGGTGGGAAACCTCGAATCAAGGCAAATAACAAAAATATATACAATTAATTTTTTACGCAAGTTTTAAAGTTTTTTTAAGTGGAACTCTAACAATGTCTAAACGCGGCCAAAATAACCGGAATATACCATCATAATTAGTCTTATTTTATGGAAAAATAAAGCGCAAAGTTACGAATAATACTAATGACAATCATCCAGAAATTCTTAAAAAACATACGGCTCATCAACTATAATTTAACTGTAATTATAACGAAATCGCAAGCCCGCAACAGCACGTGCCAAACCGAAACCCCGAACCACATGACCGCACGTTTTAAGAGTGAAATTTCTGAAACAGCGTAGCTCCCAGAAAATGTAATGTAGTAGGAGGACCAAATCCATAATTAATGGCCGGGCAGTAGGGGAAGGAAAAGCCGAAGGAAAGGGGCCCAGGAGCCGAGGGGCCGATCAGCCATGGCCAATCGATAGCCCCAATATTCCCTCCCTTTGCCCCCCTCTTCCGTTTGTTCGTCTCGTGTGTGTCTGTCTCTGTGTCTGGCCGTTCCGCCTAAATCTCGCCCTGTCTCGTCGGTGTCTGGAGTATCTAATTTTAGGCGCTATCTCGTGATTTCTCGGGGTCTCTCACTATAACCCATTCTCTCGCTTTTCTCAGGGCTTCCTGGAAAACCCCCGTTCTCGCTTTTCCTCTTTTCTACTCTTCGGAAGGGTGTTCCCTCGATTTTTCACATTTCGAGAATTTTAGAGAGGGTGCGGAGGAGATGGAGAGGAGGTTTTTGGTTTAGGTTGTGACAAATTTTACGAGGAGCAAAAAACGAAAAAATCTTGGCCGCCGCCCCCACCACCGCTCCCTCCGCATCCCCCTTCTCTATATACCGCTTTTCTTCTTCTAACCTAGAAGGATAGGAAGCACGCATTTTATTTTCGCTCTCTTTCTCTCCCTCCCTTGCTCTTTCCCTCTCCCTCTCTCTCTCCTCTTTTTCTCTCTCTCTCTCTCTCTCTCTCTCCCTAACTCCCACTAGTCCAAACTTTAGTCCCGAGTGGTCCATCACTCTTTCCTCCCCACGGGACACCCCGAGAATAGAGTTAGGATGCGTGTTCGGTGGATGGAAATGGAAAATATATGGGCACTCCAAAATATGGAGCGACCTACAGCTGCTGAAATGGGTCAGGGATCTGGAAAACCGAAAAGGAAAAATTAGTGAAAAAGAGATGAGATAGAGAGGGAGAGAGAGAGGGGGAGGGAGAGGGGGGGGAGAGAGAGAGAGAAAGAGAGAGAGAAAGGGAGATGGTGAGCAATCTCTTGATAAACAGAGTAGCAGCCGAGAGGAGAAGTACACAAAACCACTCATTTAACCCATTACATCGTACAGACCGCTAGGAAAATCTCTAGCTTTTAGATGCTTCGATTTTGATGCAAATAATACGTCACATCGGGCTAAAAGTTGGGTATTAGGGCTTTTCCAGCAGTCAGCTCCTTTAAAGGTACTGTAAAATCGTGAATTTTAGTCTTATTCAAGCGAAACCTTTTCAGGGCATTCATTACGTTCAAGTCTGTGAGCTCAGATTTTCTAGTTTTTCTAGATTTTTCGGATTAAATTTGTTTTCAAAAAACTATTTAGCTCAGGCTTACTGAATTTGTCCATGATGACGCGTGGAAGGGCCAAAAAAGAAAACAAATAAACAAAAAAAAAAAAAAAAAAAAGGCCAAAAATAATACAATAAAAAAAAAAAAAACACTCTTTATTTTCACTGCACTAATCCCAATATCATTCTCCCCCTGATTAACCTCACCTGCCCCCTCCATTTTGTCCTCTCCATGCCCCTTGTTTTCCCCAATTCCAGTCAACACGTGTTTACGTTCTGCACGCAACGCGTGTGAATTGCATGGATTTCAGGGCCCACCCACCCGGAGAGGACCCCCGGAAAAACAAGAAGCCTCCCCTCCGCTGAGAATGGGACGTTTTTCCCTATTTTCCCTCGCGGCTGGCCTTCTCGCTGCGCTGTCCAGGTTTGGCAGTCAACAACTTGGGCACGCTTTCATGCCTGGGGGCAATTTTAGCTCTCTCTATCTCTCTCTTTCTCTCTCTCTCTCTCACTCTCTCTTTCTCTCTCTCTCTCTCTCTCGCTCGCTCTCTACCCCGCTCTCTCGCCTATCCAAGATCGACCAGCAGCCAGATGCCCCTTTAGCCTGCTAATGAAATTGAGCCCCAGAGGGCAAGCCTCCCCTTACTTGTTTTTGTTGTTCCCCGGACCCCCTTTTTGTCAGGCTATAAAGGTGCGGCTGTCGAGCGGAAGAACTTTACATGTCTAGCAGCTTCTGGCCCTGAATTCGGGAATTAATTTGAGGGATTTTTTGAAAATTCAGAAAAGTTTCGAACCAAAACCTAAAAAAACTTTTTTGAGGAATTTTCAGTTATTGTTTTTGCATAAGCTGTTTTCCAAAGCTTTAATTACTGAGTTTTCTAAATTATAAACCGCAATTCTGCAAAATAAACAAAATTTGAATTTTATTGAAGCGCGATCTTAATATATCGAGATTTTATTAGCTATTTTTTTGGCTCCTGAGCTTTCCAGGATAATTATTGATTATGGCCAAAATTTTTACATGCCAGTTTAATGGAATCGGCAAACCTAAAAAAAACGATATTTTTCTGGGCTTGAACTCAAGAATTTTTGGCGGCTTAGGTGCCGAATTGGTACTTTTCTTGCCCTATGCCTTAAGCCCGGCAGTGTCGATTCCCCCCACAAATGGCAAGAGCAAGGGGAGGGGCCGGGGGGAGGCGCAGAGACTTTCCTTCCAACGTCGACGTGGCGGTCGCACCCCTTTCAGGCTATTTTTTACGAAACAGTCGCTAGGTTCCCAATTCTATTTTCATAGGTCAACGCTAGCAACCAGAAAGCCAATACCATACATTATTTTAGTAAATCACAATGCTTAGCGCCGATGGTGGAGTTGTCCACGAGGGGCTCGCCAACTTCAATAACGACGGTGTCGTCCCAGATGTGATTCCAGTCGCTCCGAAAGATATTCTGGGAGTGACCTATAGTGATGATGTCAAGGTGTGCAAATTTTGGGTTTCGGAGGCTTTCAAAAAACTACAGGCCGATTTCGGAAATGAGCTGACGCCCACCCAGGTGAAGGACCAGCCAAATGTGACCTGGGATGCGATGCCGGATACGCTTTATACCTTGATTGTGTCTGGTAAGTCGTGAAGCCTAAAGTAAGCCTAAGCTAATGTTATGGCTAAGTCTGGGCCTAAACCTAAGCCTGAGCCTAAGCCAAAGCCGCAAACTAACTCTATGCAAAGCCGAAGCCTCAGCCTAAGCCTTGCTATGCCAAAAGCCTAAGTTTATGTGCAAGCCTAAGCCTAACCAGGCAAATTCGAGACCCCGCCCCAAGAGATGACTGAACAAGACTGTGTTGTTTGCGGAATGCTGTCCCTGATTTTATAGAATTAAAAACCAAGCGCGACCAACAACTCGCTCCCCAGGCACCAATGTTGGGGTCGCCGGCAGTTTCTTATTTTCAAAATCAGGACGCCATTCCGCAAAATGAACACAGTCTTGTTCAGAATTCAATCTCTATCGAATGAGTGGGTCTCGAATCTTTTGCGATGACAAAGGATCCTTGTAAGCCTGAGCCTAAGCCGTTTTTTTTCAAAAAAATCTGGTTCGGATTGATTATTCGACGATCCGCTACGGTCCCAGAACACACTTTTTCAAGCCCCCGTCTCCATCCAATTTTTCCCTTAAAACAAACATCAGCTTCAATTCCGTTCTGTTAATCCGTAATCCGCCCTAATTCCAGACCCCGATGCCCCATCACGAGAAAATCCGATTCGCCGTGAATTTCTGCACTGGCTCGTTGTCAACATCCCAGGGCACAAAATGGATGAGGGGGATATCGTGAAAAGTTATATCGGTAGCGGACCGCCAAAGGATTCTGGTAGGAATGCTTAGAGCTATTTTAAGGTAGCGTTCAGGACTTCACCGTTACGTCTTCACGCTCTTCAAGCAGTCCGGGAAATATGACTGCCAAAATTGAGGTGCGTTTCGAAGAAGGCGCATTGAAGAGACATATTTGGCCCAAATTGTCACGTATTGCTCAGTCCCAGCTTGCCACCTCAGACCAGTAATCCTAAAGAATCTCGGCTGGCTTGCCTTGTACAACCACGAAACTGACGAAACACTATTTCCAATCATTGAGGCTAGCTAAAGTCCCTCAAAAAATCCTAAAAATCATGATAATTGTCTTCAAGATACAAGTCGATGCTCAGCAACAAACTTCAGAAATCTGTTGTCACGCTCCCTTTAAACTCTAGCCAAATTCAGGCTCGCCCAAACTTCAACACCGTAGTTTTTGCCGAGCAGCATAAGCTGTCGCTGATCGCTGGCAACTTTTTCCAGGTGATCATATTACTATCCCATCGGTCTCTCTCTCTCTGCCTCTCCTCTCCTTCAACCTCTCCCATCTACTTACACTCTTCCTATCCCCTGATAAACCGAACGACTATTTAAGGCCAAATACGACGACCACGTGCCGAACGTCCACAAGAAACTCGCCGAGGAAAAGTAATTCACCACGACCAAAAATCGCAATGTATTTATTTCCAAAACGATAGAAACACGATAAAACTGATGATATTGCCTCCTTGGAAAAAGACAAAGAACAAAAAGTGCTTGGAGAAGACACAGTCTCGGAATTTTTGTTGCCAGGGCCTAAGCTAGATTTGAATAGAGGAGCCAAACTTACAGTTCCTGCTTCTTGCAAACGTCGTGCTTTAGCGTTTCCGGGAATAGTACTAGGGCCACGCATCCGAAGGAGATAATGAAGACGCAGGTAAGGACAAAGATACCTTAAATTAGGGATTATTGGACAGAGCGTTAGAGAGAGAGAGACATGGAGAGAGAGAGAGAGAGAGCGAGGGATAGGGAGGGAGAGAGAGAGACCTAGGGCCACCTAAAAGCGGAAACGTGTCCGTCTTCGGCATCTGCTGCGAAATCATATCCACAAAAGTGGTCATAGACATCATACTCGTCAACGCTATGCTCAGCTAAAAACCAAAGATTTTGAGCTGTTCTAGCTGATGCTCACTTTCACCAATTGCTCACTCTTCACATTCGGAGTCCAAAAACATCCAGTAATGGAGAGAAACGTTAGCAGGAAGCAGGGAAGCGCGATGACGTTGAAATAGAAAGCAGGCTGACGTGAGCACGAGAATTTGAAGACCAACTGAAATTAATGAAACGCTCCAATACACGACTTCTCCCCCGCTCTTGCTCTCTCTCTCTCTCTCTCTCTCTCGCTCTCTTTCACTCTCTCTCTCTCGTTTTAATGGAAAGCCCGGGAAACCTGATGAGAAGCCCAGGCATCCTCATTATTCACTGGCCATTCGTCTACCGCTTTGTGAATATCGGTGATGGTCCATTCGCCGGAGCCCTGGAATTTGAATCAAAATACCCTCCCAGGGATCCAATTATCATAATTTTAGTATAAGCACCATATTAGATAATTCCTGTTTATATCTGGAGAACAGCGTGCCCGACAAAGTGAGATTGGTACCATCATAGGACGATGAGGAAAAGCTCAGCATGCACGTCTGCGAGTCGAACGGGAAATTGCCGATCTGGAAAGATTATCAAAACGTGTTTCGTGTACAAAGACTTACATCCATCGGGCATACCAACTCATTGCATGTGCTCTGCGTATAAGATACCGATCCATTTGCGAGGATCCGGCATTGGTCCACTCGATTAGGGTTGACTCGAGCAGCCGACAAGCTAAATCGGTTTGAAAAAGCTTCGCGGTGTTAAACCCTGGCCTGGCCCAGGACCCATGAAAGCCTTGACATTGCATAGTTCTTCCCGAATAACAATGAGGCTTAAGTGCAGCTTACCCCCTCCCCCGAAGCCGACCCCCGCCTATCCTATCTCGGCTCTCTGTTTATCTACAGGTGTGGAAAAGCAGAGAAGAGAACGTAACTTTGGCACTGTTGTGAAAGGGAGGTGATACAAAGTTGGGGCGGCCTGGGGCGGTAAACTGCCACACCCAACATGATATATGTTCCTACGCTTCAGGTATGGGCTAAGCCCCAGACGCCGCTTTTTTTGGAAAACATAAATCATTTTAATATCGAAAAAACAATTTTTCAAGAGACATGGATGTGGGTACTCGATCCCGGCCCATTATCTACCTATTGACGTTTTTATCTATCCAAAAAAGTACAAGGCAAAGTAATTCGGAAAAACGTACCTCGAAGAAAACCCAACCAGCGGCACCCAAATTTCATCACAATCCACATAGACGAAGTCGATGCCACCATAATTTCGGGGATCCCAAGAAAGCCTCGGATCCAGCCACGCGGTGTCGGTTTCGACATAGATTTCAGCGGTTTGCCGGGAGACATCCTAACTAGATCGTATAAAAAAAAACCTCAGGAAAAATTTTCAATCAGGGAAGCGAATTACCATCAAAAATTCCTTGCTAAGGACCTACCAGATCGATAATGTACAACAACTGCAAAATTAGGCGCACGTTGAAAGACCCATTTTCTATCGGCGCTATTTTTGAACGATAATTGTTAAATAAAGCATCGGAGATCCGATTCAGGTTGTTATAAAACACGTTCGGTTCGCCCAGATCGGTGGTGACATCTGTTAGAGGAATTTCTGGACTTTATCTCCACGCATACCGTAATCAAATCCGTCGGAAAGGTTTTGTGAGTTGCTGAACCGATAAAATAACACTAAAATATAGATCGAACCGAGAAACATTGTGACCCCAGGCTGGACCGGAAACCGCGGCTTTTTAGCGGCGAGGCTAATGAAATTCGAGTCGGCCAATAAATTTTGGGGCTCCATATTGCGCTGGGGATCGAGTTAAGTACCCGGCAACGATTAAAAGTCGAGAATGCTGAATGGAAAACGCGAAAAGTCAAAAATTACGTGCGTAAATTGATTTGGCCGAATTTACGGGTATCCCCAAAAAACTGACGTCATCTTCAAAACAGTTGTTTGCTCTTTATTTTTTTCTGTGTAGCGGGTTAGTTCACGTGTCACGACTTTTATTAAAACACCAAAATTGGCCTCTCTATCACCAAAACGACAAAAACACGATCAGATTGGCGATGTTTAGTCCCTGAAAAATCAGGAAGAACGCGAAATGCGTGGAGAAGACGAAGATGCAGAGACGTTGCGTGATTGTGCTAAAAATTTCCTGCCCTGAGGGTTTTTAGATCCAAAGTCCCGACAAAAAAAATATCGAAAATTGCTGACCCATTCGGCTTCCCCTTCAAATCGACGTGCTCGGTAAATAGCACCAAAACGACACACGCTACCGAGATGATGAAGACACAGACAAGTACGAAGATTCCTAAACTGGTTGTAGAAGTCTGTATGTATGCTTGACTGTCTCTCTCTCTCTCCCTCCCTCTCTCTCTCTCTCTCCCCTCTTTCCGTCTATTCGTCTTCTTTTTTCCGAAAAAAAAAAAAAAAAAAAAAAAAAAAAAAAAAAAAAAAAAAAAAAAAAAAAAAAAAAAAAAAATTTATTCGACTACCACCAAAACGACAAAAACACGATCAAATTGGCGATGTTAAGAGCCTGGAAAATCATGTAAAAGGCAAAGTGCTTGGAAAACGTGAAGTTGCAAAGACGTTGGGCAAGGGTGCTGAAAACGATGATTTAGGAAATTCCGAGGCCGTACCAAGCCTGAGCGTCACTTACTAACGAAGAACTAAGCAAAAGATCCAGAAGCCTAAAGGGGCCTTACCCATTTGGCTTCTCCTTTAAGTTGATATGTTCGGTGAAGAGCACCAATACCACGCATGCTACCGAGATAATAAAGACACACACGAGTACGAAAATGCCTGAAAAAAGGCGCATCTCTTTGTTTCGTGTTCTGTCCATTTCTTTCTCTTGCTTCTCTGGGGCCTCACCTAAAAGCGGGAACGAAGCAGTTTTTGGCATTTGTTGTGAGATCATGTTGACAAAAGTGGTCATCGACATCATACTCGTCAAAGCGATACTCAACTAAAATTGAAATTGGGGCTTTAAAGAGACAGGTAACCTTGGCCAGCTGCTCCTTCCTCGCGTTTTGTGTCCAAAAACACCCTACTATCGATAGGAAAGTTAATAGAAAGCATGGCATGACGATGACGTAGATGTAAAAATCCGGTTGTCGCTTGCATTGGATCAGGAAGGAGAGCTAAAGATATCTTTGGGTATCTCTTGCGCTCACTAGCTCTTTCTCTCTCTCTCTCTCTCTCTCTCTCTCTCTCTCTCTCTCTCTCTGCCGCCACTTACCACCGTATTCGCTCCCGGTCCATAACCAACTTGATAGGTTTCTTGCGTAACGTTGATAATCTGCCATTCGCCATTTCCCTAAAAAAACAATTACAACTTTTTCGACGAGAGCGGCCTACCAGAGCACTCCCATTTTCGTTGAACGTCTCGAACATCGAACCATGTACGGTAATCATGCCTTTGCCGTAGCCGTGAGGGACAAATCCAAGCGCACAGTTTTGGGTATCGAATGGAAAGAGTTTGATCTGAAGATCGTCATAATTCTGTATTAAAAATTTCAAATTGATACCTCCATCATGCAGGCCAATTCCATTCTTACCGTCAATACGTATTCTACCGTACCATTCGCCTTCAAGTGGCACGGATATTGGTATTCTTTGCTGGTTTTCTTGGCGGAAAGACTGAAACTAGGGTTTGGAAGCTTTAGGGAAACCCTAATCCGACGCCTAACCCGAAAGCTAAGCCTTACCTCGAGCTCATGATCTCCGACGGTATCCAGAAGTAATCGCAATCCACGTAGATCTCCGGAATTCCTCCGTAATCCGAAGGATCCCAAGTCAGCCTCGGGTCTATCCAACTCATCCCAATTTGAGCATAAGCGTCCATGACCTGACGCATGGCGTCCTAAGCTCAATTAATAACCAAAAAAGCATAAAATTTACGAGGTTTATGATGTAGAGGAGCTGCAGCTCCGGGTCAAGCTCGAATGGGTCAACTAAAAGGCAAAAAAGATGAGCTAGAAAACCAGAAACCAGAAAATTAAGCTCTAAACCTGAGCATAAGTTAACCAATCACCTACGCTCAACATCGCTCTCATTCCCAGTATTTATCGCCGCCAATTCTTTATAGTAATCTTTAAAAAGAGCAGCAAACAGTCGATTGGAATCTCGGACAAACGATTTGTTTTGTTCTGAAATCGGACGTTTTTTCCAACTTTCTAGACAGCTTTCGCTTACCGTTCAGCCTTAAGGATGAGGTAGAGGTTATATAGATACCCAAGAAAATACAAAAATTTACATGGCATTTTAAAAAATACGGTAAATATTGCATGCCCCTTGAAATAGTGGTCATAGAGCGGCACCAACCCTCTAGAAATTTGATCTGCCGCTTATTAGGTTTGTCTCAACGGTCCAGCGGAGGCGTTTCATATTATTTGAAATTTTTGAGCAGCGAGAGAGAGACAGAGAGACAGCGAGCGCGAAAGTTTGTTAGTTTTTAATTATTGCAACCTGTGCTTTTCGGTATGTATTATTTTTATTACCACCAATGCGACAAAATCACAATCAGATTGGCAAAATTTAGCCCTTGGAATACGACAAAGAATCCGAAGTGTCTCGAGAAGAGGAATCTGCCGACGCGTTGCAAACAAGTCCTAAAAAAGTGGTACTATAAGTAGTAGTGCCTATTACATACCCAACCGGCTTCTCTTTGATGCCGATATGTTCGGTAAAAAGGACCAGAGCGACGCACGCTACGGAAATCAAGAAGACGCAATCCAGGACAAAGATTCCTAAAAAAGAGCTTGCAAGAGCTCTAGTGCGAGAGAAGGCTCAAGAGAGAGATAGCTAGAGAGAGGGAGAGGGAGAGAGAGAGAGAGAGAGAGAGAGAACGGATACCTAGAAGAGGAAATGAAGCCGTTTTTGGCATCTGTTGAGAGATCATATTTACGAAAGTGGTCATCGACATCATGCTGGTCAAGGCGATGCTCAGCTAAGATTAAATTTTTGCTATTTAAAGAAAAGCCCGACTTTTGAGAGCTGCTCTTTCCTTGCATTCTGGGTCCAAAAACAGCCAACTATCGATAGAGAAGTCAGTAAAAAGCAGGGAGCCACAATGACATAGATGTAGAAATCAGGTTGTCGCTTGCATTTAATGATGTAGGATAGCTTAACGGGATTGGAAACCACAATCTTGGTATGGTTCTACCATTTCCACTTGCCCATGGCGCTCCCCAGGGACCATCATTGAGATCTGGCTGACGTTTATGATTTGCCATTCGCCGTTGCCCTAAAAAATAAATGAGAGGCTAGAGGTTAGTAGATGGAAACCAGAACAAAAATAAATGCTAAGTTTAATACTTGGAAAAATGCTAGTTACCATCAAACTGCGTCCGCCTTCATACTGTTCAAACATCGACCCTTGTACTTTCACCCGGTCGGTGGTGTAGCCATACGGAATAAAGCCAAGCTCGCAGAATTGGGTGTCGAAGGGGAACAGTTGGATCTGAAATATGGGTATCGAGAGACAGAGTGAGCGAGAGAGGGAGAGACAGAGCAATGTAAAGCAAAACATCAATTACATCCATCATACAAGCCAACTCCAGCTTCACATTGAGCATATTTTCAACGGTTCCATTTGACAACAAACGACAGGGTAGTTTGTATTCCTTTGTTGTCTGCTGCGTCGTCAGGCTGAAATTGTCACCCAAAAAAATAATTGATAAAAGATAAAAGCCCCAAAAAAATTGCCGCGCATATACCTTGAGCTTACCTCGAACTCAAAATCTCCGAAGGAATCCAAAAATAATCGCAATCTACAAAAATTTCTTCAACGTCTCCGTATTCCACTGGGTCCCAGGTTAGCCTGGGATCGACCCAAAACATTGCAATCTGGGCGTAGGCTTCCATGATTTGGCGCAAGGCATCCTAAGACCAAGGATTTTCGTCGATCAAATAGCATACCAAATTGATGACATACAAGAGTTGTAGCTCAACGCGCAGTTGGAATGGTTTGTCTAAAAAGTGGCTTTGATCTCTACATCCTTCTCTCTCTTTCGGTCTCTCTCTCTCTTTCTCTCTCTCTCGCCTTTGGTCTGGCTAAAATCTCTGGTACTTATCACAGCCAATTCTCTACGATAGCCCGCAAATATGGCTTCCGCTACCCGGTTCGAATGGTAGGCAAAACTGTCAGTGTCTTCCGCTAAAAAAATTAGATCATTCAAATAGGGCTCCAGTTACCGCCAACTGCCACCTTGGAAAAACAACAAATCAGGATTATCAGTAGCATCTTAATGTCAAAAATATTGATGTTTTAGGCGCGGCCGCCTATCGACCACCTATTGGTCTCAAGAAGGTGCTTGACCTGGAGCGGATATTCGATCCCCCGGTCGCCGCTAGTGAAGATCTAAGGAATTACAATATTTTTCGCCTTAAAGAGGAGCTTAGCCCTATGCTAATGGAGACAGAGGTATCAAATCGAATGTAATAGCGTAACGGTAGTCACGGAACCGAAGTTCTGACCCATTCGAAAAGCCAACCTACAACGATGTCTTCAGAAATGAGTTCTTTTAGTAGAAAATCTGATACAAGCCCCATTTTTTGCATATTTTCAATCACCAATAGAAAATATTTATCGCGAAATCATCTCCAAAAAGAAAGAAAAACGATAAAATTGGCGATATTGCAGCCCTGGAAGACGATGAAGAAGCCGAAGTGCTTGGCGAAGACAAAGCGCATTAATCGCTCTTTCCAGGTACTGAAAGGTCTGATAATGGCTCGGAAGTGCTCATGAAAACAAAATTGTGGTATTAAAATATAGCAACTTATACCCTGTTGGTTGCTCCTTAACGTTGATGTGCTCTGTAAAAAGTACCAAGACCACACAGGATAGTGATGTGATGAAGACACAGGCCAGGACGAAGATACCTGAAAATAAGGTTAATTAGGGAGGGATAGAGAACGAGAGAGAGAGAGAGAGAGCGAGAGAGAATGAGAGAGTGAGACATGGAGAGTGAGAGGGACGTACCCAACAGTGGAAACGATGAAGTCTTTGGCATTTGTTGAGAGATCATATCGACAAATGTGGTCATAGACATCATACTGGTTAAGGCAATGCTCAACTAGGGCAAAACGTCAATTTTAGCTTGTGTTTTATTACCTTGGGCAACTGCTCCTTCCTGACGTTATAACTCCAAAAGCACCCAACTATCGACAGAAATGTTAGTAAAAAACATGGAATTGCAATCACGTAGATGTAGAATTTCGGTTGTCTTTTGCAGTAGATCACGAATTCCATCTAGAATGGATTAAAGGTATTGAAAGACAATTTGCCATCGTGATCCGAAAGCCATTTGTGCCGCCGGATAGAACATCGTCCACGGTCGATACGTTTACTACCGTCCATTCGCCGTTTCCCTGAAGTTTGAATCGTAGATGGGCAGTGAGAGAGATAAAGAGAGAGAGACAGAGAGAGAGAGGGAGAGAGAGAGAGAAAGAGAGAAAGAGAGAGAACAAGCTAAATTGTGAGAAAACCTGCCACCAGACTAATATTTCTCGGGAACTTCGTGAAAAGTAGTCCATAGGCGGTAATCTGGTTATCATCATAGCCGTAGGGGATGAAGCTCAGCTCGCAGATTTGAGTGTCGAAGGGGAAAAGTTGGATCTAAAGTATTGAATTCAGCCGCATACTGAGGCGATTGAGAGAGGGAGGGAGAGAGAAAGAGAGCGAAGGGGAGAGAGAGAGAGAGAGGGAGAGAGAGGTCTTACATCCATAATGCAGTACAGCTCCATCCTGACCGCTAGCACGTATTCCACCGATCCATTCGACTGGACCCGGCACGGATATCGTTGATCCTTATTGGTCTTCTTGGTCGATAGACTAGATCCGAGTATCTCGGCCGGAATCCATAGATAATCACTATCCACGTAGATGAGCTCGACACCGCCGTAGTCCTCTGGGTCCCAGGTGAGCCTCGGATCCGTCCAGTTCAACTCGATTTGCGCGTAGGCCATTAAGCTTTGCCGGGACACGTCCTAAAGGGTTTTTTCCATTTGCCGAGGATTATAAATGTCGAAATTACTTCATTCGAATCTTTGGCCAGGGAAATATATTATGCGCCGGCCCCGACCTACCAAATCGATAATATAAAACGTCTGCAGCGCGATGAAAATTTCGAAGGGTTTGCCTTAATTCTTCACCCTCGCAATTATTACATTCCCGACTTACTTTTTGTACGGTTGTCGTATAAAGTGCTAACGGCAGCCAACTCTTTTTGGTAATCATGGAAAATATTTTTGAAAATTTTTGGGGCTTGTTGGATGAAAATTTCGTTGCCACTGAAATCTAAAGTATAAGTTCATTTTAACAAAACTTACCTTCGTCTTCTAAACTGATATTTTGAGATTCAGAAATTGCAACAATAGCACAAAAGATAATGGTAGATTTCATGAGGTAAGCAGTGGACTAAACCGGAGGACGCGACATTTTCGGGGGTTCAGGCATGAAATTCGAGCCGTTTATGGTTTTTGCCGAAGGATTATGACATTTTGGATTTTGTTTCCACGATCGTAGAGAGAATTGCCATTGTCATATGTAAATTAGATAACTTTAACAATTTGCGCCGAGTTCGAAGGAAGTTAAAAACCCTTGCTACGCAATGACGTAACATACGCAATCTGAACTGATTTATTCAATCCTGAGACCAAAACGACAAAAACACGATAAAATTTGCAATATTGCAGCCTTGAAACAACAAGAAGCATCCAAAATGCCGGGAGAAGACGGATCGAAGAAGCCGCTGCCAACCGGTACTGTAAGAATATTCAAATTTTGTAAAGATTGGAATTACCTAGCTGGTTTTTCTTTCAAATTCACGTGTTCTGTGAAAAGGACTAGTACCACACATGATGCGGAAGTTATGAAGACACAAACGAGGACGAAGATACCTAAAAATCGTAGTTAATAAGAGCGAAACAGCAAGAGAAGGAGAGAGCGAGAGAGCGAGAGAGTGAGAGAGAGAGAGAGGGCGCGAGCACGAGAAATCGAGACGCCTTACCTAAAAGCGGAAACGACGCCGTTTTAGGTATTTGTTGAGAGATAATATTCACAAATGTTGTCATTGACATCATACTCGTCAAGGCGATGCTCAGCTACAATCAAAAACTTTTAAAGGTACCTGGAAGGAACACACCTTTGACAATTGCTCTTTCCTAACATTCTGGCCCCAAAAGCATCCAATTATCGATAGGAAAGTCAGTAGAAAGCAGGGAACGGTAATGACGTAGATGTAGAAATCGGGCTGTCGCTTGCAGTAGATCATGAATTGGAGCTGGAAACCAACGAGATACGAGAGAGAGAGAGAGAGAGAGAGAGAGAGAGAGAGAGAGCAACGGTGGATGTGAATACCATAGTAACTCGAAGGCCTTCGTCAGCTCCCGTGACCAGGTTATCGACGACCGTTACATTTTGTATCGCCCACTCTCCGTTGCCCTGAAAATTGTATTTTGTATCTGAAAACGGCTATTTCTTAGCTATCATTAATGCGGCATTAACGGCATTATTCATTGAGCTACGCTACGCTCCAAAATACGTACCACGCAGCTGACGTTGGGTGGAAATTTCGTAAAAAGAAGTCCATGAGCGATGATTTGATCATCGTCGTAGCCAAACGGGATGAAGCCCATTTCACAGACCTGGGAGTCGAAGGGGAAGAGCTTGACCTGAAAGTCGGCTCTCTCTCTCTCTCTCTCTCTCTCTCTTTCCCGCTCTCTAGCGCACTCTCCCGATTTCTCTATCTCTCGATCCAACTTACATTCACAAAGCATAACAGCTCCACCTTGACCGACAGCAAATATTCGACGGAACCATTTGATTGTACACGACAAGCATATCGTTGCTCTGTATTCGTCCGTGTAGTTGAAAGACTTGTAGAGAGTGTTTCGGCAGGGATCCACAGAGTTTGGCATTCCACATAGATCAGCTCCACTCCACCGTAGTCCTCTGGGTCCCACCTCAGCCTTGGATCCGTCCAGTTGAACTCGACTTGTGCATAGGCGGTCAGGCTTTGGCTGGTAATGTCCTAAAAGAGATAATAAAAGTTATATTCTATCTCGATAATACAATAACGCCGCGTCAGAAAGCCGAAAACTTAGCCAAGGTCAAGCCACTAGAATTTACAAGCGAAAATACCAAGAACCAAAATGCCGACAGCTGAAACCTCGACGGCCATGTGCTGATAAGACAGAATGGCACTAGAAATCCACATTTTGCATCTAAGCCGGTAATTTCCGCGTCGACGCGTCCAGTTGTCGGCATTTTTATTGTCGACACTGCACTCGCGTACGCTCAGTCCTTACGCATTGCAAAAATTACTGACCAAGTCGATAATGTAGAAAAGCTGCAACGCGATGTACATCTCGAAGGGTTTGCCTAAATTAAGCTGCAGCGACTGGATTGTTTTTTAGAGAGCGCCTTTCTTTGCTGTAGCAAATAGATTGCTTACTTGTCGTCCGATTGTTGTATAGCGTACTAACGGCTGCCAAGTCATTTTGGTAATCTCGGAAGATGTGTTTGTAAATTCTAGGCGCCTGATCAACGAAAATTTCATTACCATCTAGATCCAAAGTATAGCTTGCTTAACCAGATACCTGTTGTGTTTGAGGTGAAATTTTGCGCGCTGGCAATCAATGGATTAGCAAAAATTAATATTAAGAATATCATTCGAATATTTGCTCTAGCAAAAATCCATCAACCCAATTCTAAGGTTCGAGGATGAAATTCGATACCGCTTTGTGTGCTTCTCGTTGCATTGCCAATTGAAAGAGCAAATGTATTTCATTTTACTAAATGTCACCAAAACGATAAAAATATGATGAAATTCAACAAGTTTAATCCCTCAAAGAGGATGAAGAAGCCGAAATGTTTTGAGATGAAGAAGTGCATCAGGTTTTCTCGCGGTGTCCTGAAAAACAGTTTGTAAAGATTCCTAAAAGTGCTTTCGTACCGTTTCTCTTTAGCTGGTATTTTTTCCGTAAACACAACCAATAAGGATGTTGAGGTGATAAAGACGCAGACGAGCACAAAGATTCCTAAATCGCGCACTAATGAGACCTGGTGAGAGAGAAAAAGAGAGAGGGAGAACGATAGTGTGGGACACTCTAGCACCTACCTAAAAGCGGAAACGAAGCCGTTTTTGGCATCTGTTGCGAGATCATGTCAACAAAGGTGGTCATCGACATCATGCTCGTCAACGCGATGCTCAGCTAAAAACGATGAGTAATCGAACTTATAGCAATTTAATATCATGCAGCAATCAGCTTACCTTTGCCAACTGCTCCTGACGAACATTTTGAGACCAAAAGCACCCGACTATCGATAGAAAAGTTAGTAAAAAGCATGGAATTGCGATGACGTAGATGTAAAAGTTCGGTTGTCGCCGGCACTCGATTTGGAACTCGATCTAAGATGTTATGTTTTGAATCGAACTTTTAAATCTCACAACTGTGGCTTGAACTCCACTTGTCCCGCCACTTGCGATATACTTATTAAGGGTGATATTTTCGATGGTCCATTCACCATTGCCCTGAAATTGGATAAGACAATTTGTGAGAAAGAAAGAAAGAGAGAGAGAGTGAGTGAGTTGGAGAGAGAGATAGAGAAACCCACCACGATGCTGACTGAACGATCAAATTTTGTAAACATTGCTCCGGACGGGTCGAACATTATGCTGTCATAGGAAGGCGAGAATCCAAGGCCACACTTCTGGGAATCGAATGGGAATTTCGAGATCTAAAACAACATGTTTGGCAACAATAGCTTTTGAAAAAAATCAACCACGCGAAAAAACGTACGTCCATGCCGCACACAATTTGGACGCTAAATCCTGTCACGTATTGAATCGGGGTTAGCGGGCGTAGCCCGCTAACCCCTTTTGGTTTGAGGTACCCCCCCATACGACTCTTTTGGGGTCCTTTTCCGGATTTAAAAAAGAACCAAGCATCGGATCGCAAAACTAAATACACCATCGGAACCGGCGACACTTTTTACATACTATAAGCTTTTAAAAATTGAAAAAGAGTGAAATTTCGAATTTTAACAGCCGATTTAAATTGCGTTTCGAGGGGGGGGGTCTGCGTTTGTTTGTATGTATGTATGCCCGCAAAACCTTTGTAGTCGTCAAAAAGTGCCTTCCCATGGTCCGTTTGGGCTGAAATTTTGCACAGTTATTGGGTGACTGATAATCTCGGACCGCAAGAAGAGTTTTTTTCAAAATAGGCTTTTAAAAAATTTATATTTAATTTTTAAGTTTAGAAGCTAAATTGCGGTCAAAACAATGGTTAGTGATGTCCGTTTGGGCTGAAATTTTGCTCAAATATACATTAGACCATGCTGGAATAAGTAAAGAAGAAATTGCAACGAAAGAATGCTTCTTCTCTGAGATATTATAACTTTAAACCTTCGCCATACGGGGCGCCACCCTCCCCTTTGGCGGCCCCAGTCCCGGGTCAGGGCGGGCGGGTCTAGCTTCCCCAAGCCAGGCCTCCAGTCTCCCCGTTGGCCTAGTGGTTAGCACGCTGTACTGGGAAGACTTGGCTCCCGAGTTCGAACCCCACCCAAAACATGTTTTTTGCCGATTGGCCCCCGTGCATCCTTATGGTTTCTTGTGCCGTCACAAAGCGCCGCAGGCAAATTTTTTTGAAGTTGTGCGTACAAGGGTTCACCTGAATGAGTATTCCTTGGCTTATTTTACGATCTTAACAATAAGATTGAGGCAAAAAGGGCTAAATTCTCTCTAAGGCTAAAAAGAGTATTTTTAAAAAAGGGCTTTTGGTTTTCGCAAAAGAGACGAATTCTCGTGGCAACAAAAGAGCTAAATTCCTTTCAAACTCTTAAAAATACCACAGAATGTGGGATCAACCAAAAGTTGCTGGCACCTTATTAAAATGGACAGATCTAGTTTCTAGCGGTTTCGGCTTGCAAATAATTTCTGTTATGATCTATTTGCACTTTCTTGAAATTAATCTGTGGACCTGACCTGTGATCTGGGATGGTACCGAGTTTATTATGGTTTTAAATAGCCAGCAACTTTTTGTTGTTCCCGCATTCTGTGGCATTTTTAAGAGTTTGAAAGGAATTTAGCTCTTTTTGTTGCCACGAGAATTCGTCTCTTTTTGCGAAAACCAAAAGCCCTTTTTTAAAAATACTCGAACCGTTGGCGAGGAGGAGGCATGGAAACGTTTGGTCCTTATTAGCTTGTTCGGTGGCGATGCTAGAATTTGGTTGATTGAGAGAAAGAGAGAGGCAGAGAGAGAGAGAGAGATAGAGAGAGAGAGAAACGTGCCTGCTCCCCACGACGTCACTCGGAATCCAGATCAAATTGCTATCAACGTAGATCAGCTCGACATCCCCATACTTTTTCGGGTCCCATGCTAATCTCGTATCGGTCCAGTTCAGCTCTATCTGCACGTAGGCCCACATAATTTGCCTTGATACGTCCTAAGTCACGCATTAATATGTCTTACTTTTTGAGCCCACCAAATCGATCAGGTAGACCATTTGGAGGCTGATGTACATCTCGAATTTCTTGCCTGAAAAGTTGTCGATTTAGACTTATAAGGAGTGCTTTTTTTGAGTCATACGCAAATCATTTCCAAAGATAGTGCATTCGATAGAGAATTTAATTCTGAGTAACGCTATAAAGTTCATTTTTGCAGAATGGCTGTTCCCGATTTTATAAAATTAAAAAACTAAAGCGCTGTTTTCCATCTCTCGGCGCGCATCCATGGCTAGCCACCGGGACAAGGGGGGCCCAGATGGCTTCCCAAACCACGATTGACGATAGCGCAGTCGGTAGCACGGTTGCCTTTGAAACTTTTTTGAACTTCTCTGGCAGGTTCGATTCTTCCAAATGTAATTTCTTTTGCTTTTTATGGTCAATAGCGTTTCCGTAAATAGGGATGTAATTGTTGCGATTTTGAGTTGGCAATTGCTTCAAAGTTGATCAAAGTGAAGTCTCCAGGCCCGTGCCTTGTCACTGTTCACCGGGATTTCACTATAGTCGTGCCTGCTCATAGAGCGGATTCCATGGTAATTGAAGCCAGAAAGCCATTCACCGCTATAAAAATTCAAAAAGCAAAAGAAATTACACGCGGAAGAATCGAACCTCCCAGAGAAGTCCAAAAAAGTGTCAAAGACAACCGCACTACCGACTGCGCTATCGTCAATCCTGGTTGGGAAGCCATCTAGGCTCCCCTTGCCCCGGTGGCTAGCCATGGTTGCGATCGGTGCGCGCCGAGGGGGATGCGGGAAAACACCGATTTTCTTTTTTTGATTTTATAAAATCGGGGACAGCCATTCTGCAAAAATGAACCTTATAGCGTTACTCAGAATGAAATTCTCTATCGAATGTACTATCTTTGCAAATGATTTGCGTATGACTCAAAAAAGCACTCCTTATTAGGTTTAGGCTTAGGCTTCAGCCATGACTTACTTGTAACATTCTTCGAATACAGCGAGCTCACAGGAGCAAGCTCCTTGTGATAATTCCGGAATATATCCTCAAATATTTTATTCGACGCATCAAGAAATATTTGGTTTCCATCTAAACATCTTAGTTTGCCGTTTTTGCAGCCTGTATCTTACCAGGAGCCACGGCATCCGAATCATTTTGAGCAAGTATAACTTGTAATCCTAGAATCGATAACAGTAAGAACTCAAAAACCATAATTCGCTCAGGTACTCGACCTCTACTTCCGTTCTCCCTCCTCGACATGTGGGGAAATTTGAGAAAGCAAATACCGGACCCGAAGTGCAAGTTCCAGTAAAACAGTGTAGTTTGAGTATGACCTTTATTCGGATCACCAAAATGATAGAAATATGATGAAATTTATGAGGTTTAATGATTCGAACAATATGAAGAAGCCGAAGTGCTTGGAGATGAAGAAAATCATAAGGTTCTCACGTGAAGTCCTAGAATTTTGGGGTAGACAAAATGTAATTGTCTTAAATTTACCCTTTCTCGCTCGAAGAATTATTTTCTTTCTTTTCTGTGAATAGAACCAATATTACGCAGGATATCGAGGTGATGAAAACACAGACGAGGACGAAGATACCTGAAGCTCAAAATTACGAGAAGGAGAATGATCGATAGAGAGCGAACGATACAGAGAGATAGGAAGCAACCAAGCGAGAGAGCGTGAGAAAAAGAGAGAGAGGAGAGAGAGATAGAGAAAAAGAGAGAGAGAGAGTGAGTGATAAACTTGCCAAGAAGCGGAAAAGATGAAGTTTTAGGCATCTGTTGTGAGATCATATCGACAAAGGTTGTCATCGACATCATGCTCGTTAAGGCGATGCTCAACTAAACATCGTGAAAAATCAGTCATATGTACACTAATCCCTTTTGTCTCACCTTTGAAAGCTGCTCCTGGCGAACATTCTGAGACCAGAAACACCCCACAATCGATAGAAAAGTTAGCAAAAAACATGGAATAGCGATGACGTAGATGTAGAAATTTGGCTGTCGCTTGCACTGGATCCTGAACTCTACCTAAAAATCATCCTTTGCAGTGTTTTCCTGGGCATACGATCGGCGACTTGACCCCGTCCACTCCTCCACCGGCTATAAAGCTTATTAGTGTGACGTTTTCAATTTCCCATTCGCCGTTTCCCTAAAAACGCGATGGATGCTCTTTGTAAATTTATTCTAACCAAAACACTCATCGAACGGTTGAATTTGGTGAACATTGCCCCGATCGGCTCGAAAATGTTGCCATCGTAGGAGGCGGAAAATTGAAGGCTGCACGTTTGGGAGTCGAATGGGAACTTGGAGATCTGAGGTGGAAAATGAATATGAATTCAGCTGGACGCGCAAAATGCAACGTGGCGCAACGCAATACAACCCAACGTAGCGTAGCCCAACGCAGGGTAAACGTAACGTAACGTAACGAAACGTAAAGTAAAGTAACTTAGCGTACCTTAACACAACGTAAAGCAACGTAGCGCAAGACAACCTAACGCAATGTAACGTAACGCAACGTAGCTTTGCGCAGCGCCGTGAAGCGCAATGCAACGGAAACAACCCACATCCATAGCGCAGACTATCTGCACGCTGACGCTAAGTACGTAGCCAACGGAACCGTTAGCCTGGAGTATACATGGATAGATTTGATCCTTGTTGGCTTGCTCAGTGGCGATGCTAAAAAATTCCTATATTTCTTCGGTCAATCTCTCTCTCGCTCTTTCCCTATCTCTCTCGCGCTCTCTCTCTCTCGCGCGCTATTGTTCTCGCTTCTCCATGCCGTACCTAGATCCAACCACGTCCGTCGGAATCCAAATCAGGTTGCTATCAACGTAGAACAGCTCGACGCCGCCATACTTTTTCGGGTCCCACACCAGCCTTGGATCCGTCCAGTTCAACTCAATCTGTGCGTAGGCCCACATCAGTTGTCGCGACACGTCCTAAAACACGCATTAATCAGCAACTAAGCAAGCCTAAGCCTAAGCCCAATCCTAATCTAAAAGCGTAAGCCAAGCCTAAGCCTATGCCCAGGTCTAAGCCTAAGCCTACGCCTAAGCCTAAGCCTAAGCCTAAGCCTAAGACTAAGCGTACTTACCAAGTCGATGATGTAGAACCCTTGAAGAGTGATGTGCATCTCGAACTTTTTGCCTTAAATTTGTAACATAGTGGGAACATCTGGGGTTGCAACGTACTCGTGATATTTCCCCCATTCACCGTACTAACCGCGGCCACCTCTTTATGATAATTTTTGAAGATATCTTCATATATTCGATTAGAGCCGTCGAGATAGAGCGCGTTTCCGTCTAAATCTTATAAGGTGCATGATATCGAAATACCTACCGAGAGCGTCTGGAATCGAGACATTTTGAGCAACTATACTTTGCCGGTTCGAAATAAATAGTACTAACATGCCAAAAATCATATTCTAGACCCTAAATTAACCCGCGAGGTTTGAAAAATTGCGGAAATTTGAGAAGAGAGAAAGTCAAACACTCGAACCGGAGCAATCGTTGGCCCCAAAAATGGCGTAGTTTAAACGAGGCGGAAATCTCGGAACGTTTGTTAACTTAACATAAATATTGCTTAAAACAAATATATTTTAAATCGCTGCGCCAAACAAATCAACGCTTTATTTACGTTACCAAAATGATAAAAACACGATAAAATTTGTCAAGTTCAGTCCTTCGAAAACGATGAAGAAGCCGAAATGCTTGGAGATGAAGAAGTGGATCAGATTTTCGCGGAGGGTACTAATATTGGGTAATAATTCATTAAAGTATAATACGTACGCAGGCTTTTTCTCTTTTGAAAGCGGCTTCTCTGTGAATAGGACTAAAATAACACATGATATTGAAGTTATGAAGACGCAGGCCAGGACGAAGATACCTCAAAACCATCACTAATGGGCTAGAGCGAGGAAGGGAGAGAGAGTGAGAGAAAGGAGAGAGATAGAGAAGCTATAGAGAGCGAGAGGGCGAGAGAAAGCGAGATAGAAAACTTGCCAAGAAGCGGAAAAGAAGACGTTTTTGGCATCTGTTGAGAGATCATATCGACGAAAGTTGTCATCGACATCATACTCGTCAGCGCGATGCTCAACTATAAATAAAACTCATTCTATTTTATAGCAAATTTAACCCAAAAATCATAGCAATTACCTTTGACAACTGCTCTTGACGAACGTTCTGCGACCAAAAGCACCCAACTATCGATAGAGAGGTCAGTAGAAAACACGGGATGGCAATGACATAGATGTAGAAATCTGGCTCTCGCTTGCACTTTACAACGAAAGTGAGCTAGATTCAATTATTTGCACGGGTTTTAGCACCTACAAAAGTCGTCTCCAGCCCTTGCTGCCCTCCACCAACAACCTGCTCATACATGGACACGTTTTCGATCTGCCACTCGCCGTTGCCCTGAAAATAAAAAGGGAAAATTTGACGGCTGTTGAAAAACCGATAGTAGCCCTTACCACAACACTAATATCACGTCCAAATTTCGTAAATAGCGCGCCGTGCGGGTCGAATTGGTGCTCCTCATACGAGGGTACAAAGCCGATCCCACAAGTTTGGGAGTCAAATGGGAAGCGGGATATCTGAAAGGGACTTTAAGGCTGAGTTGAAGCATAAACCAAAACTTAAGCATAGACCTACGCTAAGCCTAAACCTACACTAGGCTAAGCTTAAGCCTAAGCCGAATTTTGAACCTAAGCCTGAGCCTAAGCCTATGCCTAACCCTAACCCTAAGCCTAAACTCCTAAGCTGAAGCCTAGCCTAAGCAAATCCTTACATCCATCGGACAAACCAGCTGCACGGTGACGGAAAGCATGTATTGAAGTGATCCGTTGGATCGAAGGATGCACGGAAAGGTCTGGTCCTTGTTGGTCGGCTCCGTAAGGATACTGAAAACAAGCTAATCTTCGATACCTCAATATATCCATACCTCGAACCAACAACATCAGCCGGCATCCAGAGCAGGCTGCTATCGATATAGAGACTGTCCACCCCACCATATTTTTGAGGATCCCATGTCAGCCGAATATCCGTCCAATTCAACTCTATTTGCAGAAACGCGGACATTATTTGGCGGGAAACGTCCTGAAAAATCGTCAATTGTTTTAAGGCAACGATGAAGCCAAAATTGTCGGAAGGTTAAATTGTCTGAGAAAAGTTTTTTTCGCTGAAATGACAGATATTTTGATTCAAATGCTATAATTCTAGAAATTTTCTATTTCCCTCGAACTTCTACCGTTGACGTTATGATATGCCTGAAAACTGCTTAAAACCCTTAATATAACGTAATTAAAAGCTAAGTTTCATACTTTTATTAACCCACCAAGTCGGTCATATAAAGCATTTGCAGGCTTATCCACATCTCGAATTTTTCACCTAAATAATCGAAAAATCTCCAGAAATGTGTTATTCACTTACTTGTAATATTACCATTGTAAAGTGTACTAACTGGAGCCAGCTCTTTATGATAATGCTTGAAGATTTCTTCATAGATTTTCGTAGCGCCATCAACAAAAATACGATTACCACCTGAATCAAATTGCATAAAGTCGAAAATACGGTAAAATTACCTCTAGCCGGTAAATTTGAATTATTTTGAGAATCGATTGATTTGTGTAAAATAAAAAATAGAATCAGCCTTTCAAAAATCATATTTGCTTTCAACATCATTCTCCGATGTTCACGGTGCTCCCTGGCCTTTTGTTGAAATTCGAGAGCCCAAGTACTCCACCCTCTTTAAGTAGCCGAAAAAGGTAGGTTTGAATAAATAAATAGTATATTTTAGTCTCTTGAAAAATAACTGATAAAAAGTATTTTAATATGAAAAGGCATAGAAATATTTATTATGCACTGAAAACAGCAAGATCCGAGCGAATATCTAAAATGACAAAAACTTTGAAGATTGAATAAATGCTGTAGGTTGGACATTAGAAAAACGACTATTTTAGCATTTTTAATCTATAAAATATATAGAAATATTTATTCAGTCCTGAAAGCAGAAGCAAATCAACTCAATTCTATCCCCAAAATGACAAAAACACGGCCATATTAGCTATATTCAAAGATTGAAATACGATGAAGAACCCAAAATGCTTCGAGGTGATGTTTTGTCTAATCCGCGCTCTCCAGTTCCTAAAAATGATCGTTGCTTTTTAGGAAAATTCCAACTCGATCGGGAGTTCCTTTGTGTTCAAGTGTTCTGTAAATAGAACCAGGACCACGCAGGCAACTGAGGTTATGAATACGCAGTCGAGTACGAAGATTCCTAAATACATCTTATTAAAGGGATCGGAAAGTGTCGGCCCCTTGGCGCCGTGTATGTCTCTTTTCTCTCTTTCGCTCTGTCTCTCTCCGTCCTCCCTCTCTGCCGTTTAAAACATTACCTAGAAGCGGGAATGACGACGTTTTTGGCATCTGTTGAGAGATGATATTTATGAAGGTTGTCATCGACATCATACTCGTCAGCGCGATGCTTAACTGCAAAAAATATCAATTTCTGCTATCAGCTTGCACTTGCCTTTGCCAGCTGCTCCTTCCTTGCATTTTGCGTCCAAAAACACCCGACAATCGATAGGAAAGTTAGTAAGAAACACGGCACGGCAATCACGTAGATGTAGAAATCGGGTTTTCGTTTGCACTCGATGTTGAATTCGAGCTTAAAGACAGGTTGCATCAGATTTCTTCTGTTTAGGCTTTCCACTGCTTTGAAAACCCACGACAGTGGCTTCGATTCCTTCCTCGCCGCCTCCAACCAGGGCACGCTCGAGGGTCACATTTTCGATGGTCCATTCGCCGTTGCCCTAGGTTTGTCCCCGAAAACTGCGGATCGACATACCACGACGCTCCAGTTCCTCCCAAATTTGGTGAACATGTCGCCGTGCTGTGTGAAGAGATCATCTGCGAAGGAGGGCACAAAGCCGATCGGGCACAGTTGGGTGTCGAACGGGAATTTTTGTATCTGGAGAGCGAGACCGCATTGGAGAGAGATCGAGAGAGAGGGAGAGAGAGTGAGAGATAGAAAGAGAGAGAGAGAGAGAGAGCGAGAGCGAGAGAGGGAAAGCGGCAAAACCTACATCGATCACGCATATCAACTCCATGCTTTGTTCCAGTAGATAACCTACAGACCCGTCGTGCCGCACGCGCACCGGGTTGACTTGGTCTTTATTTGTCTTGCCCGTGGTCAGACTAGAACGTTAGTCGGAACTCATATGGTAACGGGGGGAATCACGGTGGGGGCACTCATTATTAAAAAGTTTTATAGCCTAAAAACTATTTTTGAAAACTATGGGCAGCACATAGGGTAACGGGTTAGGGAAACATTTTTTCGACATTTTGAATATTTTCGATATTTTGAAAATTCGATTCGATAGAGGGCCGAAAAACATACTAAGAGCTTTTTTATAACCCAGAAAAAAAACTTATTTGAAAATATTTTTATGATAAAAAACTTTGAGTGCCCCCCCCCGTCTTCTCCCCCCCCTCCCCCCCCCCCACGGTATTTGTACCCTATGTATCCCCGTTGGTCCACTAAAGCTGTCCACGAACAATTCCTAGATTTTTGAAACACTTTGTAGATGATGAACAGCAGATTTAGCTCCTCAACCAGATGAGCACAACCCACCTCGATCCAACCACATCCGACGGTATCCACAGCATGTTGCTATCAATAAAAAAACTCTCGACGCCGCCGAATTTTTGCGGACTCCACGTGAGCCTCCGGTCCGTCCAGTTCATTTCCACTTGGCAAAATGCGGACATGGTTCGGCGAGAAACGTCCTGGAAGCCATTTCAAAAGCCTTATAAATCTTATTAAATCAACCACGTACCAGATCCAAGATGTAAATGGATTGTAGCGTGATGGAGAGCTCAAATTTCTTGTCTAAAGACTCTCAAGAAAAACAGCCTCTTGGTTCTTACGAGTTGTATTTGCTTTGAGAATAGTGTTGATCGGCGCCATTTCTTTATGGTATCGTGTGAATATAAAATCGAAAAGCCGCTCGGAAGCCTCCAGAAAAACGACATCATCATCTAACAACCATAACAGATTGACAAAGTTGGCGAAAACCTTCTCCCTGTTGGGGTACTGTAGCCATTCCTATTCGCACTCCATTTTGAAGAATCAATAAAAATGTAAAAATCAGCTTCATTTAGCCCAGAAAAAATATACTATTGGAGCACTTGTAGCTTCGAGGACTCGGTTCTCGGGTCGGTAATTTGATAACACCAATGAGAAACCTTGGTGCGTTGCGTCGAAAAATTATTTTAACCATGTGTCGCATAGACGTACTGTAATAGCCATATTATTATTTTTCAGCATTATTAAATCTTAAAATGTTTACTTCCAAAACCACAAAAACACCACAAGGGCGGCGATATTTGCAGCTTGGAAAAGGACGAAGAAGGAGAAGTGCTTGGTGCAGATTCGTGCTCGGAGGCGTTGGTACCATTTTCTAAATCTTGCAATTGCATTGGGTTAAGCGATGAGAGAGAGAGAGAGAGAGAGAGAGAGAGAGAAAAGATGCTTCGTCGTACCGCTTTGGCTTGTAATCCGGCGTGTTTTCCGGGAACAACACCACCGCCACGCAAGCTACTGAAGTGATGAAAACACAGCTCAAGACGTACTTTCCTAAAATGAACGCTTTACTCATTGATGCGAGAACAACGATATTTTAATGCCAAAATTGAGGATGCGTGGAACGGCTGCCCAAACTAACCTAAAAGCGGAAATGCCTCTGTTTTTGGCATCTCATGCGAGACCATGTTTACAAAAGTGGTCATCGACATCATACTCGTCAACGCGATGCTCAACTAATTTCAAAATCACAGTCTTATTGTTAGATATAGATATACCTTCATCATCTGCTCCTTCCTAACATTTGGTGTCCAAAAACAGCCAGTTATTGATAGGAAAGTCAGTAGGAAACAAGGAATCCCGATGACGTAAATATAGAAATCTGGCTGGCGCTTGCAATCGATGACGAAGACTAGCTACAGTAAATTACACTTTTTACGATTTTTTTTGCATGTCAGGCTTACAGGTGCCTTTAAAACCGAATCTTCATAACTTCAGAAACTTACAGTATCAAATCCGGTCGGGGATTCTTTGTCAAAGTGTTTCTCAATGATGGAAACATTTTCAATGCTCCATTCTCCATTTCCCTAAAGCAAGTTTTTAAAAATAGAAGCAGAGGCGGAGCGAGGGATAAAAGAGCTACAGAGGGGGAAGGAGAGACAGTGAAACCTACCAATAACGTGTTCCTCCTACTCCTCGTAAACATGCGTCCAACCATCCGGATATGCTGCCAATGAAAAACCTTCGAAAATACGCTCATCGCACATTTTTGGGAGTCGAAAGGAAAACGGATTAGCTAAAAAAAGATTGTTTTTGCGTTATTAATACGCTAGAGCCAACAAAATTGTAACTTTACATCCATATCGCATCCCAGATCGGCTACAACATTCAGCTGGTAGAGCACAGAACCGTTAGAATATAGAACGCAATGTTTGGGTCGATTCTCGTCGATATCTTTTATTTGAATCCTGAAAAAAAGGATCTCTCCCTGTCTCTCTTGCGCTTGGCTCTCGCTCTCTCTCTCTCCCTCTCTCTCTCTCTCGCTCTCTCCCTCTCGCTCCATCTCTCTATCTTTACCGACTTACCCGGACGCAAAGAATTCTCCGGGCAACCAAAGGGAGCTACAATCGATATAAAGCAGCTTGATATGGCCATATTCGTCTGGATCCCAGGATAATCGACGGTCCAACCATCCAAAATCCAGTTCTAGGTATACGGTAAGCTTTTGCCGGGTGGCATCCTATTATAAAATCGATTCGTTTCAATGCCAAAAAAGAGCTACCAGATCCAAAACGTAGAGAATCTGAAGCGTGGCAACGACTTCGAAGCGTTCTAAAAATAGAGTTTTTATCTTTTATTAACATTTTATGTCGAGGGAATTTTTCCAATTTTACGTCGCTTTTTAATTTTAGTTTTATGGTTTGAATCGTTATTTAGACTGCGACCCGGTTTTAGTATACGGTAACGCAGAAGCGTTTTACCATCAATATCATGAATCCGGCTATCAATCGGTGCCAAGTCCTTTCGATATTTTGCAAAAATGGCGCTATAGAGCTCATCTGATTTCCGGAAGTAATCCGTTGGACCTAGGATTTTTTCAAGACACAGGTTCGCTTTTAACCTGTTTTATTCCAAGGTACTAACTCTTCTGTACCGACCATTATCGCAAATGAAAAATTTAGAACGATACAGAGTATTACCGAAATCGATAGCGTCATCAGAAAAAAAACTGAAAAAGACTAAATTCTTGTCTTCCCCATCGACCAGAGGGAGCATTTCTGAAGTGTGTGAAATACGAGCTCGTAAATTCAAGCATTTCAGTTCAGAAATATTTATCGGAGGAAATAAATTAATCCCAAAAAGACAAGAAAATTGCAAATGACGCTAGATTGAGGAATTGGAAAAGAAAAAAGAACAAAAAATGTCGTTGGAAGGCGAAGGCTTTCGTCTTTTCGAGGATGTATCTAAAAATTGGCTTGAAAATGTCTAATTGTAGGAACATCCCAATATTCAAAATGCCGACGATGAGATCCTGAAAAAGCAAAATGCCGACAGCCAAAATGTCGGCAAAATGCCGACAACCAAAGGCTGGCGATAAAATGCCGGAACGGGTGACGACAGCAAAAAAGCCGACATGTCGGCAACTGTATCACAAATTTCTTTTTGCGTTTCAGCCATCGGGATTTCCGTTGTCGGCATTTCTAGTGTCGACATTTTTAGTGTCGGTATTCCGGCTAGGGATCCCGTAACTTGCATTTCCGGCTAAGGTTTTTGGGAATCTATGCAGGAAACTACCTACCGTTTGTGCGATTTATCAAACTTGGGCATGATCTTCTTCTTTTCTCGGCAGGTGACAATGATCAGAGCAGCTACAGATACGATGAAGACACAGCAGAGCACGAAAATTCCTGAAAATAAGGTACAGTCGTGCTTAAGGCTGCGGTTACCTAGTAATGGAAAAGTTGAGGTCTTAGGAACTTGTTGAGAAACGATATTGACAAAAGTGGTCATCGACATCATACTCGTCAGGGTCAAGCTCAACTGGAAAGTTCTTGCATTAATGGGAGAGGGAAGAGAGTGAAAAAGAGTGAGAGAGAGAGGGTGGAATGAGAGGGAGAGAGCGGGATAGAAGCTACCTTCGACAACTGCTCCTCCTCCAGATTCGGCGTCCAAAAGCTGCCGGAAATCGACAGGAAAGTCAGGATAAAACATGGTATTGCAATGACGTAAATGTAGAAACTTGGCTGTCGTTTGCAAGTCAATTGGAATATTAACTAAAAAACTCAACGTACTCCGAAAAATTAGATCGTGCTCAAGTTCTGGAACACGAGCTCGGAAACTTACCACATCCTGCACCCCTCCAATAATATCAAAAGTGGCCACTTGCTGTGTTACATTTTCGATCAACCATTCGCCGTTGCTCTGGAAAATCGGTAAAATGGGGGTGAAAGAGAGAGAGAGAGAGGAAGGAGAGAGAGAGAGAGAGAGAGAGAGAGAGAGAGAAAGGTGCAAAATCCTCACATAGACCGAGTTATTCATTGCTGAATATTTCTGAAACATTAGGCCTTCAAGCTCGATCTCATCCCAGCTGTAGGTGCTTGTCCCGAATTGCAATGAACAATTTTGAGAATCAAATGGGAAGTTTTCGACCTAAAAATTGTATTTCTGAAGCGTCTAATAAAACATACTATTTTCTGCATTTGTTATTTGGTTTACCAACCTCGAATTGACATCCGATATCCGCTGTAAACATTAGATCATACTTTACCGTTCCATTAGCGTACAGAGTACACTCCCGGAATTGCTCGGGAAAGACTTCCGTCAGGCGTAACCTGGAATGTACAGCAATTTCACGAAGTTATTCGTATTGTACGTCTTTAGACGTAGTTGATCGAACTAAAACTTACGCGCTGATTAGTGAAATTCCAGGAATCCAGAGAGAATCGCATTGAATGTAGGTTTTATCCACTGCGCCGAATTGCTCTGTACTCCATGCTAATCTAGGATCCATCCAGCGCATCTCCAGCTCAAAGTAGGTGCTCAACATGTGTTTCGAAACATCCTAAATATATTTGAAAATAGACTGGCTGGACATTAAAAAACTTCACTTACTAGATCGGTTAGGTAGATCGTTTGGAGGATAATCAAGACAAGCAGTTTAGTGGCCTCTAAAAAACCTGATTTTGGCCCATCCCTATGTTTACGATTTGTTTTACTCAATTTGCGTGCCCTAAATTATACTAGAGCTTTTTAAAAACAAAAATTTTTACCTTGCTCAGCTATGATACCTTTTCATCCTTTTGCCCACTTTAAATTTGCCTATCACTTTTTAAGTGAAAAGATCGTGCTAAACCATCCTTATATTGCTTTACGTTAAGAATTGCCGCTTTAAAAACAAATTGTTTTATAACTTAAACATTAAATGCAGTATTTTCCATGCTATAATAAGGTATTTAAAAGCCGTTCAACCAACCTGTCGAATTCCCTGGCACAAGCACATTAATGGGAGCCTGGTCACGGTGGTAACCTCTCGTCGTGAATATCTCATCATAGAGCAGCTTAGACGAAGTCAAATATAACTCAGTATTACTAGATAAAGTCAGTAGACTTTCACCCAAATCTGTGCGCTCCATCAAAATCAAACAATCCCGACCAAAAACCTCTCTAATCGGGAAAAGGCTCCGGAAACGAGGTTAGGTTCGCGCCGAAATTTGAGCCCCGGCCTCGATTGTCTGGGTCTGGGGAGGGCGGTCGATACATTCCCTTCAAAATCCGGAACCAAAAAAACCACCCCGTGAAGCCGTAGGTATGTAGATGGGCGATGTACTTTAATCTGGACGTGCAAGCCATACATTTCTCAAAACAGGATGGTTTATTCGCGAAATAGCCCGATCACTCCGTAGACTGCCAAAAATGCCAAAAGCATTTAAAAGAGATATTTTACGGGGTAGCTGCTGCGTTGATTTGATGAAGGAATGACCGTATCGAACCCCATTTACCCATGCCAAGAAAAGAGACGAAAATATATCATTGGCCGTTTGATTTCAACATACGAGATCTGAATGCGATGTTTTGAACTTTTTGCCTTCAACAGCAAGTAGACACTACCAGCCGGTACAATACGCTACAGAATAAGCCTCATCTATTCCAAGATTTTGTTATAAGACGTCGAGTTTAGGGTCCAAGATGCTCATCATGACTCGAAGCCTATCTGGCGCGCAAATACGCTAATTCCCATTCTACCTTCGGAGTTTTACCCAGATGACCGGATTCAGGAGTCAAAGCGCTTTCAGTACGGAAAAGACCCAAATTGTTGAAACCTGCGACTTTCGGACTTCTTAAAAGTCGTCTTACTTTATTGTTGTTTTAATCTTAAACAAATTTTACGCATTCCTTGTCCTTTCTCTGAAGCGATCTCAATTCACTGCAGGCCAATTTTCCATCCTCGTCTGCCCCAACACATCATCACTTCCATTGTGCTATTTCCATCTCATCCGCTTTGCTAAAAGCCTCCTGATCCCCGGGTTTTGGAGGTGGTCGGGTTGTCCTGGGGGTGTATGTGTAGGCAATTAATCCCCAGGAAGATGACTCTCGATTCCGCAGGAGAGCTATATTCCGTGGAATACAGGATGAGAGCGGTGGCCTTCCAGGGGGGCAATATCCACTCGAAAGATGGACACAAAATTCTGCCGACTTACTCCCCGGTTCTGACGACGCAACTTCCACAGCGTTTCGTGTTTATGTGCAAATTTTAGAGGGGTGGAGGAGGATTTGGATTACGAGGTGGATTAGGAATAAATTCTCAAAAATAGGGTTAGGTGAGGCATTGATTTTTGGGGGTCTTTAAGGGAATATGGGCGTCACGGATTTCTGTCTTTCTCTAACCATCTTTTCTCTCCCTACCATCCCGCTCTCTCTCTCTCTCTCTCTCTCTCTCTCTCTCTCTCTCTCTCTCTCTCTCTCTCTCTTTCTCACTAGCCCGATCTCCCTACTGTTTATTTTCCAAAATACACCAAGTTACGGCCTTGGTCTCTCTTGTAGCTTTTCCCCAGATCCTGTTTGTAGCCTTAGAGGGCAACCGCAGCAAGACGGAAAATAGCAATTGTTTTAGCGGCAGCTCCATTGATCCCAGGCACCTGCTTTCATTAGAGCAATGGCCCAATTTTGTACAGTAATTTAGTCTGGAGAGATCTCTCCTCTCTCTCCATCCCTCCTCTCTCTTTCACTTTCTCTCTCTCTCTCTTTCTCTCTTTTTTTTCTCTTTTTTTTTTTTTCCCTCTCTCCCTCCCCTTTCCCGATTTAGCCGTACATTTGACTAATCGCTAATCTCCACTATATCCCGATCCCAGGGTACAAATGAGCCGGCTAGTGCCTCGGGTTCCCAGCCTAGCTTCACATCCACCCCGGCTGGTAATTTCCCCTGTCCCGGGGTACCATAATTGGTCTCGCAGTCAGAAAGGGTGTAGGGGGGGATCAGGTAGTCGCTAAATGGGTTCTTTCCTTCTGTGACTTGATTCGTTTAGCTGTTAGCCGTTTAGCCTAAGCTGAAGCCTAAGAATAAGCCTCAACCAAGCCTAACCCTAGCCTAAGCATAAGCTAAGCCTAAGCTAAGCCTAAGCCTAAGCCTGAGCTCATGCCATAGCTTAGACCAAAGTCCAAACCCAAGCTCAAGGCTTAGCCTAAGCCATAACCTATATCCGAGCCTAAGCATGCTAATCCTAAGCCTAATCGAAGCCCAAGCAAAACCTAAACCCAAGTCGAAGCCTAAGCACGGCCTAAGGGAAGCCAAAGTCCGAGGCTAAGCCTAAGCCTATGCATATGCCTATGCCTAAGCCGCCCAAGCCAACCCCATGCCTAAGTCTAAGTCTATGCCGGAGCCTAATCATATGCCAAAGTCTCAGCGTTAGCCTAAGACTAAGCCTAAACTAAGCCTAAGCTACACCGGATCCTAGGCCTCGAAATAGGCTCCTTTACCTGATTACGCAACCTATTTATTTACCTGTGCCCTCGCTGACACGCTCCCTTTAATGGCAGGTGTCCTGTCTCCAAATGGACCCTTTTCACCCTCTCTAAAGGTACCCCAGGGACCCAAAAGCAGTGTGGTTAGAGTCCTCCTCCCACTATAGGGCCCAACTCTACCCCTCTATTTTCGTCGCCAAGCAACCAGCTGGACGTTCTCTACGTTCTCTATGTCCGAACGCCGTTCCCTCAATTCCCTCGCCGGTCTACTGGTCAGCCAGCCCATTCACCCGGATAACTCGGCTATTACGGAACGTCTGGGCGTTTGGATTTTGGGGAAAAAATGGCTTGCAGGTTTCGGAAACTAGTGTATTTTTTCTAGATCTGAAAATTCGATATTTTCTCTAGATTTAGGTCAGAACGCGGAATTTTTCATAGATACATTGTTATTTTTCAGTATGTTTATCTCCGGTACTGTATAGCTATGTCTCCCTTTCTCACACTCTCTCTCTCTCTCTCTCTCTCTCTCTCTCTCTCTCTCTCTCTCTGTCTCGCTCTCTTACTCACAATTTTTGAGCTTCTCCTTTCGCCCTGACAACCGACTAAAACAATTCTTGAGAAAAGCCGGATTAGCGGGTTCAAGATTTCTAAATGCAAGCTATTATTCGTGCTCGTTTTCTGAGTTCTTTCTCCTTTCCTTTGATTCGTGCTCCCTCCTAACATCTCCTTTTGCCGGATTTTTCGAAATATTGGGAGCAGAGAGAGAGCGAGATAAAGTAAAGAGAGAGGTATAGCGAAAGAGAGATAGAAAAAGATGGGTGAGAGAGTGCGAGCGAGAGAATGAGAATGAGAGAGCGCATGAGAGAGAGACCGAAGAAAGGAGAAGACCAGAGAACGAGCAGACGTTTGTCGATAAGTTGTCCATAAAGCGAGTTGTTAAAAATCTTACGATTTTTCGTTTCTTTCATTTTTTGCGTATATTTTTCCTATTTTTCCTCTTGATTTTGGTCCCACACCGCCCCCTCGCGAATTGGGCACCTTGCCAAAAACAAATTGTCCCCGCGGAAATCAACCGGCCGGTCCTTTTCAGGTGTTGTCGGCAGATATTTCACACCGGCTGCAGAGAAGGTGGTGCCCATTTTGGCCACCCCCCAACTTCAGTCCCCCCTGCGTCGTCGCCACGGCAAAATTGGCACCTGGCCCGGATGAGGCTTGAAGTCAAGAGGTGTGTTTCGGAACAATATTATTGCTTGAATCCAAAGCATTAGTAAGGGATCAGGGCGTCCTCATTTTTAAATTTGGGGTTTGATAATGCCGACAGTCCGAACTTTCGACATTTCTAACGTGTAAATTGCCGTTGCATCGCGTATCTTCCACTTGTGTAGTATCGTTCGGGACATCGAAATTTTAGAATACCGATAAAATTCATAGTATCGAAATTTTACATTTTTTCGTAAGGGTTTCATTTTTCGAAAAACATTTGATGGTAGACTTGGACGCCCTCAAAAATACGGCAGAATGACATTTCGGCATTATGAATTTCAGCATTGAGTTTTGGTGCTTTGTACCCTATACTTTCAGATACCTTACCCACCTGATGCCCCGCTGATGCCTGCCTGCAGCGGACCAACACCCCGTCTTTCACGAATTTCACTTCAGCGCCTTATTTCTGCCCTCTTTATTGCTCTCATCAATGCTCAAAATTGTCCAAGTAATTTTTGCGCTATCATATCGAATCTTTTTTTCTTTCTTAATCCGTAGCTATATCTATTAGTGCGACACATGCCCATTAATGCGGGCTGAACCCAAACAATTCTTGCGCCGCTATCTTTTTTTAGATTACCCCGCCTACGTCAAGGTCGGCCAGACCGAGCAGCTTTTCCAAACGCCCGGGTACCCGGAGGCGTACCCGCCCGATGTGGATTGCTCACTGTTTTTGAAGGCCGCAGACCCAAATTATAGGTTTCAATTTTTCTCCGCTTTGTAAAAAAAAATTTGTAGAATCCACGTAGCCATCCAGGACAGCGAATTCGAGGAGCGCCTGTTTACAGAATGCTCCGATTACATATCGATTAGGGATGGTAAGGAAAACATATCCATCTCACTCTTTATCTCTCTGACTCTATAACTCTCTCGCTCTCTCTCTCTATCTTTCTCTCTCTCTCTCTCTCTCTCTCTCTCTCTCTATCTAGTGCCCCCTGCGTTTGTAGCTCGAGGGAAGCTAGCAGCGATTTTTCGGGCACCTAACGAGCTTTATTTTTCAGGCAGCATCCAATCCTCAAACGAGTTAGCTCGGTTTTGCGGCCGGGAGAGCCCGTTGAACGTCGTCAGCCCCGAGGACTCGTTGCTGATCATCTTCCACTCTGACCATTCCATCCAGAGGAGGGGCATCAATCTGTCATTTGTAGAATTTCGTACGTTTTGCTAAATGGTTTTCATTTAAAATTAGACTTAGGCCAGTCATAGTCTCAGGCTTAGGTTCAGGCTTTGACTTAGGTTGCCGCTTTGGCTGAGGCTTAGACAGGCTTAGGCTTACCTTTAGCTAGCCGTCACCATTTTTTCAGGGATGCCCGGCTGCCCTCCCGGCTGGAAGCAGCCCACCCTAAAGGATAGTAGCATAGAGATGCAGTGCTATAAAATTATCGACCTTTCAAAAACGGAAAGAGGAAACCCGACCTGGCTAGAAGGACAGAGGTAACTTACAGACATCCTGGCTCTTCATGATCGGCTTTTCAGACTTTGTAGCTTTGAGGATGGCGATCTTTTCACCGCTGAGTCTGAGGCCGAGCTTCAGGCTATAGTTCGTAAGTTTTGCGTCTTAAAAATGACCTGGTTATACCTTTTCTAGATCTACTTGCAAAAACGCAGCTAACGCCCTGGATTGGGTATCATGACACCAATACGGAAGGAATATATCAGGGAATTGATGGGAAGACGACGGTACCGAATAGGTGAGAGAGAGAGCGAGAGAGAGGGAGCTGGAGAGAGAGACGAGAGAGAGCGAGAGAGAGGGAGAGAGAGAGGGAGAGAGAGAGAAAGAATGGAAACGTATAATTTACTTTCAGCCCACTAACGGTCCGAAAGAATGAACCGGAAAAGGACTGCGTGGTTTTGGATAGTGGTGGTGGCGAGGAGACGGAAAAGGTCTTAAGTTAGAATAACTGTATCTATAAAAAGCTCCAAGTATTCTTTTAATACTAGTTCCATTCTTTAGGTCTACTACTTGGCGGGTGACTGCAGGGAAAAACATCCGGTGCTCTGCAAACGGCCGACTTGTGAGCATTCCTGCTACCCAGAATTGTCGTAGTTTTTCTTCGTTCTAAAAACTGTCTAAAAATTATATATAAAAAATATCTAGAACATATTTAAGGGCATGCCTTTACGCCATTTTTAGCCGGAAATCACCCTGCTCACCCCCCTCTCCGGGATGGCATCCGGAAGGGCTACAACTCCAACGGGACCCGCCTCACGGTATGGGCCATTTTCATCGTGCTGGCCATATTGCTACTGGTGATACTGTACTTTGTATTTAGACAGGTTTGCCATTCTAGGAAGTTTACAAAAAAATCTTCTAGTGCAAAAAGATATATGGCGGTCGCAACCACGTCGGGCCGATCGAGTCGACGGACACGAAGACGATAGCCGGTAGGTCCCGTCGCTCTCTCTGCCACTCTCTCTCTCGCTCTCTCTCTCGCTCTCTCGTGCTCGCTGAAAATCGCCGAATTCAGCTAACAACAACTATGGCGGCCAAAGCGCTCAACCCTTCGACCCGAACCGGATCAAAACACCGCACCCAGGGGCTGCAGGATCTGCTGCACCTTCACCTGGACCCCCGAAAGTTGAACCGGGTTCGCCACTTAATCAAGAGTAGTAATGTATGCCTTAGAAATCATAATCCACGAGAAGAACTACTTGCCTCCAGTGGAAAAGGCAGAACTGGTAACGAGTGAAACGGAAAAGGCCAGATTAGCAACGTCGCCTTGGCCATCGGATGAGAAGAAGGTGGCCATCGAGGAAAGAGAGGTGAGAGAGGGAGAGTGAGAGAATGAGATAGAGTGGGAGAGAGAGAGAGACAAAGAGAGAGAGACAGAAGAGAAAGCGAGGTTGGCTTTGTAGCGCTTAACCCTTTTTTAAAGCCACTTCCCCATATTGATCGACTATCCACACATGTGAAGCACGAGGTGGTTAAAGAAGTAGAGGTCAGTATGATAATTTTGGTTATTCACGTATAGCTAAGAAGTGTAGTACGCTAAGTTCCTTTTTACAGACGGCCCAAGAAGAAGCCGCCCGAATCGAAGCCAGAAGAGAGCTGCCACCGCTTCCGATCCGTGAAACGACCTATTTGAGTATGAAGGAGCCGGAGCGCTCGTTTTTGAGGACGCATAGGTATGACCGTATACTTTTTAAAGGGAGTGAATGGGCACAATTTTGCTTCGGCTGGCGAGTTCAAGCAGTTCAAGCTCCATCAACCTTCATAGAGGGGAAACAAAAATACTTGTGGTTTTCTGAAGGGTCTGAATGTGCAAAGTCATATTGACAAGCTAGAAAAACTGATTTGTCTTGAAACTATGCACTGCTCGGAAGCTGGCAGGCTAGCAAAAATCATTTCAAGAAAATATAAAAAGCTTCCCGACTCCAAAGGGCAAACTAGCATAGATATTTTGCCCTGCTCAATGCCCTATTTCCAGGGACGGCGGCCTATTCGATCGTCCAAAAATGACGGTGCTCGACAACGTCTCGGCGATCTCGCTCGACGAGTTTTGGAACAACTCGAAATAGACTTTTTTTTTGCATTCTCAGTAACTGCCCGAATTTTCTCGTTTTTCTCGACATTTCTCAACTCCCAAAACCTCAGCCCCTCCGGTGCATTCAAAAAGCCGTTTTCTGCCATGGTTTTCTCTGAAAGAAACTCCTGAATGTACATCATCCCCAAACGGGTCATATTTTATGCTTTTCGTTGTGTAATAATCTTTATTATTTTATGATTTTAAACGCTTTTATCGTAATTGTAAGTGTTTTGGCATTTTTTTGAAAAGAGCTATCAGGCGAATAAAGAGTTTTTAACAAAATTGCATTCGTCAAAAAAAGTGACACGTATTTTTCTTTCTTAATCGATTACGCAATATAATTATACTTTTCTGTTTTTCATTGTTTTAAAATTACTGGTTCTACTAATTAACAATTCCTACAAAAACCAGATAGATTTTTATTGGAGAGTTCCGCCTTTTTCCATTAACTTCTCACTTACGCGACAAATCAACCTTTTTGTTTTCATAGCTCCTTTCAAAGACGTAAATTTTTTCAACATGGTGTGCGTATTGAAATTTTGATTTTTATCGCAGTTTGCAGAATTGTAAGTTTTCAAAGATTTGGCACGACTAAACTTCCAGAGTCCAATACAGTACAATATTACGGCATTACAGTATACCAAAATGGAATATGGAATTGAAGGCACAAGGTATGGATTGGTCGCAGGATCAAGTATACAAAACTACGCGAGACAACCAAATGACAGATCGGGATAATGGAGTGCGAAAATGATAAATTTGGCACACAAAAATTAAAAGTTATCGCAAATTTAGCTAGCCGTTTTTTATAAAATAATATTAAGGAATGGTGAATTGATATAATGCTGGAGATTGGACTGAGAAAGGCCAGAAAAAGTAAAAAAATTGCACATCTGTTCGAAAATTTAAAGTTTCTGATCTTCTGGGAAGTTACCGTAACTCAGCGAGCACCGTCCGGCAGACTAGGGCGTTGGTTCTGAAATTAAATATTTAATCAAGTACAGAGTTTCGTAAAATACAAAAACCAAAAATGACAAGTTTATGAAAAACTGAAAATTAGGTGCTCTTTCAGGGGTTGTCTAAGGGTGTGTCGATAGAAAAGAAGCGTAGTGAGCGAGGAAACAAGCTGTGTGAAATAATATCGGCTCCTCCTCTTCATTCTTACCCTGATCAAAGATGAGCCGCAAGTCTTGCTGTAGGTGCAAAAAAATAAAGTTTAACAAATTTTAAAACCGTCGTTATGCTAATTTTTCCCTATCAGCGAAAAAGGCTCGTTAGATCCTGCTTTTCCTTACCAATCCTTAGGCTAATTGGCAATTAACAACCATTTTGAAGAACCCGTCAATTTAAAAGTGATGGCACAAAAAATTAGAAAATTTAGACAGGGCACATGCTTTCTTGGCTAGTACGATCCGTAGCATCGCGCAGTTGAGCAGAATCATGCCATTTTTGAAGCCTCACAGTTTTCAAAGCTTGGCATGCGAGTAAGGATGTTTTTACGAAATTTCCTCCATTGGCTAAGAGAGTAGATTTTACTCTAATTGCAGGTTTTAAGGATCCTAGCTTTTTCAAAGTTTTCAACGCTGCCTTTCCTCTAAAGAAGACTGCTAATTGCCCTCGAATTCTGAAGTGTTTGGAAGCAAATAAGATCCTTGAAAATCGCCTAGCGTTACGAAATTACCTCAGGATTCGGCAAAACGTTCAAATTGTTATAATATGAAGAACCTGGCGTCTAATGACCGACTTCCAGTCACCTCCAAAGCTCCATAAAACCTACCGGATCACTTCCATCAAATCGCATCCTTTGCGTCAACCCGTTGAAGCGATTGTAGGTGAAGTCGACGAATTCTCCGCGTCTACCCGGCAGCTCGGCGTCTGGGGGTCGCTGGGCGGGCAGGGCTGAATAAAATTTAACTTGTTTAATCTAATTTTATCATCTTCGCCTAGTTTTGTAAGATAACTGAAAAACGGTATTCCAAATTCAGGATCTCTAGCTCAAAAACTCACGCAATCCCAAATCTGCATCCGGGAAGTCGTCAAAATTTGAGGTATCGTCTATCGATTTCACCTCCACCCGAACGGGGGCTGGTTTTTCTCTAAACAATATTATTTTCAAGAATTTCATTAAGGTTTAAGCTACCTAATATGGAGCCAATCAATCCTCTTGAAAAACGGGCAAGCCTTGATCTCCTCGATGCCGTTGTTGTGCCCCATGCGGCGCTCGGACTCGGAGCAGAAGCGTTTGATTGTCTGTAAAGGGGAAAGATTGGAGTATATTTAGATCCAAGCCTAAGCCTAAGCCTAAGCCTAAGCCAAACTTACCGCTCGGGCTTCTACTGAAATCGGCATTTCCGGCGGGAATACCAACGTCTGCTGCCAGTTCACCACTTTTCGATACGTTTCCTGCGGCGTCTCCGAGCAAAACGGGGGGTAACCTAAAAATGGATTTATCAGAGAGAGAGAGAGAGAGAGAGAGAGAGGGGGAGGGCGAGGGTACTGGCTATGTTTATCAACTTACCTATCAACATTTCGTACATAATAACCCCCAGGCTCCACCAGTCGCAGCTTTTCGTGTAGCCGTTGGGTTGGAAGACTTCCGGGGCGATGTAATCCGGGGTTCCCACAGTGGAATAGGCCTGAAAATAAGGTCATATGAAGAGCGAGAGAGAGAGAGAGAGAGAGAGAGAGAGACAGAGAGTGAGCGAGAGAGAAAGAGAGAGACGCTGAGTTCTCCAAAACCTACAAAAGCTCGTCGATTCTTCTTCCATGTTTCGGCTTTTCTTTTGGATTCGAAGGGTTTTTGGACGAAGTCAGCTGGCAATTGGCTTGGCCAATTTCTGAAGCCAATTTGGATAAATAACTAAGTTCTTAAATAGCTTAAAATCAGGATTCTAGCTGTTTTAAAACCTACCTGTAATGCTCAGTCCTGTGAATCTTCTTCAAACCGGTGCAGAGCCCGAAATCGGAGAGCTTGACGTGGCCCTAAAATTTGCATGTAAAGCGACTAGGGGCTTCTGATACCCTAGCGTCTAACAATAAGTTGTCCGGCTTAATATCGCGGTGGATGAACCCGAGGTTGTGGATGAATTGGATGGCTAGTGCGGCTTCGGCGATGTAAAACTGGGTGGCCTCTTCCGGGAGGGTGTCCTTTTTGATGAGGAGTGTCATCATGTCTCCTGAAAAATGGTCGGTACCAGAGAGAGTGACAGAGAGAGAGAGAGAGAGAGAGAGAGAGAGAGAGAGAGTAAGAAGGAGAAAACTAATAGTTTAAGGGACTTACCTCCCGGCAAAAATTCCATAACCAAATACAAGTTTGCGTAATCTTGGAACGAGTAGTACATTTTCACCACCCATTCGCAGTCCGCCTCTGAGAGGATGTCACGTTCAGCGCGGACGTGGGCTGTCTAAATTAACCACTTTTGAAGGATTTTGCATTTTTTTTGGTTTTGTCTAGACAGTAAAAACAGAATTACACGGAATTTTTGATTATTTTGAGCGAAAAAAAACAGATTTTTCGAGCTCCAGCGTTCTCACCTGCTCCTTTTCCAACATTTCTGATTTCCTTAAAATCTTCATGGCGTAGATATGGCCAGTGTCGACTTTTTGGACGAGACGAACCTGGAAAAATTGCTCAAAAATTTTTGTTACCAGGTCCACCTCTCCAAAAGCTCCCCTTCCAATCACTTTCAACGAGTCAAAATCGGTGACTTGGAGTCGGGTTCTCTGGAAATCATTAAAATACAATTTTTACCCTAGGTTTGCTTACCTTAAGCCTCAAGAAGTCGCTTTCCTTGGCGCGCTGAACTTTTCGCTGCTCCTCTTTTTGTTCCTCGGTGAGGCCTGAATACACTCTATGCAGTAAAACTTCAGAACTCTCATGGAATACCATTTTAAAAATCAAGAAAGTTTCTAACCTTTTAGTGTCATATCTTCTTCCAACTTTTGCGCTCGCTTCTCACGCTCCACCGACTGGGTGACGCATTGGGCGTAGAAGGATTCGATGGCAATCCGGGTGCGGCTTGCCTAAAATCTGTCATCTCTAAGTCTCACTTTAGTGCGTGTTTCAACTCATATCATTTTCTATTAGTGCATATTCAATTTGAAGTTTCGACCACAATATCGTGGTGCTTTCAGCAACGAAACAACAATTTTTTTTCCAAGCCTAATTCTATCACTTTTAACGATTAAATTGTCTTACATTACGCTCTTTTCTGAACATCGTATTTTTATAGCTTTCCAGTAATTTGGTTGACTTCCCTAATTATCTAACCGACCTTATCCCTCGTGTACTGCGAAATCCCGTCCGCCGGAAGTTGTCTGGCATCACCCATGTTCCTAAAAGACATAGATTAAACTTTATAATGTTTAAAACCAGGCAAAACTTATTTTTATAACGTAAAGCAAACAATATGCTGCCGGCCTCCATGCACAAACACGATCAGATGTTCCATTCCAGGGGTGAGAACCGCCAGAAAGGATGGGCTACGGTGACTAGGCCAACTCCTAGGAAAGAACCCCGGGAATTTGAAGGTGAAAATCAGGCAAAACCCGGGAAAAGCCTATCTTTTTGCTTATAAAAACAAACAAACGACGTCTCGAAAAACAGTTTTAAATCAAATCAATCGGTGCATCGATTTTTTTTGTACATTTTTTGTAGTTTGGGCCCTTTAGGTTTTTTACGCGTTAGAAAACTCCGTCCAAGGGAAATTGTCGGACTCCCGGAACCATCAAAATCATCTCTTTTTCATTAAAAAACCGGAAAAGCACGGAAAATTGAGCAACAACACCTCAGGCTCCTTTTAAAAGATACATCTTTGTGGTTTGAAATTTCTATGCTATAAAAACCGCGAAAATGCTATGTAAGGCAAACTACAGTACCCTAGCGCGATTTTTTAATTGTTTGGAGTTGTAGTTTTGCCGATATTGCGGTATCAACAGCTTACTTTAGGAAACTGGCGGGGGTTGTTCGCTGTTATCTTCCCCCTCTGCGTGTCTGCCCGCTCTTTGGCAACCGCCAGTGACCCGCTGCGCGCCTCTTTTCCCGCCCGCGAAGCGACCGGGCTGCGGCGAATCGATTTCAGGCGCCACCACCCCGGCACCTGCCGCGGTTTCGGGCCATTCTAGCCACATCGGGGAGCGCTTTGCATTTCTAGCTTCGATTTTTGACTCGATAGTACTGGTTTTCAGCATTTAGAGACGTATATAATCGCTAAAGAAACGCTATAATCTTCTTCCTTGTTTGACATATTTCCTCTTTTAATAGGTCTTTTAAAGCATTTCTTTACCAGCTTGAATTTTTAGTTGCATAGTGCGTAATAGCATTTTTTAGCAACTTATACCTTTTCTCAAAGCTTTTAATTTCTAGAATTTTGCCCGATTTCTTCTACGAAATCTGTTTTAAGCCCTACTTTCCATCATTATTTTATTTTTTCATGTTTTCCGTCCTCTGAAACCTTGTATTGACTTTCTAATTTTGACGTAATCTTCCAATTTCCAGCGTAAAATCGAAGAACGCGCCAACACGACGATGACGACTCGCAGCAAGGGCGGCAATCTTTTCTGTAAAGTAAGTTTATTTTGATATTTTGCAATGATATATACAATATTTGATGATTAATACTTGATTTTATGATTATTTTCAGGGTTGCGGGCTCGGCGTCAGCTCCGAAGAGAATCTACGCGTTGTCGGCCTACTCGAGCACTCGGCCTGCCACCTCATCAAGTGCCAGTTTAAATGTGGAGGTTGAATTGAATTTACTGTGTGGATATATTTTTTAGAATGTGGCCACGAATGGCGCCGGAAGCGCGAGATGCAACGCCATATTCGGGTCAAACACGGCGGCCGCGGAGCCATCATCGATCAGGCGTATGTTTTCAATTTAAATTATCGTTAAGCCTCGAGAAAAGGTTTTTTACGATCCTTTTCTATTTATTCACATATTTGAAATGGAAATACTTTTTGGGAAGCTTTAAAACCTGCAATTTTGTTCTAAAATTTATATTTTCGTACTTTTAAGGTTTTTTGTAACGTTTTGCGTTTAATAATATGTACTAAAAAAAACAGCTTAAGAATAGTTCTGAATTTGCATTAGTCGATAATGTGAATTTTTGTCCAAAAATCTGTTTTCTTCATTTCAAATAGCTTTTATAAAATTTTTTAGCGATGTCGAGTATTGGGAGGCGCTGCGCGATACGGCCACCTCCAACTTCCCCGTGTACGCAGACAAGATCTGCAAAAGCATCTCGAAGATGGCCGGCATCCCGATGCGCAACAAGAACAAGGCCAACGTCGAAGCGTCCCCCTCCGCCGCCCGTCAAGGAGTTCCAGTCGCCTCAGGAGTTGTTGCAGGTAAAAATTCTTTTTTTTGGAAAAGGTGGTACTTTGGCATTATCGGTGGGGGGAGAGGAGCTAATCTCCCGTGGATGCAAAAGTACCAAAAATACTGTTTTCCAGCTCTGGACAGCCCCCACCGATGCCGCCGAGACGTACACTCCGGAGACCGATGACGGCTGCCTTGGCTCCGGCGAACTTCCGGATTCGTCTAAGCTTTTGAAATGCCAGGTATATTTTTTTAATTGGTACAGACCTAGTAATACCATTTTTGCCTCTCTTAATAAAAAAAAAGACAATTTTTAGGCTTGCGACAAGACTTTTCACGGTGTCAAGACCTCGGCCGAGCACCTCCTATTACACACACTCAGCCACACGCGACTTCCGCTTTTTAAGTGTACCGGTTAGTTAGAGTCTTATTTGTTTGTAGTTTCTTTTATTTTAGAGTGCAACTACATGAGCAGCTGGCCATTGCCCATCGAGACCCACCGCAATAAGGCGCACGACGGGCGAGGCGGCAAGATTGACTTGAGGTTGGTTTGAAGTTTTCTTTAGCATTTGCACTAGACATATTTCTAAATTTATAAAATGCATAAAATTTACTTCCTTGAATTCGTTAAAGGAGATCAAATGTAAGTTGTCGAAGTAGAGTTTAAAAAATTTGATATAGGGTTGAGCGTTCAGATCTACATACCTAGCAACGTCATAGAATCCATTTTTGTCGGCTTTTATTCAGATTAACTATCCATTAAAAGCGGATAAGGCTATTTAGAAAACTTGGAATAGACTTCAAAAATTTCAAGTTCCGCCCGAAAATCGGCTGTTTCGAATTTTACGGAAAATTCTAGTAAAAGTGGCAAAAAAGTAAAAATCGCTAAAAGTATCTAGCAGCACTCCTTGTAGTAACCTTAGAAAAAATTCTTTTAAGGAATAGGCTAATAATCCTGCAAATCCCGTGGAAAATAATAAATATAGGTTTTTCGAATTTTTAATCAAAGTTTGTTAAGGCTGAAAAATAGCTGAAAAAATGAAAAAATGGAAAGGTGGCTAAAAATTATAAAATTTGTCTAAAATTATTTTGTTTAGTTATAGAAATACTAGAAAAATGAGGTTTTTCTTCAATACCCCTGTTCAGAACGCCGGCTAAGTACGACTCGCTGCTCACCGTCGCCATCCAGAACTTCCCCACCCGCGCCGACGAGCTCGCCGACCACGTGATGGCGCTGCGGAAGTGGCTGAACGAGCGCGACATCAAGGAGCAGGCCTCCACCTCGAAGAACCTGAAATCCACGCCCAGACCGGTGCCCACGTGCGTAGAGGACCTTCTACAAGATTTCGACCATGACCAATGCCAGGCATCTAAAAATTGTATTTTTTAACTCGCTAAAATTTAGACTTGTCTCCGAAAAATGGGCCCTAATCCCGGCCCGCTCGCCCTGTTGAACCACAGCCTTGCCCACTCGACACTGGAGGTGTTTGGGTGCTCGAGTCAGATTTCGGAACCATTTAGCATTTTTAATCCTTTTTTAGGGTGCGGATTCCGGGCCCCGACGAAGGCCAGCGTCGATGAACACCGGCAAAGCCACCATCGGGGAACCGGCGAGTCGTCGAATGTCGCGTAAGTTTTTGGCAATTTGCTTCTGAAGGTATTAAAAAATTGAAGTTTTGGAAAGTTTTGAGTTTTGAAAAAAGATATGTAATTTCTGGCAACGTCACGCAAAGGATTATAATATTCTTTTTGGTCAAGTTTAACATTTAGTTAGATGCGTTGAAAATTATTTTGAAATTTTTAAAAATTTTAAAAGCTCTTTGGCGATTTCAAATTTGAACTCTGTGTTTTTACCATGTTATTTATTTTTTACAGTTTTTTTATGTAAAAGATTCAAAAACCGTTCGGAAACGCCTTCTAGGCTTTTTGTTGTATTTCGATCCCCGGTTAAAAATGCAACTTTTTGGTCGAAAACTATATTTTGAATGAAATTGTATTTTTTTCGTTAAAAATGAGAGAACGGTGTCAAAACCCCTAATTAATCCGGAAATTAAGATTTCTGCGAGTTTTATTTTTCTAATAATTACATGATTTTTTTAATCAATCAAGCACCCTGTTTTAGCACCCCAGCCGTCTACGAAGACTGGCTGGCCACCGCTTCCAACGATTTCCCGGGCCATGCTCACTCGTTCGGCGCGCTAATCGACAAAATGAAGCAGCATCGCCCGCTCCCGAAAGAAGAGCCGCTATCCGAGGGTGATGACGAGGAATGTGGCAATGATGACGGCACGGGCTCCCAAATGGTATAATTTTTGCTATTTGCAAAAAAATGTTTTATTTTTAGGCCTCGCCAGCGGTGCACGGGCGAAAATTACGTCAGTATTGCACGGTAAGATTTTTACTCCCATTTTTAAAATTGAATCAGCCGATCAAATTCTTTAGTTTCTAGGCAAATTTGGTATGAATTGTTAAATTATATAAATGTAATTTTAACTTACTTATTTAGGAATGCTCACATCGACTCGGCGTTGACCCTTGTGTGGAGGAGCTGCTCCAACACTCGCTTCAACACAGCACGGCCATTTTGTGGAAGTGTAGAAGTCGGTTTTTATGTGGAAAATAAAATATTTGCTTTTAGAGTGCCCCTACAAGTCGGTATTGCGCCGCAGCGCCACGCGCCACGTCGTCGGAGTGCATCGCGGAAGCGCGCACGGAATCGAGGATCGGAGGTATGGTATTTCTTTGTGTCTAGTTTTTCTCACCCGTTCTCTCTCTCTCTCTCTCTCTTTCTCTCTCTTCCAGCAAGTTTTTCAAAACTCTTTTCAAAGTTCGAGTCTTTCTCATTTCAGGAGCGAGGACGAGTTCGACAAGCTGCTCCTCGTCGCCCAGGCCAACTTCCCCCATCGCGCCGCCGAGCTCGACGAGGCCATCTCCGGCTACAAGGGCGAATGGGCGCTGGAGAACGTGGGCCCCGAATCCACCGAGGGCAGCCCGTTCAACGACACGGCGATGAGCAGCGCCAACGGCTCCTTCCAAGCGCGAGTCCCGAAGCCGGAGCCCGTATCTGACGACGATGAGCCAGCGCCGACAACCCAGGAGACGCTGCAGCAGATGGCCGACCGGGCGACGACTTCGGCCCAGCCGACCACCCCTCAACAAGCCGCCCGGCTGCCGTTCTGCGAGGTGGGAAAAATGGATTTTTGTGGAAATTTGGAAATTGCTAATGGCGAATTCAGAATTTTTGAAATTCAAAATTTCCGAAATTTTGTAATGGGCAAATGTCATAAGGCCGAAATGCCGTATTTCCGAAGTGGAATGCCGAAAATGACAATTTCGAATCTTCAAAATGCAAAGTACAGAATGTCGGCATTTTTTTAAGTATTTGCAGGATTTTGGAACAATTTTTTTGGTTTGTGCGGGGACATATTGAATCTGGCTTATTGCGTTTCGGCATTATGAAATTTCGAGGTTGTGATATTTCGAAATTTAAGTTTCGGCCTTTCAAATCTGGAGCCCCTGAAATTTAGCCTTTGAAATTTCGACATTCTCGGGTTTTCGACATTGCGAAATTTCGATATTTTAGTGGCCCTCGAGACTTCCTATTTTTACTCTCATTCGCTTTTTAGTGGCAAAAATGTCGCACGGTGCTGGAGACGAACTCGGACCCGGCCGCCCTGCTCCGCCACGCCTCCCACCACATCAACTTCCAGCTGTGGAAGTGCTCATGTGGGTTTTTATTATCCTTTAATCTTTTTAAAATTGTAAAAATAATTTTTGAAATCTTCAGGTATCTTTAGAAAACCATGGTTTCTTTTTTAGTTTGCCCGATCGTCTCCTCGTATCGCGATCGCCTTCTACAGCATCAGGTCAAGGAGCACGGGGCCGGCGGCACGATCATGGACATCGGGTATCGCTTTAATTCGTTTGGATTTGATGTAACTGCTTTTTTAGCACCGACGAAAAGTACGCAATCGCCCGGGGCGTCGCCCTGAAGTGCTTCCCCACCCGGGCCGACCTGATCGACAAGGGCATCGCCGAGATGCGCATGCACACCATCAAGGTGTCGACCTCGGAGCCGACCGGTCAGGTGTTTAAGGTGAAGGGTTTTTTATTTAAATTTAAGTTTGAAAGTGTTCAAGTTTATAATTTAAAATTCAAAATTTAGATAAAATTTTCTTATTTAGTTTTGTTCTTTTTTTCGAGTTTAAAGACGTGTTTAACGTACAATGTGTTTTAAAGAGTAAAATTTCGATTTGGATTAGTAAAAAATTAGATTTCCTAAACAAATTTGATTTTTGATAAAAACGTTTTTAAAAACAGATCTTTTCCTCAATTTGCTGGTTAATTTTCGCCCTGAAATTTAGCTAATCAATTATAGAAGAAATTATAAAATTACGCAACCTTGTTTTTAGGCAAAGAAGTCACCACCACCCCCTCAGCGACTCCCGGTGAAGGTCAAGGCAGAGCCCGGTATTTTTTTGCGCATTTTTTGGATATTTATTTTAGTCGATATCGACGAAGCGCCGGAGCAGCCGCCCCCGAAAAAGCTGCGCCTACCCCAAAAAGCGGAAGCCGAAGACTCCGACGGCGACGATGCGTCCTCGAAATTCAAGCCCAGCGTATGGATCTCGCAAGCGGATGCTGAAAGTGGGTTGTTTTTGGATTATGGTGATCAGAATCTCAGAATTCTTGATGTCGAAATTCAGAATGTAGAGATTGCGAAATTTTGAAAAGCTGAAATGTCAGCCTCATGAAATTTCGAGATTGTGAAATTTCGAAATTTTATTTCGACATCAGGGAAATTTGGCATTGCAAATATCGGCATACGATTTTAGATATTTTGAGAGTTAAAATAGCTTCTCGTTTTCAGGAGATTTCGAAGAGGAGGAGGCGCTCGGGCTCAACCCTTTCGCCCTTGCTCAGCCCAACCCCGAGGCAATTTTTTTCGAGCGATTGTCGAGTGTATCTAGACCAAAAATCAATTTTTTTCGAGTGTTTCAATTTTATTTTGTCAACTTAGGAAGGTCAAACCGCAAATGACCAGGCAATGCAACTCCTCGTCGAGGCCAAGGACAAACAAATCGCCGAGCTGCAGCGCCGCTGCAACTCCAAAAACATCACCATCAGGCACCTCTTCAAGGAAATGGTCGGTTCTAGTTTTCCAAAATTTCTAATTTTATTCTGATGTTTAGAGGACCCTCCAGAAGGCCAGCGACGAGAAGGCGCGCGCATTGGAATGGGAGAATGTAAGAACAATTTTTTATTTATTAATTATATTCCTTATTTTATTTTGTTAGTCATGCAGTTTTTTTCTTTCGAATTAGATACCAATTTTTTCATGGGCTCCGATTTTGAAAAATAAATGGTCAGGGTGTTTCTAAACTGTTTTTTTTTACAACCTAAGCATAAACCCTTTATAAGTTTTTATTAAAAAAAACTACCGAAAATATCGGGTTTTTACCAAAAATGGCCGATTTTCTGGTTGAAATATAGTGCATTTTTCTAAAAACGCTAATAAAATGCTTGCTATTAAGTTACTAGGCATTTCTAGACTTCTACAAAAATTTTTTTACCTTTTACTAATCCATTTTTAGGAGGAGCTGAAGCGCCGCCTCGACGAAACCGAGAACGCCGATCAAGTGGTAAAAATTCCTTTTCACTCCTCTTTATTTTCCTTTTTTTAGCACGCCGACATGAAGAAGGCCAAGGAGGAGCTGGCCGACATGTTGGCGAAGAAAAACGAGGTTGTTTTCTATTTAAAAATTTGTATTTATTTTTATGTTGAATTTATTGAACTTTTTGTTTTAACGCGATTTTAAAATGTTAAAACTGTATTTTTTAGATCATTCGCAAATCGAACGCGAAGATTGGCGCCCTGTACGGCCAAAACCTCACGCTGCGCCAGTGGCTCAACAACGAGGAGCTGTGCAAGGAGCTGCCCGAAATCCCTGAATGATTTTTAGATTTTTGAAGTCTTGGTTATTCGTGGTTGTCACTTTTGCCCCCCCCCCCGCCCCGTTGATCTCCCCTTTATCATGACTGGATTTTTATTTTTGTAAAATTGGTAGGATCTCTAACACCTTTTCCACGATTTTAATGCTGTACGATTTTAATGTTGTACGTTGCTCACTTTTCCAGCATGACCCCGTTGTTTTCCCATTATTTACAAAAATTACCCGATTGTTGTCTGCGATTTAGCCGAGAATAAATGTGCTTATTCAGGTTTTTATTTTTTTTTTTAAATGCAACGATCCTTAGGCGTTAAATTTTGGACGTGACACTTTTTAGCGGTGATGGCCTTATATTACGGCCAGTTGATGGTCTTTTTTACTTTGAGCTTCTTCCGCATTATCGGGGGGTGGGGGATTGTTGCACAAGTCTAGAATCGTATAATAACTTGACTGGAAGTATTTTAGTAGTGTTTTTAGCAAAAGTATAAAGGTATTTGAACTAGAAAATCAATCTTAAAATCTGAGAAATTGGAAAGTCGAAATTTGAAAATCGGCCATTTTTGGCCGAAAAATCTATCATTTTTAATAGAATTTGTAAAGTTTGCACGTTGAAGAATGGTGAAAACAGCTTAGAAACATTCTGCAATTTATATTTAAAAATTGGATACTAAGAAATAGAAAAGGTGCCCACTCCCGAAAATGCGAAAGAGCCGAGTTTGAAGCGTAGAAACTTCGAAAGAGCCATTTTCTTGCTTTCCCCCGCTATCATTTCGACCCCCATAGCTCTCTAGTGAAAAGTCTAGTGTCTGTGCCCTCTTTGTTGGCGCGCCTTTGTCGGGGTCTCCTTTTGTCGTTAGGGCTCGTGTCGTGTGCGCACACAGCTGCCCACCCTCGATCGATTTTTCGCGCCACCACTCCCGGGATGACAGCATGGCGCCCGACATTTCGGCGCCTAGCGAACACGGCTCCCGAAATTCCGACGCCCGGTTTTTGGGCTACCATCTAGCAACCGCCCTTTTTTTTCGAATTTAAAAAACTACTATTATCTAGAAATTCATAGCATCTTTTTGAATACCAAGCGATGCTTCGTAACATTTTGAAACTTTCAGAATTCTGTGTTTTCAGCAATTTACATTTTTTAATTGCCAAAATGTTTTTTTTGGCGAAAAGGCTTTCCCTTGTTTGAAACTGGCTCCACGCTTCCATTTACAAAAAAAACGCAATATCGTTGTTTTTAGCGCGGCTAGCCATCAGCCTTGAATGTCTCCAAACAAACCCAGGACCTCGAATTGTCAGGCGAGTTTTTATGCTAGCAAAGAAATGCGAAAATACTTTTTTGTTAATATAAATAACGTAAATGTTCCTATGTTTTTTTACGATTTATAAACGTAGACAATTCAGAAATTTGATTGAAATTACAAAATGACCAGGGTTGAAAAGCCGCTTCGCGACTTTTCAACCCTGGCCCCGTCTGACCCCATTCTATCCTTCACTTTGCATAATTGTCCTAAATTCGGATGACAAAAAATGAAAAACAACCTCTCCTCGGCCGAGCCCGGCCCCGGAAAAATTCGGCCGGGCCCGGGCTCGGCCCCGCGAATTTGCATATTTTTCCGGGGCCCGGAAGTGGGTGTTTTTTTCATGTTAATTAGATTCCAGGCCCGGCCCCGGGGCTCGGCCGCCCGGAATTGCCATGTCTGCTAAATACCTTCCTGATGGCTTCAGATACCCCCCCATGGCTGAAATCCCCTTCAAAAACTACCTAAATACTTCCTGATGGCTTCAGATACCTCCCCTAGCCGAAATCCCCTTAAAAAAACAAAAATAACGACCGACCGGATGGAATGAGAGGAAAAAAAATGAAATCCCTCGTGAAAATTTTCATCCACGAAACGCGCGCGACCTGGCCTTTCAGAGCGCGCACGAGAGGGGTGGTCGGGGCGTGGTGTAGTGGTCTAAGGCGGCGGTCCAGCCCCGAGACAGGGGATGCGGGTTCGGTTCCCGGGGCCACAGCCGTCTGCATTTTCTTTTTGCTTTTTGCTCCAACCGTTCATAATTGGTTGCCGTAACGCTATAAAACCAAAAAAAGCCAGCCAGCACCTTCTGTCCAGGCCGAATAGGCCAATAAACATCGCAAGCTCATTTGCCCTCTTCCATGTCCCGCTCGCTAAATTTCTACGCTAGGATATTCTAAAAATATGTGCGAAAGATAGAGCGAAGTCTGTTCCATGTCCCTAGGCCGTAATTATAATCGAAAACCGTCGTCGAAAAAGTTCTGGCCAGTTGAAAACTTCTGAAAACTTCGACTGCAACCGTCAAGTAAATCTCAAAAACCTCAAGTTTAGGTTTTATCTGGGTGGTTTATAACAGAGAGTCTACAAAAAAAAACAATTCAGGTACTTGGGCTAGTATTTAGCTGGATACAAGCCCACTCGATAACTGACACCTCATTTTTCAAACTTCAAAAAATCAGAAGTCCCGTTTGCCACGCTCAATTTTCGCGAAACCGCTTTCATAAGATAAAGAAAATTCTCTTCTATTTTTCCAGCGTTCAAGTAGATTATGAAAGTCGCGTAGAAAAAAGTTACAGCGTGATGAAAGTAAAAATTTTTTTGCCCCTTTGCTTTCTATCCAGTTACGCGAGGGTTTTGGAGCGCGGCGTAGTCTAGCTCCCCCGGCCCCTTTCGTGCGCGTTTTTCTTAAAGGATGAATTGTAGTGTCGAAGAGAGCTAAGCTCTAGCTCCTTTCCCCTTCGAGTTGAATTCGGCTTCCGATGGACGGACAGACAGACGCGTCAAGGAAATTATTATAGTTGATATATAGTAGGATGTGATTTTTGGACCTAAATTTCGAATTAAAGTTTTTTTGTCATATCATAAAAATGAAGGTTTCACAATTCTATTCAAATTTATTCAATTTCAATTTCTAGGGGCCGAGCAACGCACCCTTGATGCGAGCTCCGAAACAAGAACCCTTTTCCGAGAACGATGATAACGCTGAAAACCAGACGCTTCCTCATTTTCCGATGGCCTCCACGACGTCAAATGACCACGCGCGCCTCCTTTGCCGCATCAAAACCGAGCCAGGTAGTTTTGCAGGCTTTTCTTAGGCACGGATTTTAGTCAACGACGACCTGGAGCCGCTGCAGAAAAGGATGCGACTTTCCGGGGGCACCAACCCAAATTTTAGCAACTTTGGTGTTTGCGCTGCGGATGGGCCCACGACATCGGGACGCAACTTTTGGAGTCCGTTGGCGGAAGCGGAAGGTGAGTGCTAAGCAAGTTGCTAACACTTATGATGGCTAGCTTACCCAGAAATTTGGTTTTTCAAGCATTTTTAAACAAAAGACAAAATTTTTCGCAAATGTTTACAATTTGCCCTAAGCTTTTTATGCCTAAAAACTGCTTAAAATGCTATTAAAGTTGTTTAGACTTAACAGTCCAGTACCGCATATCGAAAGATATGCAACAACTAGATTGATTTTAATTTGTAGATTACGCATTTTCAGACAATTTCGAAGATGGGGATGCGTTGAACCTCGATTCATCGCAGTTCGATTCAAAGGACGAGCAAATAGCTCAGCTAAGCCAGCTCTGCGAATCGAAAGATGTCATGATCAAGTCGCTGCTCGAGCAAATGGTGAGCTAAAAGTTTTACAAGTGGAAGTTCTTATTTTCAGCAGCATATGCAGCAGGCGAATGATGAAAAAGTGCGCGCCTTGGATTGGGAGATCGTAAGAGCTCCCGATATTTTCGAAATTTCCAATTTTTAGGAGCAACTGAAGCGTCGTCTCCATGGCCCGGTCCAAGATATTGCTATATCGGTAAGCAGTCTTCTTAAAACTCTGAAGTCTGTGATTTTAGCGCCCTGCGATGAAAAAGCCCAAAGAAGAACCGCCCGACATTTTGGGGAAAAAGAAAGAGGTGCAGAATTGCTACATTTTTGCTTACGTAATTTGCAACTTTTCGTACGACGTATAGAACCATAAAAAAGAAGAAAGCTAAAAATTAAAGATAAAAATAAAGTAATAATTTTTGCATTTCAGATAGGCCCGAAGGGAGCTGCGCCTCACTCCGAGATTTCTCAACTGCCATCGCTCAACGAGTAAGTTACTCTCGTTTAGAAGAAGTAGTTTTTAGGTGATTTCGAAAAACAAAACATAACCCATTTTTTCGAGAATTTTAACCGGCTTTTTAGTTATTAAAAGCTGATTCAAAATTCGTAACGATTTTTCAGGATGACTTATCAAAAATGGCCAAAAAGGCCTTTTATCCATTTTCAAAATTTTTAAAACATGTTGCAGTTTTCTAAAAATGAAAAACTACAAAAAACTCTGTAAAAATAAATTATTTATGATCAGTAGGTGGAAAACAAAAAATGGTCCGCTAAACCCATGATTACAGTCCAGTGCCGTCTTTCGGCAATTTTTTCACAGGATGGAATTTCTGCTGAATTTGTCACATCAAAAAAGCAATACCGCATCAAAATGCAGACACGAAAAAAGATGTGTCCAAAAGTGACATAAAAAATTAACGAATTTCCCTTTAGACTGCCCATCGCAACGGTGCGCTCACAGCGAGGAAAGCCGCGATACTACGATTCGGCCGGATACGAGTACTGCATCGGAAAGACGAACTCGCATGGAGACACCTTCTTCCGGTCAGAGATTGGAATTGACTAACCAGCTAGCCCTGTTCAGGTGCTCTCGGAAAACGTGTAGAGGACGTGGGAAAAACCTTTTCAATGGTTCTGTTATCCCGGAAATCGGTGGCGAACATAACCACACGCCGGCTAGCCATCAGGCCGAGGTAATTTAATCGTGTAATTTGAGATGGTTTATTTAGTTACGAGCTCTAATAGAAGAGGCGAAAAAGGACCGGATGAAGGGTATCGAGACAGCACGGGTAATAGAGGAACGATTCCTGAAGGCGCCGGACCACCTCAAGCCGCTTCTGAATCTGAGTGCGGTCACCAGGACGCTTCAGCGTACGACTGAGGCGACAGGGATGAAGGAGTGGCCAGCCGAGGTCGATGTAACCTTATTAGGTATGGAGCTTGACGTTAGGCCCAGGCCCAAGCCTAGGTATAAGCCTAAGCCTAAGCCTAATCATGTGCCTAAGTCTATGTATGCATAATCCAAGCCTAAAACTAGCGTTTTCAGATGCTCCCTTCCTCAGAAAAGACAACTGCGCACAATTTCCGGCGCCGGATTCCGAGGCTTTCAAGCTCTTCTATACGGATTATGGCCGAAAGCTACTCGAAACGGTTGGTTGAGAGTGGCGAGAGAGAGAGAGAGAGAGAGAGAGAGAGAGAGAGAGAGACAGAGAGGAGGAGAGACAGAGATCGAAGGAATTCATTGAATTTAGGAAAAAGTGTGGTCGTTCGACGGTACGGTCGTCAGCGCCCCTGAAGGCTTCCAGCAAGTCCTCGTCATCGGTGTTCAGGTAAGTGCTTTTTAGTCGGGATATCCCATATCGATACCGGGATATCTCTTCATAGGCTTAGGCCTGGCTTGTGCTCAAGCTTTGCTTAGGACACTTTTTAGAAAGCCCATCTCACCATCCCTGCCGCCTTCGCTTTCGTTACTACAGAGGAAGCCGTCAGCTACCGGAAGGTATTTGAAGAATTATACCAACTTCCCGGGATCAGCGCGCCCGATTACATAATGTCAGGTGAGAAATTCAATTTTTTCTAGTATAAGGGCCGATTTAGACCTGGTGAAAAATCTTCGAAGCGGGTATCAGGAAGCTTTCGAGCATCCGGTGACGCATTTTATGTACTGTGGCTTCCACTACATACAGCTGATCATTTCAAAAATACAGGTTTGAATTTTTGCCTGGTCAGGATGGCTTCTTCCGCTCTTATTCTTTTTTGGTTATTCGGATCTTTTCTATTATTGGGGCGGGGGTTATCTAATAAGAGTAGAAGAAATTTTTCTAAGCTGTTTCTTCCAATCGTTAAACGCAAAAACGTCACAAATATTGTTTAAAAAGTGCAAAAAATAGTGTTTTCGGCCAAAACGACCGATTTTTATTAAAAAAAATAATTTTAAGTTTTTGTAATTTTTATAGTCTGTTTCCGCGTAAAATATGGCAACTTTTTGCTAAAAACACGATTAAGAGACTTACCAGCAATTTCTGGACGGATACATTGGTCCCCCCGATAATGCAAAAGACCAAATGCTTAATGCGGTGTTTTAGAAATGTGGACTATCCGAGCTACTCTGTGACCCTGGCCTCGAGTTGTATGTCCGGGGCCTGCTCCTCCTTGCCTTCATCCAACCATCCGACGCCATCCGCTATTTCGAAGAGCTTCGGGATGAAGCTTTCACAAAAGTCCCACACAACTTTCATCCATCTTTAATAGGTATTTATTAAATGAACCAGCGGGGGAGGAGCCGCTTCGCGACTCTCCCCCGCTGGATCCCGTCTAGGCCCTATGAATCGAGCGCCCTTACACATAAAGTTACCTTGAAGAAAGCAAAACCCATCTTCCATGCAAACCTCTTTGTATTGACATGCGGTGCAAGCTTGAAATGCTAGTCCCGTTATTAGGTCTGCGGCGCATGTTTCATCGGCTAGGTCGCTACCTCATCCTGCGGCCCAAGCTTGAGGGATTAGCCTCCTTTTTTGGGCTGTGGCGCCAGCTTGAACGGTTTGCTTCAAGATTAAGCTTGCGGCGCAATTCAACGGTCGCCTCCTTCTTTAAGCCTGCGACGTTAGCTTCAATGGTTGGCTTCATTCCTTAGCCTGCGGCGCTAGCTTGTGCGGCTAGCTTCGTTCTAAAGCCTGCGGCGCTAGCTTGTGCGGCTAGCTTCGTCTAGCCTGCGGCGCTAGCTGTGCGGCTAGCTTCGTTCTAAAGCCTCGGCGCTAGCTTTACGGCTAGCTTCGTTCTAAACCTGCGGCGCTAGCTTGGCGGCTAGCTTCGTTCTAAACCTGCGGCGCTAGCTTATACGGCTAGCTTCGTTCTAAAGCCTGCGGCGCTAGCTTGTGCGGCTAGCTTCGTTCTAAAGCCTGCGGCGCTAGCTTATACGGCTAGCTTCGTTCTAAAGCCTGCGGCGCTAGCTTGTGCGGCTAGCTTCGTTCTAAAGCCTGCGGCGCTAGCTTATACGGCTAGCTTCGTTCTAAAGCCTGCGGCGCTAGCTTGTGCGGCTAGCTTCGTTCTAAAGCCTGCGGCGCTAGCTTATACGACTAGCTTCGTTCTAAAGCCTGCGGCGCTAGCTTGTGCGGCTAGCTTCGTTCTAAAGCCTGCGGCGCTAGCTTATACGGCTAGCTTCGTTCTAAAGCCTGCGGCGCTAGCTTGTGCGGCTAGCTTCGTTCTAAACCTGCGGCGCTAGCTTGTGCGGCTAGCTTCGTTTAACCGCGGCGCTAGCTTATACGGCTAGCTTCGTTCTGAGCCTGCGGCGCTAGCTTGTGCGGCTAGCTTCGTTCTAAAAGCCTCGGCGCTAGCTTGTGCGGCTAGCTTCGTTCTAAAGCCTCGGCGCTAGCTTATACGGCTAGCTTCGTTCTAAAGCCTGCTTCGCAAGATTGTGAGGTTAGCTTCATCCTTTAGCCTGCGGCGCTAGCTTGTGCGGCTAAATACATTCTAAAGCCTGCGGCGCTAGCTTGAGGGATTAGCTTGCATCTTTAGCCTGCGGCGCTAGTTTCAGTGCCTGGCTGGATTCGTTAGCCTGCGACGCAGTTTAGAGCGACTGACTTCAGAATAGCGCCTCCCTACAGGAAAATACACTCGAAACATGCATTCCGAGCATAAAGCAAAAATACGATAGCCGGGGATCGAACCCCCGATAGCAAGATTGGCAGGCTGAGGCTCTAACCACTATACCATGATACGCTTGGGAGCGCGCGCGCAACAGCCCTTGTATGCCCCGAGGTGACTGCCGGGAAAGGGGAGCCAAGGCAATCGGAGGCAGCACCACTGAGGCAGCCAAACGCGCGAGTGCAACTGGCAAGAATGAGGAAATTTGTATTTTCTCGCATTCTGCAAATTAGCCCTCAGGGACCCCCAAAGATGAATAAAACCGGCCTTAACTTTGTAAACTTGTATTTTGTCGAAATTCTGAGAACGCCATCGGAAACAGAAGGGTCGATTTCCCCGGGTGAAGCAGAATTAGGGCATTTTAGGCACGGGAAGGCCCTCGAATCGGGCCTCGAAAGTGACATCCACACACACACACACACATACGCGACCAAATTATATAAGGCGGGATGTCTAAAATACGGCTTTAGAGCTCTACAATTTCTACGCGGAACACTTCATCGGCTCCGCGGATCCGGACGATCCAGCCCTGCGAACGGCTCCCATCTACAAAATTGAGGAATGGAATCTACATGAGCGCGTCTGTCACGACTGGCATCTGGGAATTTCTACGCTCGAAGGGTTTAATGTCCGACTAAAGGTACTGTAATTTAATTTAAATGTTTAATCTTGGGTTTGCTATCGAAATTTGACGAAATTTCACTTTCTGGAAAACTTTATTCGTGCAAATTAAATTTTATCTAAATCGCAATTTGGTGAAATTTCATCTTGTCGATATTTTATTTTGTCGAAATATAATTTTGCCATACATCATTTGTCGATATCTTACTTTGTCGAAATTTTACTGACAAAATAACATGATTATCGACAAATTAAATTTCTCTTAAGACAGTTTTTGACAATTAGAAGTTTCGACTAAACGAATTTCGGTAAGATGGAAATAACCATCATTTTTCCTTTTTAGCCTCTCGCCAAACCCGCGTCGGCGCACCGCGTGGCGATGGAGCTGCTCAAGTTGGCGAAGCGGTACGAGGAGAAGGAGCTACAGGCTCAACAACGTAATCTGCCCCTTGAACAATGCTTCCCCCGACCACGCGGATACCAACAATTTGCCGATGCTCGCGCCCAGGCAATCACGGCTGGCCCGAATGATATGGAGCCTTGTCGATACCTAGAGTCGCTATTACCCTACATATCTGATAAGAATTGGTGATCCGTTTTGATCCCGTTTTTATCTCTTGTTTGTTAGTATCGCTAAACCATAGTGGCGCTTTCTCCGTGATCTCTTTGTTGTGATAAAAAATCTATCTAGAGGTCGAGTCGTTTTTTAGAAAATTTAATGTAAATATGCCGAAATTCGGTTTTTTTTGCGATGTGTTTATCCAAAATTCAATTTAGCGACGCTTCATTTTATCTAAATGGCGCGGTAATCATTTCTATTAAAAATGCCACTTGTTCACATCAAGTTAGTCATTGTTTGAATCTTATTGTTTGAATTAACGAATGAACAATTCTTTACTCGGTTTACGAGAATTTACTATTCCTTAAAAAGTTCCACCATTTCACATCAAATTCGTTATCTGGGCGCTAGGCGGCGGGGACGAGGATCTGGAGTGGCGTACGACAGATACGGTATGTACGGAGGAGGCTTCGTAGGCATTCCTGAAATTCACAGATTAACGAAGCTTTGCTGTGCCTTTTTGGTCGTTGTAACAGTAAAATTTGTAAGTTTTGATTATACCTAAATATCGGGATCTTTGATATCATCCGAACAGCCTCCATTCGATAGGGTTTTATGAAGAAAATCATCGTCATTACGTTAAGATTTGTATGTAAGCAAATGAGGACTAGAAAGCCGTGACAGATTCCTAAAAAAATTTAATAATAGGATAAATAAAATTAATACTAAAACGTGAAAACTCAGAAAATATTAAAATTGATAAATAATATGCATTAAAGTATCTTATCTTACCTTGAACGTAAGGATTTTCCTTTCGATCTAATAATAAATAAGTCCAAGCGAAAGTGAAGGGCAAGTAAAAGAATAATATAGGTAAAAGCGTCTAAATTATATTTACAAAAGTCTTGAGAAAATAGCTTACTTGAAGCGCCAAAGATATTGTCAACATTCGGTGCTGATTGTACGTTTTGTCGCTCATGATATGGCGAGAATTCTAGGGGGTATATGCCTTTTTTAGGCTTAAATGTCTTACCTTTAATTCTACAAATATTTTTCTTAATATATAACTGACAGTTATGAAAATACATAAATTTCCGGTATTTAATGTGACGAAAAAGTAGGTGTTCCAGGGGTTTAGCTCGGGCTCCATCAGCAGAAAGTTTGGCAGCGAGAGAACATCGGTATGGAGGGGAAATTTCTATAGAAAATCGTGATTTAGATTATACTTTGATTTAGACATTATAAATACAGGTTTGGACAAAATTATATTAAAAAAAGGTTTAAGGAGCAAAATTCTCGACGTTTTATTAACCAAAATTCGGCTATTTTTTGAGGTCTTGAAGTGCCAAAATTTCCTTTTTTACCGCTTGCTTAAAAACTTGGCTTTTATGTAAATTTATATCGATATTTATAGAGCTATAATTACCGTATTAACCAACCTCCCGAATAAACTTCTCCATTTTGTCCCTAGGAGTATAGGCCATTATGCATTCGCCGGTTTCTAATGACGATTTTACAACGTGGACCCCGGCGCAGACATAGAACAGCCTTCTGAAACGGTTAAAAATGAATTCAAATAAATACAAATACTATACGCTTTATAACACAAAAATTATAATTTTGCCATCATAAAAAGTATAAAATTATAATTCACAATTCATATTTACAAAAACGTGCTTACTTTTTTGTTTTTGTAAACCAATTCGTGTTGTCGAGCACCCAAAGTCGGTAGAAGAACCCGTTAAGTAGCGATATTGATGCGTTAATTAGCACAAATACAGTCAAGACCTAAAAATACGCCTAAAAACTTATCACAGCTACACTACGCTACCCATACAGTATACCCGTTGTCCGGAAAAGTCGGAAAAAAATAGTTGACGATAATTGAGGAAGAGGCTCCGCCAAAAAGGGGGAAGAAGAGTTGGATCTCCAGGATTATTGTGAGCATAAGGTCGCTGAGGGCTGTCCAGAACTGGAAATGTCGCTTGGTATGTCTAAGCCTAAGCCTAAGCCTAAGCCTAACATAAGCCTAGGCCTAAGCCTAAGCCTAAGCCTAAGCCTAAGCCTAAGCCTAAGCCTGAGCCTAAGCCTAAGCATGAAGCCTAAGCCTATAATAACCTGTCCGACTTACCCAGATATTCAACAAAAAATATCGGTACTCCTTCATCTCGGGCGGGCTCTTTTTGTATACCAACCACCCGGCAAACCCGCTAATCGGCAAGGTGAAAATGTTGCAAATATAAAACGCCTGCAGAGAGGGGTAGAATTGAAAAGTGATGTTGTGGCCCCATACCGTTTGCATATTCCAAGGACGAGTGTTTTGAGGTGTAATGAGGACTTTAATCTGCTGACCAGCCCGTTCATACCCACCCACGTGCCGGTGAATTATAAAATTGGCTTGCAATTTTGCACCTGCTTCTGTCTCTCTATCTATCTCTCTATCTAACTATCGCTCTCTCTCTCTCTCTCTCTCTCTCTCTTCTCGCCTTGTTTACGCCAATTTCGGTTAATGAGCATGACTCGTGGATGTTTGTCATAGAATGCACCGGATGTTGGAAGGCCTGGGACTAACAAGGGAAGGGCAAGTACACGAACTAGAAATTCGAAAAACGCTCGCGGCTACCCCCAAGTTATCGACTACGGGGAACACGATGGTGGTGTCAGAATTTTCCACCGAGCCCTCTGGAGCGAGATACGGTACTTCCGGAAAAGGGGTCATTTGCATACGCGAAATTAACATTGAAATTTTTAGGTTTGACTTCGGATTTGAAGGAGAAAGTTTGCTTCAAGAACAATGAAAGTCAAAGTCACAGTCAAAAAGGCTCCAAAAATTAACATTCCAAAAAGCAAAAAATTAAAAGTTCTGGGTGGATCCGAACCCTGGCAGGTATTTCAAAAAACTGTTCAGTTAGCAATTGACTAACTCGCAGCTGATGGTAGAGACGTAGAAGCTTCTAATAAACCGAAAGTAGCATGTTAATTTGGCGTATGCAAATGACCCCTTTTCCATACCTATCTCCTCCAGAGGGCTCGTGGAAAATTCTGACAACACCATCGTGTTCCCCGTGGTCGATAACCTGGGGGTAGCCGCGAGCGTTTTTCGAATTTCCAGTTCGTGTACTTGCCCTTCCCTTGTAAGCCTAAGCACTAAGCCTGAGGCTAAGCCTAACCTAAGCATGGACCTAAGCATAAGCCTAAGCTTAAGCCTAAGCCTAAGCTTAAGCTTAAGTCTAAGCCTTATAAACAAGGCCTATCGAAAACCCTGTTATTTCCTTAAAACCTTTATTCAATCACTGAATTCTCGGAAAAGATCAGACCAGCAGCAGTAAAAACACAGTTAAAGCTTGAAGTAAAACCAACTAATCGTGGCTAATAAAACAAGAAAAACAATGTAAAACTTGTAAAAAATCCTTATTAAGAGGGGAGGAGTAACTCAGGGAACCAAATGGAAAATGGGGCTAGGAAAAGGGAGAATGGCGCATAGGAGATCCTGCGGAACGCAGAAATTTGAGATGGCGTAGAAGGGGGGAATACAAAGACATGTGTACCAATAAATCAAGTAATTGTTTTGACCTTTTGGCGAAAAATTTAAGTATAGAAGGTTGCCTAAGCAAGTCCAAAAACATCTTTCAGCGTTTGGATCGTCCACCCGTCGTCCTGGAGGTGGTTTTGGGTGATGCTGTAGATTTCCTAAACGGGAAGTATTATTAGATATCGAAATAGGCTTGATTAAGATTATCTCGGGTAGTTACGTAACGTGCGCGTTGCGGTGGGCTGCGCAAAGGCATTAGCGCGAAAAAATTTATTGAAATCTTTAAATTATGCAAAAACCTACCGCTTCCAGCGTGTTCTTCACCACGAAGTGGTGTACGGTAGTGGGTTTAGTCTGGCCGAAGCGATCGATACGACCAATTGCCTAGAAATAAACATCTCAATCTGAAAGTTTGAGCTTACCTGGGCCTCAACACTTGTCTCCAGGATCGGCTCGGCGAAAATGACATGATTCGCCTCGGTCAGGTTGAGCCCATTGGCGCCCGACGAGAGCGGCATCACGCAGACCTAAACAAGCGTGTGGAGAAGGTGAGCGAGAGAGCGAGACAGAGAGAGAGAGAGAGAGAGAGAGAGAGAGAGAGAAGGTGAGCGAGAGTTAGAGAGCAAGAATGTTATGGAAGATCAAATGTTCAAGCTCACCTTGGTCGCGTACGAAGCTTTAAATTGCTGCATATTGGCGTGTCTATTGGTGCCGGCACGGATGTAGACAAAGTTGATGTCGCACTGCTTCAGGGCGCCGACCAAGGCTTTGAGCACCGACTCCAAGGAGGAGAAGATCAGGATCTACACGCAGGTATTATGAAAGCCTAAGTCAACGTCTTAGCCTAAACCTAAGTCGAAACCTAAGCCTAAGCCCAAGCCTAAGCCGAAACTTAAACCTATCCCCTACCTTTGCGCCCTTGTCAGCCGCCGTAATCTCGTAGATCCTCATAATAATCCCACTGATCTTCACCGGAAGCGCAACGTCTACAGGCGCCAAATTCTCTGCCCGACTTGGCCCTGGGCGATTTAGTGGTAATTTGGGTAGATGGGGCTGAGCCATGACCTAAAAAGCATTAGCAAATTTGATCCAGAAATCTGAAGTGAGCCTACCTTTGACACCTTGTAGTCATTTGCGATCTGGCGGCACGTGGGGCATTGAACTTTTGCGGCCGCAGTCTTTCTAAGGTTTGTAAGTGTAAAAAATAATGCGATTGGGCTTACAAGTGTTTGTAGCAGTCCTTGCATACGGAATGGGCGCAGGGGAACACCATCCACACGCTGTCCAGCGCGGAGTAGCAGATAGGGCAGTCCCCAGGGGAGCCGACGTTGGCACTAAAAATTGGGGTAACCTGAGTTTTTTTGCGAGTTTTTCATACCAGAGTCAGGTATTGCAAATTGTGTAAAAAACGTGTTATTAGTTGTGTATGTTTTATGGAATATTAATGTATAAAAACTTACGCGTGCAAGTAGGAAATCCCGGCCATCTCCCGCTTCAGCTCGCTCTCGAGCTGTTTGTCGGCGAGTTGGAAGGATTGGAGGACAGGCTGCAAAATGCTCGTTGTTTTTCTATTTCTTTCCCTCTTCCTCTCCCTCTAACTCTTTTTCTCTCTCTCCCTCTCTCTCTCTCGCACTCTCTGTCTCTCTCTGTCTCTCTGTCTCTCTCTCTCTCACCCACCTTATCCATTGTCTTCGACAAGATCCTCTTCGTGTCCAAAGTATGACCAATCGGTTGAGGCAAGAAAAACTCCATCCCATCTTCACAACGACGCGCTGACATCTCCAGCTCCACCCTAAAATTTGGATTAAGAAGTCTAACTGCTGAATATTACAATTGATGTCCCATCGCCTCCACTTCTCGCAGGCAAGTGGCCCCCGTTTGGATCAGAGGGCGAATTGAGGAGAACCAGGAGTTGAAGTCTTCGTAGAGGGCGGCAAGTCCTGAAAGAAACGTCCTAAACTGCGCCCAAAAACTTACGCTTCTTCGTGTTCTCGTCATGCCCCATCCTCGAATTGAGCTGCGCCACTTTCGTGACCATCAGCTCGATGGACCAGACACTAAAATTGATGGATACTTAACGGTCCGCGTGTCGAAGGTTTCTTCTTTATACAGGGTGTCCCAATAAAAAAGGTCACGCTGGCATTTTGCTATTTCAAATCCGACCGACTTGAAATTTTGCACAGAGGTGCGGAAGGGAATTTAAAATGTTCACAGAAACTTTCAGCCCGATCGGTACAGTGGTTTTTGAGTTATTGTAAAAATACTGTTTTTCCCACACTTTAGCATTTTTTTTCGGCTATCTTTTTGGACTTTGCATCAATTAACATAAATTTCCGGCTCGAAATCCCTTACTCTTCTTAAAATCGGCGTCGTTAGCCCTTGTTAAAAAATACTTAAATAGCCGATTTTCGACCCAAATTTTACGAAATATAAAAATTCCTAGGATAAAAAAGGGTCGGCGCTTCATTTTCTCCATACATTCCAGGGCTAAATTTCGGCGGAATCCAGGTGAAAAACGTAATATAAAGTTTAGTTTTGCTATAACTCGAAAACTACTGTACCGATCGGGCTGAAAGTTTCTGTGAACATTTTGAATTCCCTTCTGCACCTCTGTGCAAAATTTCAAGTCGATCGGATTTGAAATAGCAAAAAGGCAGCGTGACCTTTTTTATTGGGACACCCTGTATATCTCTCTCTCGCTCTCTCTCTCTCTTTCTCTCTGTCTCTCGCTCTCTCGCTCTCTCTCTCTCCTTAAATTGTTACTCACGAGTCTGAGGTGATGTCCGAGTCCGGTCGTCCAGTTAGCGCCTCCTTTAGGTCCTTAATGTAGCGACCCAAACGGCACGTTTCGCAGCGAGTGGCGATCAGGCTAAAAAATCAATTTACTCTCGCTCTTGCTCTATCTCTCTGCCTCTCCCCCCTTTCTCTCGCTCTTTTTATCTCTCTCTCTCTTTCTAAATCTTTCTGTAAAGCTCTTACAATTCCGTGTCCAACTCGTCAGTGAACATGAATCGTTGCTGCGATGTCCCTTCACCAGCATCGGATTGCTGCACCTTGTCCTTCATGTGTTTAGCAACACGACGACCCGCTCGTCCCTCTTGCTGGATTCTAGAGTTGATGATCGCCCTCCTCTCCTCCATCGACATCATCATCTCCTGGTAGTGGTCGCACGTCATCACCTTGCGCATCGTGTCGCTGATCTCGTCCTGGACAATAGTAAGGTTGTTAAACTTAAGCCTAAGCTAAGCCTAAGCCTAAGCATCTCAAAGTTCTGTTCTCGGCCTACCGTTTTGATCGACTCCTCGACGAGCTTCCGAAGGTCGTAGATGATCAGCCCAACATTTCTTCTGACCTCACCCATGATGCGCTCCAGGTTTGCGATCAGCTTCTTGCCCTCGATGGGGAAGTGGTTGTGCTCGCCATGGTGATTAACGACTTCGAAGAAGAAGGATCTGAACGGGATGGTCTCGTCGAGAGAGAGCGAGAGAGAGAAAGCGAGAGGGAGAGAGAGATACAGAGAGATATATAGAAACAAGAGAGTGGGAGGGCGTAAGTCACTAACCTATGCAAAACCGCCCGCTTCGCCACCCTCATCGTCAACTTCGTGGCGTTGGCCACCGACTCTTTTCCGATCATGTCGACCATGTAGGCGCTCAGAGCAGATCTTTGCTCCGGGTCCCTTTCCAGGGTGTGGAAAGCCGTCTTCAGCCATTCGTTCGGGTCCCCTTGCAGCTTCTCTTGGCCCTGAATTGCGGAGCTAAAAGTAGACGACCACGGCCTACCTCGTGGTACTTGTCGGCCGCTTTAAGGTACCCAGAGAGTTCCAGCTGGAGGGTGCCTACTTTGGAGGCGAGGAATCTGGAATAGTAGGTTTAACCCGTGAGCTCGATTGTCTGCTCCCTTTCTCCTCCGCCTCTCTCTTTCTCGCACTCCCTCCCTGCTTACCTATCGTGTACAGCTTTTTCGACGTGACCGATCGTATTTTCTTCATGGAATTTTTTGGCCGGCTCGTATATGTCAGCTAAGGCTCGGATAGCGCTAAAAACAGCATAAAAATTAGCTTATTTTGTCCATACCATGCCAAGTGATAGACCTGCAGCGAGTCGACGATGATCGGCTTTTTGATTACTGAAAAAACCCGGAACTAGAAAAACAGAGCGAAAAAAAAAGAGAGAGAGAGAGAGAGAGTGAGAGAGAGAAAGAGAGAGATAGAGTGAGTGAGAGACATACCTTCATCAACCTCCGCCGTCTCATTCTCCAGCTCATCCTTCTCCTCATCTCCCAACATATCCAACAAGTTCCCTCCCGCCAAGCACAACTTCCGGTTCAGCTCTTGGATTTTGAATATGGACTAAAGGTGGTTTTTTTGAGATTTAGAATTTGGCTTCTAACCGCCCAGGCGTTGGAATAGACTTCGCAGGCTCCCTGGTAGTTCTCCCACAAGAAGTAGAGACCACCAAGACCTAGAAAGATGTTTCAAAGGGGCTGGGAAACTAGTTTTTATCCGAAAAGGTTGAACATACCATTCCGATTGCTAAAAAGCGCCCGATTGGCCTCAAGCAGCTTTCGTCTAGCTCGGAGATGAAGCCGAGCGAAGAGCACGTGAGGGGAGAACATCTCTGTTTGGTCCCTCCGTTGCAGGCCCATGCCGAGTCCTTGAGCATTTCCGGTGACGATACAGGCTCGGAGCTACAAAAATGTACTTTACTGACAGACAAATGGGGTGCGGTTGAGTTGTGTCACGTTACACTAGGTCGCACTGCGTCATCATACGTTATAGGCTACGCTTTGTTTCGCTACGTTGAGCCCAAGCCACATCCATATCCACCCACATGGCACAAGTGCTTCCAGATGCTCGTAAAGGTGCTCGGATGCAGATCTTTGAGTAGGCGCTGCGGCTCGTTCGTCCAGACGGCGCCTCGCATTTCATGGCCTAGAGATTTAATAAATTAAAAATCATGTTAATTTTTAGGAAAAGAAGATATAAAAAGCTTACGAAGTCTCAGCTTAGTAATGGCCAGCCCTTCCTGGTACGTCCGCTCCTCTAGCGGGGTGAAGTGCAGTTCGGTAAGGCGTGTTTGTACAGGAGGTAGGGTTAGCTAAAGGTATCGATTCAATCAATGAGGGCTCTAAAAACATACCTGCGCACTAATATCGACCTTGTTGTTCCGCCAGAAGAACTGTCGAACAAAGTCGAGGAGGAAGTCGGTTTGGCCGTGGGTATACGGTAGCCAGAGGGCCTTGGCGAAGATCTCGGGGACACTGTGGGGGAAGATGCCGAGGAAGGCGAGCAGGCCCGTGAGGTCTAAAAAGTATCTGGTTTTTGCATAATTAAGACGTATTTTTACATATTCTAGAAACGTAGCGTTATACGTCTATATTAATCGATTCTCCTATAGAACGTAATCCAGCTGAAGCGTTTCTGTCATAGCGCAATTTTTAACATCTAAATTTCCATACCTAGTAACGACTTCTGCAGCGGCGTACCGGTGACGCACCACCTCGCTCGACTTTGCAACTTCAGACACATGGCCGCAGCCTTTCGACCTCCGCCCTCGATCATTTGACTTTCATCGAGACAGATCTAGAAAAAGAAGGATGACGAAAATCTATCAAAAAAAATCACAGCATTCTTTAAAAATTACCCTCCACCAATCCACCGACAGCAATGGGGACGGTGAAGCAAGAGCACGTTTCCGGTCGCGTAATCCAGCTAGAAAAACACATTAACATCACAATTTCAAGGTCCTACTCCTCGGCTTGAACTCCACGAAGTGAAGCTCCTTCTCGAGGACTTCATAAGTGGTCAGAACAATATCTTTGTCGGCGAGTAAGGTTGGGTGCTTGTAGCCGTGGGTGCTGAGGCCTTGGTATAGCTGGAAAAAATAATATCAAATTTACCGTTTATAGGCAAAAATTTGTAAAGTGTGTAGCTTTTTTAGTTTTTCGATTCATTAATTTGAAGATTAACTTACCTCGACCTTTACGTTCTCCTTAATATGCCGGCGGATCTCCTCGTACCACTGGGTGAAGATGGCGTTGGGGACGATGATGAGCGTGGCCTTGCCGGGGATTATCTAAAAGTCACGAAATGCAAATCGTCTGAAAAGCTGGGTGGGCTACGAGAAGATACCCGCAACGTGGACTACGCTGGCATACTCTGAACGTAACAAACTTATGCGCAGCTTGCAAATTACAGCTTTTCCCGGCTTTTTGTGACTCTACACCTTTAAAACCTACCGTATCCGCCATACAGCCCGGACACTCGAAGCTGCCCAGGTCGTAGTCGGGTGGTAACAGGACTCGATCTGGAGCACATTTCTCACCGCAACCGATGCATTTTAGCTGCAAGAATTCTGGTATTTTTCTGGTATATTGCAAAATTACCGCCTTGGTCCTTGAATACATCGGTTGCACATTGTAGAACGCGTTTCCGTTGATGGCCTTTTGACGTTCTTTTGCCTGAAAAAACGTGTAGACCTCTTTCTTAAATCGTTGTTTACCATTTTCTTGATTCCTCGATCGCCTTCGATCATGGCGGTCACGGAAGAAACGAGATGCTCCATGGTGGCGACGATAGGGTCTTGGTTTCTAAAGATGGTTGCTAAGCTTTTAAAAGCAGAGTGAAGGCATTTTCTTATGCATTGAATCTGGAGGATCGTGAAATACAACGCGTAGCTGCATGGGCGACGCGAAACGGAACGAAAAACGAAAAACGGCCGTTATGTCGAAACGGACGCGCGCTGCGTGTCGCGTTGCGTACCGCTCTTTAAATGGGCCGGAACATTCATGAATCGGATCTTGCCGGCTCCTCAATCCCCCTGCGGTTCTCGCCCCGCAATCCGCAACGCGCGCGCTGCCTGGACAACCGCTTGATCCGTTACGTCAACGTAAGTTACGCAAGTACGAGCCACGTATTGCGGCAAATTTCGTGAGAGCAGCTTTTACTGTTATACAATTTTTTAAGGGATCACACTTACCTGTATCCGTGATACAACAACGACTTCTTGACCATCGGCGGCTCCGGCTTGTCCCTCTGGATCGTCGAGATTAGCGCCAGCAACTCGACCGTTTTCCCGAGACCCATCTCCTCAGCCAGGATTCCGCCCCGGATGCGTTGTGAGGGGATCGGGTAAGTTTCTTTGGCGAAGAGGCCGAGGTGCGGGAAATAATGTAGATCCGTGCCGCAGGCTTCTGATTGGAACTCCTTCCCGTTGCGGATGGTGCCGATGAGCTCGCGCTAAAATAGTTTTTCTAGAAAATTAATCGTTAAGCTACCTCAATCATAAATCGAACTGCATCCGCCTGATATGGTCTTAAGGTCGAGCTTAGATGGTCGAGATAGATTTCGTAGTTTGGCGGCTCCCTACGCCCAAATTTCAACTCCCGGAAGTAGTTGCCAAAGTCCTCTCGCGTTATCTCGGCTTCTTGGGCGTGGAACTCGGTTTCTAGCTGTAATAATATGAAATAATGATATTACTATAGCGGCGTACCGGATTTTGGGAATGAATTGCGTTATAGAGATGGCTAAGGGTGTACGGTGCGGCTTTCATCAGACGATCTCGCATTAACCCTAGAATCGGCGTCTCGTCGTACCAGTTTCGGACGATGCAGTTGTTCTAAAATGTATAGTTGAGGAAGTCAAAGCGTAAGCCTATGCCCAAACCTAAGCCCAAAGGAAGGCCTAAGCCTAAGCCTAAGCCTAAACCCAAACATATGCCCAAGCCCGAGCCTAAGCCCAAACCGAAGCGAACCGAAAACCTACCTTCTGATAAATATCTACAAAAAACCCGTCGTCAGTTTGTGCATTAAAACGTGAAGAAGCTGTCAGGGTGATGCCGAGGCTTTTGTAGCTTCTAAATCCCAAACTATTCAGAGTTTTGGTTCGAAACTACCTCATCTCAACCCCAAAAAAGATCAGTGACTGTTGCGTCGCAGCGACGCGACCAAGTTCAACGACAGCATAGTAGGAATTGGCTCCTTTCCAGGGAGAGCCTTTGCGTTTTTGGCCGTAGATCTGAAGAAAGAAAATTTTGATTTGTCAATATTTGTCATTTTTTGTCATTAGCTTCAAACAAATAACTTTTAATGTTTTCAAAAGGTAGTTTTCGACTAAAATATTCATTTTTTGGGATTTCCTATGGAATCGGATCCATGAAATTTTTGGCAGGTCATCTTGTAGTTTTTATTGTTTTTCTATTTTACGAATAAAATTGCTATTTTTTACTTACCACAATTTTCCCCTCCTGCTCCTCCTTCAACACGATACTGTCGTCCAAAACCGTCTCATCTGGAGGAACCGGCAGCTCGTCGGGTGTAATTTGAATCGATCCGAGATATTGGGAATGTGTCGGCTCGACCGGCTTCAGCTCGATGCGGAAACAGTTCGTGCGGACGATCCACTAAACGGCGAGTTAATTTATAGGTCTTGAAAGTCAAAATCGAAAAAAATCGTTAAAACCTCAAAGAGTTTTTGGCTTTCCTAAGTTGAAAAACCCATCATTTTGTCTTTTCGCTTATAATGACTTACCCCAATCTTCCGTTCCTCTTCCGGTTCTTCTTCCGGTTCTTCAACTCGGCGAACCCGAGGTTGTCGAGGTCGGGGCAGCACTATCACGTCGTCATCCGAATCAACATCTATCACCGCCGGCTCCTCCCGCGGCAACATCACCACCACGTCGTCGTCGTCCGGCCCGGCTTGCATACCTAAGCTGAATGGATTTTTTGTATAAATAAATGTAGAAAATTTCGTTTGAAGAAATATAGATAGATAAATATACTATTTTTGGTAAACATAAAAATAAATAATAAAAGCAGCATAGAATAGCAATGTTAGATTCATCGGTGAAAATGAGCCTTAATGTATGGCAAATAAATTTGAGGAGGAAAAATCGTGGGGTTATGAAACCGGAAATACAAAAAAAATGCCAAGCGAAAAAGAAAGAAAAAATGAGAAACTAAAATTTTGTTGGTTTCCGGGTCAAATACGGGAAGGTCAAGAACATCTTCCGGCTTATCAATCAGGTACCTCTAGTGAGTGATACCGAGTATACCATTAATGCGCATTTTGGTATCCATTTACGTCATTTCGCCGCTTTTCGACGACCCGAAAAATCGATAACGCTTCCGTTTTCGAGATATGTCTTAGAATTTTTGGTCTCCTTATTGATTTTTTGCAAATTCGTTTTAATTCCCTATGTCATTGAAAGCAATTAGCTTTGCGGTTCTCCATATGAAACTCAGAATTATTTTCTTGGCATTAATAGACCTAATAAAATATGAATATTTATGAAATTCGACATAAAATCACCAGATAGGATCGCTCTATCTATTTTCGTAAGCAATTACGCTGCTGTAGGCAGGAACACGTAATGAAATTCAGGGGCAATGGCGACGCCTAGACGCCAGTGTACCGTCGCTCTTAGTATTTGCCCGTACCCCTGAAAACCGGCCGCAAAAAATCGACTTCCGATGTGGGAAAGCGGTGCTAAATGCGGTTTTTACTGTTTTAAGAGTGGCGAAATCGTTTGACCTTGAATTCACGACTTGTGATTTCCTTCATAGCACCAATCCAGAATTTTTGGCTTTTTGAAGCTGATCAAGAGGTGATTAACATTATGCAATGTATTAGTCATCAAATAAAGGCTATATATTGCATTTGAATTGCACGGTCCACCAGTACTTGTCTTCGAAAGGTAGATTCAACTCGCGACTTTTCCAAATTGTGGCAATTAGGTGGAGAAGCCCGTTTTTAACATCGGACTTTTCAGCCAAAACTGCTATTTACCCCCCATTCAAAGGATTGCATCGTTCGCGGCTACACTACGCCTCACTACCATTTCCGTTTTATATTTTACATGAATTCTGGACTTTCTCTGTCTCAATTTGTTTAGGTTTCCTAAGGACATTTTTGAATAGGGTCTTCAAGGTATGGACGAAGAGGAGGGAGACGTGGTGGCCGTCAGAGGAAATGCGGCAGCAGAAAGGAGGAGGTTAAGAGTAGGTTCTAAGATTAAGGCATGAAAGGTGTAGCGGTTTATCATAGAAAAATACGCATCAATAATGGATTAGTATCCAAATTTCAGCGCCAATTCGCCGAACGTGACGTCGACTTCTGGCACAAGCTTTCTTATTCCATTGGTCACTTCTATAACGATCTCTGCGCGTCTATGTGGTTCACCTATTTGATGATCTACATGGAGAAGGTGGTGATGCTGAGGAGCAGCCTGGCCGGGATGCTGATGCTGATCGGACAGGTGAGCAAAGCTAAGCCCAAGCGTAAACGTAAGCAGGAGCCTAAGCCTAAGCTTAAGCCTTAGCCTAAGTCAACATCCCTTTAAAAGTCCCTTTAGGTCACCGACGCGATCTGTACTCCTATAGTAGGGCTTGGCAGTGACCATGCTTGCCTTCCGGCTTGGATCCGGAAAATTGGGCGCCGGATGAGCTGGCATGTGATTGGTAGGTTGACCTAAGCCTAAGCCTAAGCCTAAGCCTAAGCCTAAGCCTAAGCCTAGGCCTAAGCCCAAGCCTAAGCCTAAGCCTAGGCCTAAGCCTAAGCCTAAGCCTAAGCCTAAGCCTAAGCCTAAGCCTAAGCCTAAGCCTAAGCCTAAGCCTAAGCCTAAGCCTAGGCCTAAGCCTAAGCCTAAGCCTAAGCCTAGGCCTAAGCCTAAGCCTAAGCCTAAGCCTAGGCCTAAGCCTAACCTAAGCCTAAGCCTAAGCCTAAGCCTAGGCCTAAGCCTAAGCCTAAGCCTAAGCCTAAGCCTAAGCCTAAGCCCAAGCCTAAGCCTAAGCCTAGGCCTAAGCCTAAGCCTAAGCCTTGGCCTATGCCTAAACCTAAACCTTTTCTAGGTGCCATCTGCGTGACGTTCTCCTTCCCGTTCATCTACAACCACTGCTTCGTCTGCAGCTCTGTTACAAGCGAATGGATGACGGTCATTTGGTACATCCCGTTCATCATGGTGTTTCAGTTTGGGTGGGCTAGTGTTCAGGTTTGTCTTAGAAAGTTAATATCTACAAAAAACTAGGAAATTGACTTATTTCCCGAAAGAACGGTCAGCTAGGCTTATGCACGAGCAGAAGCATAGAAAAATCAAGCGGTATAATGTAAGACAAGGCTTAAGAGAGCATCTTGAAATTTGGTGGCGGAGAAAAACCGGAATAGTTCACTTTGGTGCTCCACCAGTTTCACAGCGTGCAAATTTACACCCCCGCACGGCAGCTGTCGCTGTGTAATTTCGACAACTGTCGCCAACTGACGCTTTACACTCGATTTCGATTTGCCGGTTTCATTCCGGTAGGAAAACGGACGGCGCTGGGGTAGGGCATTAATTGCTAAAACGGCGAAGAAAAATGGTAAACCCGATAAATAAGGATTAGCCCGCATAGACACCAACTTTTGAAATATCCGCTTTTCAGATCTCTCACCTGGCAATGATTCCCGATTTATCAACTCGAGATGAGAGCCGCTCAACGATGAACTCAATGCGGTCAGTTTACTAAGCAGCTAGACCTAGACATAGGCTTAGGTTAAGGCTTTGACTTCGGCTTAGGCTTAGGCTTAAGCTTGCGGGGTGAGCCTAGGTTAACTTTTCATTCCAGGTACGCTTGGGCAGTTCTCGCCAACATCTCAGTGTTTGCCATCCTGGCCTACCTTCTTGGAAGCGATGATCAAAGCCATGGTGGCACAATCGGACCACAAGAAGCCCACATTTTCCAAATGTCATCTGGGATCGTGGTCATTACCGGAATATTGTCTCTTGTTCCGTTCTATGCCTTTACCCGAGAGCCGGAGTCGACAGGGCGAGAGAGGAGACTGAGCATCACGTCGGGTAGGTTTTAAAGGGATGGCGGCGGCCAGGAGTTTTTGCTTAGTTCAAACTAGTGATGGGGTTATTCAAATCAAATCTTGACTCAAATCTGAGAGCTCAAATCTGAATATTTGAAGGCAAAAATTTCAATTTCAAATCGACGGATTTGATTTGAAATCCCGTGGACGAGTTCAAATCAAATCTCGAGGATTTGATTAAGCTTCCGGTCCTTAATCAAATCTTATGGAGATGCCGGCATGCAAAATATAACAAAATCGCTATCGCCGAGCTGGCGCGAACCGGAAATCCCCTTGATTATGCATGACATCATACAATTAGCATCCGCGTAATGAGCTATTGATTTTTTCGACTCCTTTCAAATCCTCGTTCAAATCTTCAGATTTGAACTCAAAACTTCAAGTCCAAATCAAATCGATTTGATTTGAAGTGCTGAAACCTTATTCAAATCAAACCGTCAGATTTGATTAAACGGATGCAAATTAGATTTGAGATTTGAATAATACCATCACTAGTTCAAACTCTGCTTTATTATGACGTCAAATTTAAAATTTGTTTAGACGCCAGCGAACTGGTCCGGATGCACTGGACAAGCTGGTTTGGCCATCTACAGTTTTATCAGGTACTTTTTTGCAGGGACGTTTGATCGTATCTCCCTCCCTCTCTCGCTATCGCTGAACGTTGATTGGTTCCAGATCTCCATCCTCTACATGTTGGCCAGGATGTTCATCAACATCACGCAAGTCTACTTTCCGTTTTACGTGACGATGACGCAGGGGATGGACAAGGTAAGCTATAAACTACAAGCTACAGCAAATTCTTCGAAAATAATTGGGTGTGCGCTACAAAATCCACCAAATTTCAGAGCTACGTCGCCATCCTACCTATGGTGTCTTATGTCTCTTCCTTCGTGATGTCCACTGCCTATTCGATGCCTTTCTTGAATGGGCGGATTAATAAGAAGGTATTCCATCTCTCTCTCTTTCGCTCTCTCTCTTTTTCTATCTTCAAAACCGACTTTTTTTTCAGTTCCTCTACCTGTTCGGCATCATCGTCGGCCTGGGCAACTGCGTGTGGATGCAGTTCGAGCTGACCGGGTGGCAGATTTATGGGGTGAGCAGAACGGAACGGTTTCCGCACGACACCCAGGCAAAACGCGTAAACCTGGGAATTTATTGTTGAGCGAACTTTTGTAGGCAATTCTGCCTCAAAAATTTATGTTCAGAGAGCAGAACACGATTTGCATTTTTTGCATGAGACAGAGGGAGGGTGAGACAGTGAGAGAGAGAGAACGAGAGACATATATAGAGCGAGATAGAGATAGAAAGGGAGGCAGAGAAAGAAGGAGAGGTTGTAAAATCTTTAGGTGGCTGTCTTGATCGGAATCACTCAAGCGATCCTGTTCATCACCTCAGTGGCCGTCACAGCCGACCTGATCAATAAAAATACGGTAGGCTTGCTGTCAAATAAGACACTGTTTCAACGCCTTGAAATACGGAGCGAAGGCTAGCAGAAATTATTTAGGAAAAATATGCCTAAAAGTATCTTTTCTGGACATGTTTGGAATGCTTTATTTTCCTAAAATCAGAATTTTCGCTGAAGCAAGCTAGCAGAGAACATTGCGGATCCTCTTGAAAAAAAAAGCAAATTCTGTTTTTACAGGAATCCGGCGCTTTCGTCTACGGCGCCATGTCCTTCGTTGATAAGCTAGCAAATGGAGTGGCTTACCAGATCATTGAACTCCTCAATCCGGGCTGCGAGTAAGTAACGTTTGACTTTATCTGATTCTAGACGATCTGCAACCGGCGAGCCTATGAATTTAAACTACAGACAATCGCTCTACAGATCAACCAAATTTCAGTGGTCAGGGCGATCCGAAGCAATGCTCCCTGTTCTACCGCCGAGTAGAATCGTTTGTACCTGGTGGCTGCCTGGTGCTGGCCCTAATCGTGCTGATCTCTCTGATTCCGCAGAGTATCGGGGAGCGAAGAAGGACTGCTGGTAAACTTGCTTTAAGAATATAGATGGACATACATGATAATTAGATGTGTCGAAGCGTTAAATTCATAAAAAGATATGAAAAAAAAAATTGGATGCACTGTATACCATTTTTTTCAGAAGACCGTCAGCCAATCATCTTTGCCAATGAAGAGGAATTTGATTAATCCCAGACGGCTCTCCAAGCCTTGACAGTTTGGTTGGTTTTTGTCAAGCTGTTCCCGCGCTTCCAAAATTTGCTGCTTTTCAGGAATTCTTTTGGGCTTTTTTGATGTCTTTAATCATCCTTAAATTATACTGGGGAACCTTCTTTACTTATAGCTTATTCATCGTACCCTACCGTACCCTATACAATTCCACATCTAAACCAAATATTTCTGCATATCCCATCCACTTTATCGAGCTGTCATAATTTATTTTTCTTGGTCTGCTGTGTTTTTGCATTTTTTCGTCACATCCGGCCGGTCTTACCTATCCGCGTTTCAAATATGGTGCCTTATCTTTATAATACTACTCGGTTTGAATACTACTCTTGGTAATAATTTAAATTAGTCAAAGCCTTTAATCAAATTCCCAAATCGTCATGTGATCCTTTACGTACCCTGTGATGTCACTAGTTGACCCTCGCTGTGTGCAATTCGAGTCGAATAAATAAACAGTCTCTCGGAACCAAAGTCTGAAAATTGTACATTGGATTATATTACGAGCGAGCTAGCAGAGATTCCTGGGGAATGGTGAAAACTCATATGGAAATCGGATTCAACAAGTCCCAGATTCTTATTCTGAACGCGAAGACCCGAATTTGCAGAAAATTCATGTGCCCCCTTTGCTCGAAATCAGGCGAAACAAAAACTTTTAAAAAAGCATCGCAGCAAAGCCAGGGTCTCCCAAGTTTCGTACCATACCAGCGCTGACCCCCCGCTACGCGGAGGTTCAGCGCTGGCCTCCCCCCTCCCTCGACCCCCCAGAATTTGAATTTTGAATTTGCATGCAAAATTTGGCTGAATTCCCGGTCGGGCGGACAGACGGACATTAGAAATTTATATATAGTTGATATTTTTCGGCACTACCCGGCGTGCTCTTTAAGATGCAAATTGAATTCTGTCTTGGAAATGCCCGATTGGCCTGAAATATGCCTGGAAAAGTATAAGGTAGCATGGTGGTCATTGCATGGTGGCATGGTAGGACCATAGCCAGAAAAAGCTACTCGCACCGTCGTCTGGCTTTGAGGGATTGGGGTGTTGCTCCCGAGCACCGACTAGTAGGAAATTAAAACAAGTTTTGGAATACATGAGGTGCAATTCCCCAAATCATTTTTCCATTCTTGGTACTGTATCTTGTGCAATAATTCCGCGTTTTTTTGCTCTCAACGATCGTCAAGCGTTTCCCGTTTTGTTAACGTTTTTATCAAGCAGCCAAATGGGAGAGAGACAGCCAGACAGATAGGGTATGGTAATTAGTAAAAGGGGCGGGGCTAGAGTGTGGCGAAAAACCGATATGACCGTGGCGGAACCAAATTTCCCAAACAACAAAACAAGCGACGCACTAATGGGAGACGAAAACACCGAAAAAAGGAAAAATTAAAAAGAAAAAGGGGGCCAAAGCGTATCTACATATTCCCCTGGGGAGATCACGTGGGTAAATTCGTAGTTCACAGGCGTATTCCGGAGAGAGATCAGGCTAATTGGTCGGGGTTTGGGACGAGACGCTTGAAGCGTAGTAGTGTCAGGCGCGGGGTGATTTAGCGTCTGAGAAGTTGTTGCTGTCGGTAGCTGTCGAGGAAGTTGGTGCACAGCTTCCAGCGGCACGGCACGAAATCTGAAGCGAGGGTACGGTATTTGGAGTGTATGATTACATTTCGGTCGGTCTTTCCCGTTAATAAGCATGGGCAGTTGGACGGGTTGAGGGCCTGGATTGGAGAAAATAAAGTTTAAGCGAGAATTGAGAGCGAACTTTCGAAGTCTGGAATTTTAACTTACTTAAGTCTAAGGCCACGCCTAAGACGAAGCCTGAGTTTAACCTAAAACTAAGCCTAAGCCTTAGTCAAAATCGAAACCTAAGCGAAGTCCAAGCCTCAGCCTAGGCCTATGCTAAAGCCTCAGGAAGCCTAAGCCTAAGCTTAAGCCCAAGTTTAAGTTTAAGTCGATTCTACATAAGCTAAACCAAGCCTAAACCGAATCCTAAGCCGAAGTTCGCCTATGTTCAAGCCTAAGCCTAGTCGAAGCCGACAAGATCTATAGCTTTCCCAACCTCCAATGCACATTTTCCTAACCTTTAAAGGACCATTGTAGCCTGAGGCCATAGCTTTTCAACTCACCAGTCTGCCTTGGCACCCGTTTCGGCACGACAAAAAGTAGATCTCCGTCCTGATCAACCCCTAGCAGCCGTCCGAGCGACATCCGCTGCGGCACCTCTCGCTCTGAGCGTAGTCTGGCTGTCTAGAAAAATATAGTAAATTTTTTTGGTGCAATTTTTAATGGTGCGGAGATTTAATGATGCAAGTAAATATCTTTAATACTACGACCCTATTAAGTCTTGATTCACCTTAAATACTTACGAATTGGCTGTCTGATTGGCTGTAGCACACGGCGAACAGAACGAAGAAGATGGCCCAGATGTTGAGATTTGACATTACTGGAAGGATTACGGTAAGGTAGGCATATTTTTCAGCAAACAACATTTAAAAAAACATATTAAATCAACCATATTGAAATAGTAGAAAGAAAATAATTGAACCGATTCGAGGCTTAAAATTGCCCTAGCTACCGTCATTTGCGTTTAAATTTTGATTAAGGATACGATTGCATTGATATCCAAGATTTTGATGAACTTGTCAGCGATGCCCTAGCTACCGTAACCTAAGTGTAAGGCATCCTGGCTTACAAGGAGTCGCTTTTAGGTGCTTTTGGAGTTTCGGGACGGGACCTAGCTAGTTCCATAGAGAAAAAAAATTCTGAGCAACATCCCGTTTTCAAAAAGTGCTGATCGATAAAGGAATTCTAGAAAATTTAATTTAAAGTTGCTTCCTTGCCTTTCCTTTCCTTGCAATTCTTTGCAACCTGTGGGCCGAAACGCACCCCAAAACACACCCCCAAACGCACCCCGGGGTGCGTTCAAAGACACCCGGGGACACTATTAATGCACCCCCGACGGAGAGAAGTGTCTTTCAAACGCACCCCGGGGTGCGTTTCAAACAGACCCCGGGGTGCGTTTGAAAGGCACCCGGGGTGCGTTTGAAAGGCACCCCGGGTGCGTTTCAAAGACCCCCCTGGGGTGCGTTTCAAAGGCACCCGGGGTGCGTTTCTTGGGGTGCTGTCCGACACTACTAATCACCACAAGGGTCCGGACACCTGGGAACAGTTTTAATTGAATTCAATTTTCTAGAACAGCTTTATCGATCAGCACTTTTTGAAAACGGGATGTTGCTCAGAATTTTTTTCTCTATCGAACTAGCTAGGTCCCGTCCCGAAACTCCAAAAGCACCTAAAAGCGACTCCTTGTTAGTACCGCTGCGGTGGTTGTTGCGTTTTTAAAAGCTGCTCCGGCTACCGTAATCCACGAAATGCTGCGTAGACTGCCTAGAGTAGGCTTTTTCGTGCCGTATTTTAAAGGGGAAAAGCGAAAGTATTCTAGCAAGACTTTCAATCAGGACTTTGATAGGGTTAAAACACGATCTAGCTATCGTAACCCCCGGTCCGGCCTATTACAGTAAGCCAAGTTACCAGCCCGGCCAGACGCCCAGGTTTTCCGAGGGTATGTGAAAATGCGAAATTCCAGCCCCGTCTGGCCCAGCCCACTTTTTGGTGGTCACAGTAACATGCAAAAAGCATTGGAGTCAAGGCGGCAAAATTAGAATGCCTGAAAAGTGATGGGCTCGGCAGCGACGGCCCGGAAAACCTAGGTGAAGCGCGTTTCCCGGAAATGATTGATGCTCGCTGCAGAATCTCGGAATTTCCAAATTTCGGGGTAGGTGGGAGAAGCTCAAACCTCACCTCTGGATGGGAGTAACGGGTTAGAAAGTGTCTGGGAAGGACACGAAGCTGAGACGGGTTATAGGCCTAAGCGTAAGCCCAAGCCTAAATTTATAAGCGGCAAAAAAAATTGATAAACACTCGGCAAAATCAGTAAGGAGAATCGGCCTTGCAAAGCCTAAAATCGTGTTTTAAAAATTCTGGCTTCGTTATAATGGGTGTAAAACCGAAAAAGTACTCAAAGATCTGAAGTTAGAGACAGACAAGGCATTTTTTGACTTGTCTAGCCTTTTCTAGGCTTCTCTATCCTACTTTCCCCCACCCGCGCATTCCAAAGAACAAAAAAGAACGGAACCGAGAGGAAAAACGCGCTCCAAAAAGTGCCGGAAAACGCGTGTTCTGGCCTATCAAAACCCAGAAAATTGCTCCACGCCAGCAATTTCCATACTTATCTACCCCTCGCGCAGGCAGAAGCGATTTTTCCACCGTCATCCCAGGCCAAAAGAACAGCCGGGGTTCCGAAAAACGACTGAAAAAGGTGGGTAACCGGAGGCGGCATGGGAATTCCGATGGCCTTTTTGGGGATTTTGAAAAACGACGGATTTGGGACGTGGCCCGGTAATTCTGAAAGAAAGACTGCCCCTTAGGGAGTGCTTGTGCGTACTGGCCATAATATTAGGTTGAACCGAAAGTAATTGTAATCGATCTTCGGGACAAGATTTCTAATACTTCTACCAAGTAGCCAACTGGCTTTTAACTTCCTGTGTTTGGTCTAGCAAGGTACTATATACCCCAGAAATATCGAGCGGATCCTAGCCCTAACACTCTTTTTATAACTGATTTTGCCCGCGGCACAGGGCCACCCGAGGCGCCGACATCCGGGATCCCTCTTTGTTTGCAGCCTTATAAAAATTACCGATGCCGTAATCCCCCCATCGTAACTGGTAATGTATAATGCCAGTTTAATATCTTTCTGACTATGGTGCCAAATTCAGCTAACGGATTTACAGTCGGCCGATATTCTCATTTGTTTGGATAAAAATCCGACTTTTCAATGAGCTTGACTAAAAGGCTGTCTTAAATTTACTGAGGATAATGAAATTAAATCTGATCCATTTATCATAAGCAGTTTGTATTGACAAACATAATACCAATCCCAGCTATCTTCTCACCCTTCTTTATCTGAACAAATTTTGCCAATTAGTGATGCACCAAGTGACCGACCCGGAGATCGGCTGGAGACAACCAGTTTGCATTGCTACTCTTTTATCTTTGCCAATCAAAATTTTTCTATAGTGGAGTATTATTGGTCATCTACAGTAGATACTGTGTTAAAATTACTAATACCCTAAACCCATTCTTTCGCGAACAAAAAAATAAAACCAAAATGTGCTCAAAATTACGATTCATTTCTCAATTCCAGATAGAGACAGAACATTTGTTCTTATGTGATCTACGGGCATGAAACAGATTTAATTGAGCTTGATTTTGATACAGTCCACTCAAAAAGTTATCCACGAAACTCGGAGAAAGCGGCCGACAAAGGGATGTGTCGATTCGTAGCCCGAAAACCCAGATTGACATCTTTTTAAATTGACCTGTGAAAAAATAATGCAGCTAGCTATTAAAATTCTTTTTAATGCACTGCATAGCCCAAATGTTTCTCTATCTACTATCACTTATTCAGGTCACTAGGGTCGGAACGGCCGGCGATATCCTTCACGAAAACCAATAACCCGGAATCTGGATTGCGTTCACTCTTGTCCAGTTAATTAAAAATTTGTGGCAGTCCTGAGTTAAAAATAAAACTGAAACTGGACAAGACTTGAGCCTAAATCATAGCAAAAAATTAGAATGAACGAATGGTGAATTCCGTAAAATTTTTGCAATCGAAAAATTACAATTACTTTCGGTTCAACCTAATATATTAGAGACTTTCTATGTAGAAAAATATGTTGGTGAGGGTAGCGACGCGGAATTAGGAAATCAGGGCATGGATGCAGAGTAAAGACGGGTACAGCACGCTACAGTAACCTGGTACTGTAAATCCCTTCTTTCATCGATTTTAATACATTAAAAAAAATTATAAATTGGCGTTTTGAAAGGAAAATACTGTAGTTTAACAAAAATAGACCAGTACCAGGGTTGAAAAGCCGCGAAGCGGCTTTTCAACCCTGGCCCGGGCCTCTCTCTAATGATATTCTTGGCTTTGCATAATTTTCGCGAATACGGATGACGAAAAATGAAAACTGTTCTCGCCGTCCGTTCTCGCCGTCCCTTTATATAGGCTACCGCGACTTCCGGTGCATGCTAATCTGATCCTAACAAGTTGGGTGTCCGATTTTCCATGAAAAACTTAATTTTAATGTCGAAAACCTCATATTTTCTAAAATCTAATATGTGTGCAGTCATCTCGAGCCCATTACGCACCTAATGACGTATATAGTAGGATAGGTTACTGTCACTTGTCAGGGACCTTTTAAAGGGACTGTAAAGACAAATACCAAGGCAAGAAGTTCAAAATAGTCAAACGATCCAAATACTTCTGCGAAGCTGTCGTTAGTGCTCAAAACTGACGATTTCGGAAGCTTTTAACAATATCGTGAAGGCAAAAATTTTACAAGTCCGGGTGTTTTTTGAATTTGTAAAAATCGCTCCTCCTTTTTTTTGGAAGCACAAAGCCTTTAAAGGAAAGCAGGAATGAAGGCAAGGAAGTACGAAGCCTCAATAGCCGAATCTTAGAATCGAAATTTTCTAAGTCGTCCAGCTGCAATTAGTTGGCCCCTTAAGGACTATTGAAGGTTTATGCTTGGGTGAGGCTTAGACTTAGTCTTAGGCTTCGGGGCTCCTTTAGAGGACGTTCCAAATACCGTAACCTCGTCATTATGACTTGACCATCTCCATATCCACCCTTTTATACAAGCTAGCCTCACCGTTTCGTTGTAGTTACGTGCAACCAAATTTTAATTGCAACCAATTGCATATTTTAATTTCGCAAAAAGTACACTGTCGGGGGAGGGGTCCCCACGGCATATCGGAAATTGGACAAAAAAGAGCTACAGACCCCTCCCCGACTACGTGTAGCAACGGGTTTCCGATAGCGTGCTAGTCATTTTTGGGGCTTCCGGTGATTTTTTTAATCCTTGAAAATGACCGGGTCATTTACTTTTTTGAGTTTTACCCCAGAAAATTGGAATAGAAAAATCTACTACACGGTTAGACGAGGCGGAGGCGTGTGAAAACCGGATGCAGAGTTGTAAATAGGAAAAATGAGGGTAGCTACTTAAGAAATAAAATTGTGCGGTTTTAATGTTTTCAGATGGAATGTAATAATGTAATGAACAGTCAGAGCTTCGTTACTATGTCGTACGTACGTTACAGAAGTCTGTAGTAAGTGCATTAAGCTACTTTACGCTACACTACGAGACAATACGTTTCGCTACACTATACAAGTACAATTACCAATTACGCGCGGCCGACGCCGCGGTGGGCACCAACGAACCGCGGAGACCAACCCCAGAGGATTAAAGGGAATTCCAAATTGGCAGGGACAGTACCACATAAATCCCAAATAGCTACTTATATAAGAAAAATTTAATCTAATTAAAATTACTCTTCAACCAAAAATAAGGAAATCATGAATTGAAAACAACTTTGAATT